TTTCTCTCCAATACTGTTTTCTTTTTCAATTTGCATCTCCATTGTTGGCATCGATGTATCATTTGGACCGACGAAGAACGTCAACCGACAACAGTATTGGCGAACAGTATCTGTAGGTTCCAAAGGAAGGCAAATCCAATTCCAATCTTTTTTTGTACCTCCGTGTCTTGACTGCCGCAGTTTTGCCGTCACTGCTCCAATTGATAATTTTCATTTCTAGATTTCGATTGAAACCTATTTTCTCATTTTTGGTTAATTGCTTTAATGAAATTGTAGCTGTCAAGTTGTATATATTTGTCTGTTTGATAATTACATACAGTAGTATAGTAATATAGTTTCTATTTTGTATGAAATATAACTAAATATAATTAATTCGTTTAAAACTCAATTGTATATGGCAAAGAATCTATTTTACAAGAATGGTGAATTTTTCTAAATCGTATTTTAGACACAATCTCATCAAAGTTATTGTATTGTATTTTCAAATATACCAAACAAACAGTATACAAAAATCAAGAACATATAAACAGTATAGAAATCAAGAGCATAGTATAGAAAAAACATAACACTATCAGTTTCTCTATATAAGGGCAAAATCGTCCAAAAATATTTCTCTTTGTTACTTACTTAATTTTGAGTTTACAATAGCTATATTCTTAATTTTGACACTCAATACTGTTATCTACCAAATTAACCCTATTTGTTTATGTAATAATTATTTTTCTTTATGAGTTTTTATTCATAAAATTTTTTTTTGTTAAAGGGCCTATTTTATTCTTAATTTGATATCACTGAAATTGTTTAGCCAAAAAAAAACATGTGACACATGTCTTAAAGCGTCTCAGCCAACTAGTCCCACATGCATTTTTAAATCGTTTCCATAGCTTTGGGTGGTAATTAACGACAGTTTTTATTATTATCATCACTCAGTGTGATGTGTTTTCTTGTTTTTTTTATTATTAATAATATTTTATATATCAATAAAAATTGAAAACAATAAATGTAATTATGAAAATGCACATTTAACAAATTATTTTAGATGAAACTGACATAGGATCGTTCTTGTCACTGAAAAATATTTTAAATTTGTCCACACACAAACAACTGTATAGAAAAGTATATCTCTGTACGAAAAAGTTTGCATAACTGTTTATATATATATATATATATATATATATATATATATCTGTTTTGTTATTGTGTACTATTGGTTACGATTAATTTATTGTTTCTTCCAGGCTTTTGTTCTATGATAATTACAAATTTACAAGGTTCAGTTAAGAAAATGTACAAGTTAGATTTTAGAAGGGCACATCATCTAGCTAGCTATATGTTTGTTTGCTTGTTTGCTTATACAATATCGCACAACACAAAAACAAAAACAAGAAGAAGCATGTAATCCTAGGAGTCTGAGAATTGTACTTTAAATAATTACAAAACACTAACAAATAGAAGGAAAAAAAAACGCTACTGACGGAGCACTTGCGAGAGGGGGACGGTCGGAATAAAGTACACGTGATAAGTTCTGTCATTTTGACATGTGTCACTCTGTGAATGGATGGTCAGTTCATTAGATCCTGGTCAATCATGTGATGCTTTTCCGTTTTCCGTCACGTGGCACTGCATAAAGTAAGAGCATGTGGATCCGACGTCACGAGTTTCTGTCACGTGTCATCATAAAATTTAGAAGCTAGAATTATAATTTCTGCTCACTTTGTGTAGCTTGTGTTCAACAACAATACCACATGCCTTTTCATAATCTAATAATTCAGTCTGTTTTAGTTCACTTTATATGTATTTGATTTGGCAGTCGTTATATGTATATGGAATGGAACAGGAATTTCTGAACTCGTTTAAATTAACTTTTTCTGGATTTTTAATTGGGTATTTGCATTGTTATTGCATATGTTACCAATTCAGTCAACTGTTTATTTTCTTATCTTTATAATAATTTCAGATATTTCTCATGCAAATTTATAAAATGTTTAATACCATGGATCACTGGTTCATCTTTGCGATATCATGCTTCACGCATTGCTACTTTGACTCTAAATTAGTAAATAAATATGCTAATATTTTTTTCAAGGTCTAAAAGAATTACTAACTTTAGTATTGAGATTCAGTTTCGAGTCTTTTCGACTAAGAAAATAAAACGATTAGTTGATAAAAAAAGAAAGAAAATAAAACGATTATAACCTTTAAAAGAACTAGTAACCAATAAAATGACACCTCCAAGATTTAATTTGGTAAAATTGTGGACCATTTATATTTTATTGAGTATGTCCTAGGGAGCACCCATACGTTGTACGAGAGTCGAGAGGACACATGACATGACGGTCATATTACAGGTTACATTCATGAATTTCTTGATTTTATTTGTATAAAATATTTTCTCTCTGGCAGATGGATTTTTCTCTTTTTGAATGGAACACTTGATGCATAACATCTGACCTAACTTTTAAGAGTGAAAATAACTGAAGCACTATAATTTAGTATAAGGAATAACCCATATAATAGTCCATTGATGCTTGTGCTCATATGCTGATATGCCATGGCATGTGTTTCAAGACGTCGGTCCAAATTTACTTAAATGAACAAATTGAGGGGAAAATGAATTTGATTGGATCAATGTTATCCAGTTTTATTACTAGTATTAAAAATGCTTCAGATCTCTCCTTGATAATTGTTCTCCGGAGCCTATGAAATCCCAATATTATCTCTCTTACGCATACCAAAAAGTGGAGTAGTGAGTGACGTTATATATGCATACACTACAAATTATATATGTATTTATATACCCATACGGCTATATACATGCTGACATGCACCAATAATTTTAACAAAATTATCCTTTTCCTTAAAAGAAAAAACAATTCAACAAAATTAAAGTGTCATTTAAGTATAGACAAGTCTACATTGCACAGACTGTCTGTTTGGTAAAATCATAGTGAGAGGTACGGTTTCGGCTAATTGGTAGTATCATGCAACGTCCAATCACTAAACGAAACTAATGTGTTAGCAAAACCGGTTTGTCCAAATTATGGAAAAAGTATTGATCTAGGCAGAGCGGCGCATAGTACATATATATCACACAAGTTTAAGATACTTGCTACGCGCTTATCCATAGTTCTCAATATCCATGTCAAAACACCTCGTTTATCTTTACATAAACCTTGACAGAAAACTGGACCGGTTCTTGGAACCCAAATCGAAAAGACCAAGTCCCAAATCCGGTCAAAATATGTTTACTTCGGTAGGGAAAAGAGCGTACAAGGAAGGTGCTTTGCTTGTAAGAGAGGAGACTTTGTCTCTTTTGAGGAAGCTAATTTAAATGTTTGCTTTGGTCTCTCTGGTCTTCATGCGAGACCCTAAAGCTGCCATCTCCCTAGTCGTCGGGTTCTTGTGAGACAAGGGTCAGGCCTTGTTTTTTTTGTTGTTAAATAATTTGATAAACAAAAATTAAGAATGAACCGCCGTCTGTGGGGATCGAACCCGCGGCCACGGGATTAAAAGTCACGAGCTCTACCACTGAGCTAAGACGGGGATTGCTTTAACTTAAATTTATATTTACTTGATTACATCAACTATTACCGAGAAATTTTACCACTCATAAGGGCATCTCCAATGTATTGCCCCATATTTTGCTCCAAAATGAAGAAATCTCAAAATAGGTTGGGTTTTGCTCCAATGTATTGCTTCATTTTTTGCTTCAAAAAGAATATTCCTAGAATATTCTTTTGAAAAACTTTTTATTAATTACTAAATTTACATTGTATATTTATATCTATTACAAATTGCCCCATATATTTTTTTCTTCAAAACTTTCACAATTAATTATAATTATTTAAATTAATTATGAAAATATTAATAATACATTATTACAAGACTAAAATAACAACATAAATACTACTTCTTCTAAAGGAACTCTCACAAACTACTTCTTTTGGAAATATTTTAGTGATATTGGTGGATCCGGAAACTAAATTAAATTAAAAATCAGTAATAAGTTGTTTTAATAAATTTCTTTTTGATGTTATTTCTAATAAAAGTGTTCTTTTTTTTAAATTTATTATTAGCTTAAATAATTAAATTTCTTATTAAATATGTGTTATTTGTATTTTAGAGTAAAAATAAAGATCAAAATAATTAATTATATATCTTAAACTGAATTAATTTAAAACTTCAAGGACTGTTATATAAATTAAAAACTTCAACTCCAAAATGGAGATGAAAATGGGATCAATCTCATTTTGGGAAAAAATATGGCATTTTGCCATTTTGAGATTGAAAATGGGGTTGGGTTGGAATAAAATTGGTTTCAAAATGATAATAAAGATGAAATATGGAGTTGGGTTGGAGATGCTCTAATAGTATCCCGCTGACCAAAAAATTGGACATAACATATTGTAGTTTTCAAGATAAATAGTGGGTGTTGATAAATGTGAGCATGAGACTACATATCATTAATGTACACTTCAATAACTCTCTTGAGTGTCCTTTTTTTGTGAATTAAATTCTAAACCTAACCGGCGGCATAACTTCATAATCATGATAATAAGTGAGGCCCAAAAGACCTGCCATAACTCTCAGTCCTTCACACTTCACACTTCACACTCACTTCTCTGTCAATGGCCCTAAATCCCCTTAACTGTATATATACGTTTTTGTCTATTACAAATTCGTCGTTTATACATCTTTCCATATTTCACACTAACAGATTCATATAATTTTGCTTTTTAGTAACTGAAAAAATAGGGCTTTCCCAATGTGTGCCATTCACATGAATTCTAATATTTTGAAGGTTTTCTATTTTTTTTGGTGTAACACCGGGAGCTAGCTCCCAGTTTATTCAAACAAGAAAAAGTACTACAAACGAACTTGCCGAGGACGTGAGTCGCCACGCTCATCATCCCGCAATACACTTAACAGAACCGAAGGAACAAAATCAAAAACATGAAGCCCTAGTGGCAAAGTAAAAGCATAGTTAGCCAATCCATCAGCTAGACGATTGGCCTCCCTATACACGTGAGTAACCCGGACCTCCCAGTCCTTTGATAAGAAGCCATGGCACAGATGCACCAGGAAAGACAGTGGGTGTGTGTCACAGATCCTGTCTGAAGAAAACCTACCACCAGTGAAGAGTCCACCTCGACTTCCAGTCTCGAGACCCCCTTCTCCCACGCAATGCAAAGACCGTAGTAAACGCCCCACAGTTCCGCCATTGGTGCTGTGCAACGTCCAATATTCAACGAGAATCCTCCATGCCATTGTCCGTCACCGTCACGTATCACACCTCCTGCTGTTGCCAACCCCGGATTACCACGAGAGGCCCCATCCGTATTTAGCTTCATCCAAGTAACTAGTGGTGGCAGCCACGAGATAAGTCTCTCCTCCCTTGTCACTACTCTCCGATTGTCACTTCTCAACATAACTTGATGCACTTCTCTTGCATATTCTTTCACAAATTTCACCCTATCCTTCCAGAGTCTGTTGTCTCCAAAGATATTGCCACAACGCCATTTCCACGCCCACCAAGCCGAGACAGCAAACATAGTCGACCAGGGTCCAAACCCTGTCTCAGCTTCTTCACTCAAGTTTGCATACAACCAGTCAAGGAGAGGTATCGCAAAGAAGATTCGTTGCTTACCTCTCGGAACAATACGTCTCCATATCCCTGACATCGCAGGGCAATCTCGTAACACATGCAAAGTAGATTCCACTCCAGCTTTACATACTTGGCAAATCCCGGTGTCACTCATGTGTCTACGAAGTCTTTCTTGGTTTGTCATTATCCCATAGTTACTAACTAGCCAAAGGAAGACGCGTACTCTCTCCGGTGCTCTTATTCTCCACACACGTCTAAAGAAGTTGCTCATGTTCGGTTTAAAGTACTCATCCCGTGACAAAAGGCGATATGCTGACGACACCGTGAACCTCCCGTCAGCTGTCTCCCCCCAGGATATTGTGTCTGATCTCCCGGCGTTCAAGTTCACCACCACAGCCGCCATTTCCAGTCTCGTCTCCTCTGACGTATATGGTATGATTCTCTGGAGGTCCCACCCGATACCATTGCTCCATAAATTTCCCGCCTTCAGGTGTAAGGCCTCTAACGGTATCTCTGCCATAGTTAAATCACAGAGAGCAGAACCCATTAACCACTTGTCTGTCCAGAAGTTAATACTCTGTCCATCCCCCATAACCCAACTGTGACCCGGAATAACCACATCTTTGATAGCCAGGGCCACACTTCTCCACGTGGATGACCATGTTCCTTTAGAGACTAACCAAGAGCCATCATGAATATCTCCGACTTTGTACTTGCTCCGAATCACCCTTGCCCACAAACTAGAGAAATCGTGCATCACCCTCCAACCCACTTTCGCGAGTAAGGCTTTGTTCATAAGATTCGACTTACGGATACCCAGACCTCCTTCTGCTTTTGGTTGGCACAGTCTCTCCCAACCAATAAGATGCTGTTTCCTCTTCTCAGCCGTGGATCCCCACACGAAATCTCGTGACACACGGTCTAAAGCTTTCGCCGTCGATTCCGGAAGCTTGCACGCACTCATAGTGTGCACCGGTACTGACCCGAGAACTGCCTTCGTTAAAGTGATGCGCCCTGCCAAACTTAACACACGCCCTTTCCATCCCGCTAGTTTTGACGAGACTCTTTCAACTACCATGCCAAACGTTTCCTTATTAATCCTTTTCTGCAAAATAGGCATCCCAAGATACACGCCTAGCTCTCTTGTTGCCTGGATACCGCTTGCTGCACTGATGGCACTACTCAACTCTCGAGAGACATTGTCTGAAAAAAATATCTTTGATTTCTCAAGGCTAACCTTTTGTCCCGAGGCTTGACAGAAGTTCTCCAAAACGCTACGTACTACTCGGACCTGAGCAACAGATGCCTCTGCAAATAGAATTAGATCGTCGGCAAAACAGATGTGAGAGAGTTTGGGACCGCCTCTTGATAGACTAATCGGTTTCCACTTCTTATCATCTATAGCTTCCTCAATCAAGTGACATAATCTCTCCATGCATAGTACAAACAAATATGGTGATAGTGGATCACCTTGCCTCAAACCTCTCATTGGAACAAAGCTATCTGTTCTCTCCCCATTCCATATCAAGCTCATGTTTGGACCGGTGACGCACTGCATGATCCAGACCACCCATTGTTCTGTGAAACCCGCTACTCGAAGAGAATCTTCTAAGAAATCCCATCTGATCCGATCGTATGCTTTCTCTAGGTCTAGTTTGAGCAGCATCCAACCTTTTTTACCCTTCTTCCTCCTCATTGAATGTACAACCTCCTAGACAATCACAATGTTATCAGTACTCAGTCGACCCGGGATGAAGCTTGATTGGGCTGGTCCAATCAACTTAGTCATGACCGGTTTCATTCTCTCCACCATAACCTTCGTGATGATTTTGAGTAAAACGTTGCACATGCTTATGGGTCGAAATTGTTGAATCTTCTCCGGACTCGCAACTTTAGGCAGCAAAACCAACATGACATCATTAGTTCCCTGCGGCAGCGATCCCGTGCGGAAGAAGTCTAGTGCGAAACGAGTGACAGATGCCCCAACTTCCGTCCAGCATTTCTGGTAAAACACCGGTTGGAACCCGTCCGGCTCCGGTGCTTTAAGACTCCCCATACTCCTAACTGCCTTCACTATATCCTCCTCAGAGAACGGGATGTTCAAGTCCCTGAGTTGAAGCTGAGTCAGCTCCACAAAGCCCTCTGCCGGTAACGGTACAACGACTTGGTCTACATCTTGCAACGAATATAAACGCTGATAATAAGACATCGCCAGTTTCTCAAGCTCCGGAGTATCTGAAATCCAAGCACCAGCATCATCCTTAAGCATCTCAATTCGGTTGCGCCTGCGCCGAATAATAGTAGAGGTGTGGAAGAAGGTGGTGTTACGGTCACCGTGAGCCACCCATTTCTCCCTCGACTTCTGTGCCCAGATCATCTCTTCTTGTTCCAACAGTGTATCAAACTCCTTCAATAGGTCAGCCTCCCGCTGTAAGAGCTCGTCTGAGCACATATTCTCCAATTCGACCTGCACCTCCTGGAGCTCCTTAACCAACTTTTCTTTGCGCTTCCGGACATCCCCAAACACATCTCTGTTCCATTTTTTAAGCACGTCTTGCAGCTTACTTAGCGCTCTCTGCGTATCAAGCGTTGCATCCCATGACGCCGAGATAAGCTCTTTAAAACTGGAATGGCTCAGCCATGCCGCTTCAAACCTGAAGGGTCGTCTTCTCGCATCCCCATGAACTTCCGGCACAAACTGTAAGTATAAGGCTGCGTGGTCTGAAGAAAGAAAGGGTAGATGGGTCACCGTTGCTTCCTGCCACTTCAATCGCGATTGAGCACAACACAGAACTCTATCCAGTCTCTTTGCCACAAAGAATCTTTCTTCTTTACCTCTTTTCCAAGTATACTGATTCCCCTTAAAACCCATGTCAATGAGGGACAACTCGTTAATCCAATCCCCAAACGCTAAAGAATCCGGCGATAGACGACCATTACCTCCGGTTCTCTCGTCAATTCTTACTATCGTGTTAAAGTCACCACCGACAATGATCGGCTCACTCACCCCTTGGATTAGATCCCGCAGTTGACCCCAGAGTCCGGCTCTCCGGCTTACAGATGGAGCCGCATAAACCGCGACAAAGTGAACCACCTCCGACTCTTTCGTCACCTTCACATGAATGAACTGAGATTCCGACCCGAGAACCTCAACTTCTCCAATCCCCTGTCTCCACAATAGCCATAACCCACCACTATGTCCCTCTGCCTTTACGCGAGACGAATTCTCAAATCCCAGACCTCGACATATCTGACCTGCCTTCTCTGCGCCAGCGTGTGTCTCGAAAACCGCTAAAATGTATGTATTCCACTTTTTCACCATGTATCGAATCGATCGTCGGAAGTTTGGTTTGTTTGCCCCCCGGCAGTTCCAAAATAGACAATTCATCTTCATTTGATAGATTATGCAAAGAAATACCGGGACGAAACATTACGCTCCAATCTCTTCCGATGGCTTCTCCACCGCGGCTCCATGCATAGCCAAGTCAGATCCCGCTTCCGTCTCCACCTGACTCGGTTGTACATCCATCGGCACATCACGGTGGTGCTGGCCCTCCACTGAATTGGCCTGAGTCTCCACTCTCTCGTTTATCGCCACGCCTCCGGAACGACCCACGTCCGACTGCTCAACTCTCGGACGCTTCCCATTCACCGGAAGTTCAATGTCATCTGTTCTGGGCCTAAAAATCAATCCTCTAGCGGGCCTGTTCACCTTTGGTTGTTTTGGTCGGCCCACTACACCAGCTTTGCCCTGCCCAATCCTCTTACCATTTGAAACACTTCGGTTTTGTTTCAATCCCTTACCCGAACCGGAACCAAACACAATACCGTTTCCGTGCTCCCAACTCTGCTCCCGGTTTACATTCGCGTTTGGGGCAATATTCTCCTTACCCACTAATCTTGTATCTTCCTTTGATCCCCGGATCCCGCGTATTTCCTTTCCTCTATCTCTTTCCTTCTCCCTCCCTGAGTCATCAACGCCAAGATTTTCCATATTCTCCTTGAGGCTTCCAAAACTATTAGATAACGCTATATTTGGCTCCCCACTTGCCTTATTCGGTGCACTACCATCAATGCCAGCTCTTGCCAGTTTTGCCACCTCCGCAGGTTGCTTTCTGCCCATCCGTACTTCAGTAAAACCCTCCACCGCCGGAGCTCCTTCTTTGTCACGAGCACTCATTGGTGAAGTTTGTGTTACTGCTACTGGGACCGTTTCATGAGGTTTCTTGGGACACGAGTGGACCAAGTGGCCATAAAGTCCGCACCATGAACAAATGTTCGATAACCCCTCGTATGACACGAAATATCTTTCCCCATTGATCACTATCGTTCCCTTCAAAGGTTTCTTAAGATTGACCTCCACACACACCCTCGCAAAACGTGCTCTCTCAAAGTTGAGGGTAGTGTCATCTACCTTTACTGGTTTCCCGAGACCTTTCGCAATACCCATCAAAATCTTTTGATGGTAAAAGTTCACCGGAATATTTGACAACCTAACCCACACCGGTGTTGTCTCAGTATCACTCTTCAAAGGATCGAAATCTGGAGACCATGCTTGAGACATAAGGTAGCTCCCAAACGCCTTCCATGGACCTCCCGTTAGTGCAGCCAAAAACTCTTCCTCACGCTCAAAGCGAACCATGAAAAACTGTCTCGGTAGATCCATGACATACATCACACCTTTAGGTTTCCAAAGCTCTCTCAACTTCCTGCTCATAACTGCAATCGAAACGCTCCTCCCAAGAACCCTAACAATCATACAGTTTTTCCATAGCCCGTTCATAGCTGTCAAAACCTCCTCACCAATCGTTACTACCGGTTCTCCCTCTTCACCATCAGGAAACTCCAAACAAAGTCTTGCTTCAATGAAGGCCGCGTCCACCACCTCCTCCGGGACCAACCTGCCTCCCAAACTACCTCCCCCCACCTTCTGCGCCCACGAATCCGGTGCATCCGGCGGCTCCCCTGGCGGCCGCCCCTTCTCACCGGCGTCCTCCATGTGAGCGTCTTGAACTCGAGCGCCGTCAACCCTAGAGTCGCCTGCCGTAAACCTTAGCATTCTGTTTTGCACTTTAAATTTTTTGAAGGTTTTCTATAATCACACGGTAAAGGTGTCAGTGAAGAAAAGCTTTAACATCTTTTTTTTCTCTGTATATATTAAGTATTTACTTCTAAATAACAATCAATAAAGACAAAATATAGGAAATCAGTTTCAAAAGCCGCTAATAGTAACAGTTGATGATTTAGAAAGAAGAAAAAGTTTTGACATTTGGAAATGTGAATCTAAGCTGGAAATGTGAATAGTAGCAGATGATATTTTTAAAGTTCATGAACCATTCATAATTTTCAAAAGGTTAAAGAAAATATATTTTCCATTGAACAACCAAATTTTAAATTGATGAAATTCTCCACTTACGTAAAAAACCATTTTATATATATGCAATGTTTCTAAAAATACAGAAGAAAATAAACTGTTTTTTTTTTTTTTTAAATTGATCACTTACCTTAAAAAAACAAACATATCATATTATATAATCGTTATAGATACAATGTTGACTGCAAGTTATTACATTTAAATAGATGAAATTTAAAAGGTTTGACTACAAAGATGATAGTTCAAGTACAAAAATAAAACAAATTGTCGATATCAAACCAAAAAGGCAAAAACAAATGTGGATGCAATGGTGGAATACCATGGAAAGCTTGCGGTTTTTTGGCAGAGGAAAAGTGAGGTTGGTAATTTTACGGATATTATGTGTGTATTGATTTCATTGGATAGGATTGGAGAAAGGATTCTTGGGAAGATTGAGTGGTCTGGTGTCGTAGCCACTGTCCCCACTTACAATAAGTTTGTGCATTGTTTAGCTGCTTCTCATTATTCCATCGTGCGCACACACATTGTTTTGTAGACTGTTTATACATCTCTCACTGTTTCTTTCAAACAAAGTTTATATATCTCTCACTATTCATAGACTTTTTTTTGCCAATTCTTAAGGCTTTTGTTTTTTGTTTGTTTGATGGTTACATGTTATTGGACAATATGTATAATTTGAACTTTTTAAGGACTGGTTCTCGCAGATTTATGAAGTTTATTATTATTTGTATAAGTATAATTTAGTTGCTTCTTTTCTATGTTCTCTAAAAACATATTGAATAAAAACCTATACCGGTATCGATTTGGACGCCTACAAATAAGATTAGTTATTAACCAGTTGTGCAGAGAGTCGTTGGTGATTCAGATAAGTCATTTGGCCACGAGATGGCTTCCAAATTACAAAGTCAATTAAAATGTAACTAAGTGAAGGAATATGGAATGTTTAAAGTGGAATGGGGTGGAGTAGTTACAAAGACTTCTTTGAGGACATCAGTACCTTCCTTGTAACACCCATCCATCACTCGTGGAATGCATTAAAGTCTGTCGTGGTACACATGAATGGATTAAACGAATCTTGTCCTTGTTGCTGTTGTGAGAAGACATGAGTCTGTCTCTCACGTGGCTTTATCACCGAATCAATCTCTCTAGCTACTTCATCAGATTCATACGAAAGATACTAAAATTAGATGATCATGAATCATGTTCTTTGCAATCAAGACTCGAGACTCATGATGAACTGTTCACGTGTTCTTACAGAGAGGTCAACATCATCATCACTAGTAATCTTAGTAGCCCTCAAACTTAAACAGAACAAATCGTGTTTTCTCAGCTTTTGAGAAAAAGTTTGGTTTTGAAGAAAAGAACGAGGAAAGAGAGAGAGTTTTGTTTCAAGACATAGTGAGACTTTTAGAGCGTGAAGAAGGGGAGTTATGAGTCTAAAACTCATTCTTGATGCTTCCATTTTTAGTCACATACAAAAGGTATAACACCAGAGGCAATACTCAAAATACTCTGTTTTTATGTTTTGGCTTTCTTGTATGTTTCTTTGTTTTAAATTGTATGTTTCTTTGTTTTAAATTGGGAGAGGCTGAGACAATGAATTGGATCAAAAAATTACTACTGAAGTTTTTTCTCTCTCAGATCGCATTTTAATATTTCCACAAGAAGCATTATTACATTTATGAAGTACATTATGACAACTTACTATCTTTTCTTATGATCGATAATTTCGATAACTGAAACTAGTAACATGCAACATAATTAAACAAATTGCTTAGCCTTTAATAGTTCCATTGGCACGTCACGTCTTAGTGGTCGTACCCACTTTTTACTTAATGAAAGTCAATGGCCAGGGTCGTCTTCTAAAACTAGGTTTTGTGTCCGGTATGAACATATATTTTTAAATCTCGAATTATAGAGGTCAACTAATAATCATTCATTGGAAGATATAAAACATACTTGATTACTGAGTAAACTATATATTAAAACATGTAAATTATTGAACCATATAGATCGTTAAAGTAAAGTTGAGATTAAATCACTTTAAATCATATGTTTCAATTTTTTTTGCTGTAAAACTGAGAATTCTATTTAAAAGTTGTAAAAAAAAAAAACAATAGAAAACCTATTTGACTATAAGCTATTCATATTTACATTTTTGAATTAAAATTACCCATTTAATAATAATTGATATTTTTTTTTCTTTTGAATCTCAACTTTTATAAAAATATTACACGCGTTTAAACCTCATCAACTTACTCACACATAATAATTAATAAATGGTTAGTCTTCTTATAATTTTCTCAAAAATATTTAATTTAACGCATATCATCATCTGATTAATATTAGAGACATACCGCAATCCAATGAGATAAAGATCTTACGTGTTAAGCACATCCACATTTATATATACTACTCCAGTTGGCTGTTAGCCAATAAAAAGTTGAGATAATAGAGAGAAATAAATCTTAGCGTAATCATCACTAACATTGTATTCTTTAAAAATTAATATCATTTGCAATATTTCAAAAAAATTACTTCTTAGAAAAAGGTGAACCCAGATTTTGGATAAAAATGACATTATTCTACCGAGATTTGGTCTATCTTAAAAGGGGAAATGAATCCAAAGAAATTTAACAATTCATCTTTATATTCATCTTATTTCTCTATCATATATCCACTGATTGCTATTCTACTCATTCTTCTTACTCATTGCCATCCCTCGTCTTTTACTAAGATTTTTTTTAGGTTTCTTTGCAACGATAGAGAGTATGACTGTGTCTTCTGTTGATTTTTCCTAAAAAATAATCAATGGAAGACACGATCATACTCTCGGTTGTCACGAAGAAAACCTAAAACTAAATCATTGTAGAGGATGAGAGATTGCAAAATCGTGAAATTCAGGGGAGTAAACAAGAGTTCATCAGGTGCTTACTCTGGATCCCAACAAACTATCACCTAAATCTCCAATGCGTCAACAAAACCCCCATGTCCCTCGTTCGCTCCCATGAGTTCCACCGTTTGCGATTACTCACCTCCCCAAGGATTCCATTTATGTCTCCTTCACTTACGAATACTATGATGATGTCTTCACTTGGTTTACTTTCAGTCCCATCGGAATAGAAACTGAAATTGAGATTAAGAAGACAGTTACGACTGAGCATCGATTGGTCCCAATTATGTTCCCTTGTAATGGTTGTTTAGCTGTTTCTCATTTGATTCATCATTTGCTCTCTTTATGCCAACAAAATTGTTCGTTTAATATTTTTTTCTACGTCCTTAAACATCATCATTTGTTTAAAACAACACAAACATATAATCTTAAAAACAATTTATAAAACTGTAGAATCGACAAGAGCGCTTCATATAATCACAGATTCACACAAACAAAAAGTTCCAACAAAGTACATAGATCAGATGCATACACAAATGTTTCAACATGTACTACTTGTCAATCCAACACATTTTGATTCAGTTTTTTCTCGCAATTACGTTTCAAACACTGATCGTGAATCTCCACCTCCAATAGATATTGGGTTGTCCATAGGATTAGCCCATTTCTGAAGCTTCATATCCATAAATTTGACGGCCGAGTTAACCTGTGAAAGAATCAAAACCTGATTAAAACTCGAAACACTTGATGGAATTAGGAACAAGAAAAGCTTACCGATTGCGAAGCGGTCTTGTACAAAGTTATCCCCAATGGAACTACACAAAACCTGTTCCACACCCATACTTAAAATTCAGTTTCCTACTTCGGTTCCTTTTTCATATAAGAAGAAGGATTCGACTTACATTCCTCGGCCGCCGGCGAGAGCTTCCTCCGATGGATCCTTCCACTCGTCGACCCTAGTAGAAGCCACAGCACATAACAATTTGTTTTTATCTCGTTTCGGAAATTCGGAAATGATTAAAAAATGAGTGGTGAAGATAGAGTAACTACACCCAGCCGTATCGGCGGTCAAAGAGAAGCCGTCTGGAGGAGCTTTTTCTTGCGGTGGCCGGCGGTTCCATCTCTCGCCGTCGGCAGACCGATAGATTGATAGGAAAGAGAGAGAGACTAAAGGAACGGTAGAGGATAATAATATATATTGGGCCTATCGGTAATTAACGGTCCATTGGGCCTGTTTAGTCAGCCAAAACACGTGTCGGGATCTCTACGGGTTTATATTATTACACGTGTCATGATCTCAGTTGGCCGTTTCCGCCATTGACAATGAGAGTGCAGAAGCTGAGACCGAGGTAGATAGATGCCGGAGATTTACTCAGGGAACACTAACGAACTGTTTCAGGGCTATTAGAAGAAAGAAAATGAATGTCAGAGAGAAGGTCAAAATCGTAATTACGGTAGCTTCTGTTGTCGCTGTGACAGTTCTGTTCGTGGCGGAGTATAGGCGGCGCCGCCATCACCGGAGGAAGCAGACATCTCCGTTAAGCTCCTGTTATCTGCATTCAGAGCTTAAGCCGCAGTTCGGTTTCAAACGCGTTCTTGCGGATAACTCTTACACTGGATTCAAACACTTGAAGTTGGACGATGTGCCTTCCTCCATAGGTGAATTTGAATATCTCTCAAAGTTTGAATTTTTATATCACAGAGAGAAATCCCAAAATCTTAACTTTTTTTGTTTTAATGACAAATAGAATTGAATTTAAAGTTTACTCATTTACTGCATAGATTTTGGTATTAAATGTTTGAAATTGAAACCAATGCAGAGAAACCTTCTAATTGTCATCCATATGAGAGTGAGATCAATGTCTTGTTAGAGAATCCTCTACTTGAATTTGGCTTTTTGAAGGGAGAGTTTCCATTGGAAATGAGTGATTCGTATGTGTGGGTTGAGACGGAGTCGAAGTTGAAGGAACTTGCAAAAACATTGTCAAAAGAAAATGTTTTTGCAGTTGATACTGAGCAGCATAGTTTGCGGTCATTTCTTGGTTTCACTGCTCTAATTCAGGTGTGGAAAATGTTTAAGAATCTTGTTTGTATTTTGGTTTTCGCTTTGATGTTAGGAGTTTTCTGAATATTTCTCTCTGAAAACTTGTAGATTTCTACACAAGAGGAAGACTTTTTGGTGGACACGATTGCATTACATGATGCAATGAGTGTTCTTCGTCCTGTTTTCTCTGATCCTAATATTTGCAAGGTATATCATTCGATAATTATGCTCTATGTTAGAGAATCTTATGAAGCATTTATATGTTTCTTACAAGCTTATGGGGTAATCTGTTATATCCTTGTTCGAATATTAATCCGTGATTCTGCTTTTAGGTGTTTCATGGGGCTGACAACGACGTTATCTGGCTTCAAAGAGACTTCCATATATATGTTGTTAACATGTTTGATACTGCCAAGGTACTCATTTCTAAATCCTGCACTACTTTTTAAGAAGTGGTATCAGTTTAGATAAACTTGTTCAAAGATAGTAAGCTTTTGTGAAATGCTTTTGTGAATGCGATAAAATCAGGCATGTGAGGTGTTGTCAAAGCCTCAAAGGTCGTTGGCGTACTTACTTGAGACAGTCTGTGGAGTGGCTACTAACAAATTGCTTCAGGTGAGTCCTTTCACATTAAGGTTTCTTCCTCGCAATCTCTTATGCTAAGCTTGATACGTATCTTCACTACAGCGTGAAGATTGGAGACAGCGTCCACTCTCCGCGGAGATGGTGCAATATGCGAGAACAGATGCACACTATCTTCTCTATATTGCTGATAAATTGACTGCTGAGCTCAAACAGCAAGGCACTGGTAAGCATCTTATTATCATGGATCAACATTTTTGTTTATATGCTGTAAAAATGTAGGCTTAACTCGGTGGTAATGTGAGGAAAACATGAATTTTAAGAACCATATTGTTTATATTCTTGCGATAAAGTTCTAAAACATTAATGTATCAGAAGATTCATCTAGCCGCGATGACAGATTCCATTTTCTTCTCGAGGCTATTAGGCGATCAAACATGACTTGTTTGCAATTGTACACGAAAGAAACCGAAGACTTTCCTGGGAATGCTGCTGCTTCCTCATTAATTTATCGGCATTTAAATGGTCACGGAGATAACTCTACCATCTCCTTGGATGCAGAGGTGTGCATTTCCCTCACCCTATCATGTGTACTCAATTAGATATCGAAGCATCGTGTTGATGTTCACCATTTTCAGTTTCAGGAGCTTGTAAGGGAACTTTGTGCATGGAGAGACTTAATGGTAAGATAATTCCCCTGTTCAAAATGTTGTAGCTGCAAGACCTATTTCCTTGTTGTAATGCCATTCAACATGTATGTTCTTTTCTTTTTTGCAGGCACGGATTCATGATGAAAGCACACGATATGTGTTATCTGACCAGGCTATTGTTGCTCTTGCTAGTAAGAAGTCAACTACAACCGAAGATGTATATGATGCAATAGCTCAAGCTGATTTGGCTACAGAGTCTTCTCCAAGCTTGAATTTATCAATACAGTCCTCCCCATCTCCGGTTATTTGTAGTCATTTGGATGATATCTATCAAATGACTCAGGACAATGTGGCTAAGATAGATGATATTTTACCACTGGTTCTTCAGAAATGCTTGGGAACAGATGGAACCTGTCCTATCTCTATCTTCAATTACTCTCTCTTGGTAAACTTCAGCACAAAGCTATCTACTCGCTCTGCTCCTCCCAAGCAAAATGGACATAAGAACAACTTCAAGCAGTTCACTCGAAAGGCATCGAGAGAGCTCTTTGTCAAGAAGTTTTCATGCAAGGCTCCTGTTTATCACAACTGCAGAATATACGCAAACGATGGACGGTTGCTATGTTACTGCGATAGAAGGAAACTTGACTGGTATATGAACCGAGGTCTTGCAAAGCTAGTCGAAGAAGATCCGCCTGCGATAATGCTTTTGTTCGAACCTAAAGGACGACCGGAAGATGAAGGGAATGATTTTTATATCCAGACCAAGAAGAATATCTGTGTTGGATGTGGAGAAGGGAATCACTATCTGCGTTACAGGATCATACCTTCTTGCTATAGAGTCCATTTCCCGGAGCACCTGAAAAGTCACAGGTCTCATGACATTGTTCTACTTTGTGTGGATTGTCATGAAGTTGCTCATGCTGCTGCAGAGAGGTACAAGAAACAGATCGCTACAGAGTTTGGGATTCCTCTTTTCGTCCGTAGAGTACTTGATTCAAAAGAAGCACAAGGGACATCATCATCTTCAATGGAGTATGAATCAAACGGTAACTCTGAGGATGCAGGTGTCTCTCCATTACATCTTAGAACAGCTGCAATGGCGCTCTTGCGACATGGGAACCGAATGCCATCAAGTCGCCGTGACGAATTGTTGCAGGTAATAATACTGAGAGCATCTAATTTTTTTTTCTGATCATCATGCTGATATTGATGCTTGTTTGGTTATTGGATATTTGGATATAGACTGTGAAGATGTATTACGGTGGAAGAGACGTATCTGAAGAAGATTTGGAAAGAGCTTTACTCATCGGGTTGAGCCCTCACGAGAGAAGAAAACTCGAAAGAAAGAAAAGTGGTTCCATTATTGGTCTTATGGACAAACAAGAAACCAGTAACAATGGTAACCATATGATAAACACTGATCAAAGGTTACATTGTAAGCTGTTTTTTGGTTTATAAAAGGCTAACTATATACAATGATGATCCTTTGTTGTATTGCTACAGATACTGCTGGAAACAGCTTCGCATCTTCTGATGGTGATGAAGCTCCTGCAGTTTCTGAGAATCATATGAATGCAGAAAGTAGCGTAGTTGATGAAGATAGTGGAAATGGTGCAAGTGGAGGAGATGGAGCAGCTACAGAGCTAAATGATACTCAATGTAACGGAAACACTATGCACCAACAGAACTCGAAACTCTCTTTGCTAGGACATGGACCGCACGGGAAACAGATTGTAGAGTATCTGTTGAAGGAACATGGAGATGATGGTGTTCGTGATTTCTGTCGAAGGTGGAGGAAAGTCTTTGTTGATGCTGTTCATCCTCGCCATTTGCCTGGTGGCTGGGATGTTAGTCACAGGTAACCTCTCAATACTTGAAACCACCTTTGCTTCTGATGTTTGGATGTTCTGTGATAATATCTGGCTTACTCAAGAGAAAGACAGCTTTGGTGTCAGAAGCAAAAGGTCTTTGAACTTTTTAACAGAGGTAAACTTTGTTTGGACCTCGTTCTTTACAAGGGTTTGATTGCTTTGTTGTCAGTGGTCGGAGAGACTTTGGCGAATTCAGCGTTTATAATCCCACAAAGAGAGTCTCCACCGGGTAACTCAATCTTCGAGCTTCGTCTGTTTTCGTTCTTTCGCCAATTTTGAAATGAGTCGAGACTGGACTGGTTTCTTTTGTAACGCCTGGACCGCTTGTTGTATTCTTATGTAGACAGACCTCTCTGTACTTTTTGTTTTAGTCAAAATTGTGATCTCTCTTTTGAAAACAATAAAAGGATCTTTGCTTAGCCAAAACAGTAATGAACAAAAACGCTCCTTAAAAATCACTTAAAATCAGTTAACAAACACGAGCTCTTCGGTTTTGAACCGCGGCTCAAGAATCAAGATACACTGGCAGAAATGAGAGAACTCTAACTGGTAAATTGTTCTATCTTGTTCCCAATAACAAAGTTAGTTTTTAAACTACGAGGATAGATAAATGGGATATGTAGGAGTTCTCTGTAACCACCAGTGTCTAAGAATCTTCTATAATGTCAAAGACTCAGACTTGTGATCAATGCCGTTGAAGATGAAAGTTCCCAACATGGGAACAAACTGCTTCGTGATTAGCTGCAAACATTTGGAAACGACAAAACGTAAACATCTAACTACAAAATCCAACACAGTGATCATTTTGAGAGACAAAGATATGAATATGAACCAAACCTTGATTATTTCTTGAGATGCGATTCCTCCTACGAAAGCAGCAACCACGTGAAGCTCTGCAGCACCGAATCTGGACATCTCATTGCAAAGTTCTTCTGGAAGCACAAAGTCTTTGCAACCCATATCGCTAAGCAGGCTCAGGGCAGTAGTTTTCAATCTGGTTGCGTCCTCATCAACTTGTCTTCTGAAAAAAGAGACATGTCAATAGCCTAATAATGCCAAAGTTGTTCAGGATACAGCTTTTGCCAGAATGTAATCTTCTTACCCGTCAAACTGTCCAGGGAACTTCTTATAGGTCGCAGCAAATCTATCAACAGCTCTAAGAAGAATATAAAATCCAATTGCGCTACTGCAAGAAAAGGTAAACAACAACAGCCTTGAGGCCTAACAACAACAGGTCTCCAAACTGCTGAATGTAAGTATTTGGTCAGTTCAACAAAGACATTCGCACCTGTAATCCTCGCTAGCCGAACACTTGTGCAGTTCTGTTACAGAAGGATTGCTGAACTCATCCTCTAACATACGATATCTGCAGACCTACAAGGTGCATGTCCCAAAATGGTTTTACTTTATTCAAAGAGGCGCAATCGGTTTTATCATACAGTACATATAAGTTGTAAGAAACTCCAGCTATTCTCACCTTAAGTTTCCTTGCATTCTTGCAGAAGCTTTTGATGGTTGGCTTTGAGATGCTATGTGGATCTCGACCGATATTAGTTAGAATGTTTTTCACTCGGTGCTCCATGGAAAGACAATCAGCTTCAGCTTTGGTTTGGTAGATTTTCTGCAAATTGATGTAGTGCCTACAGAAGAACAATACAGCTATTTAGTAATTTGATAAGGATGAATTTCAGTCCTCCCTTGAAGTGAAGGAACATGAGAACTAACTCTGTTGAAGATGTCATATCGGGCATGGAACCTTCAAGTGGTGCCTCCCCACCACCTTCATTTGAAATAAACTCCTGCAGGTGATGCATATAATCAGTAATTTAGTAGGGTAAGCATTCAAGTCCGTGAGAAGCAGAACAAAGCTAGCATGGATCAAAGCAACAATCTAATATGTAGAACCACAACACACGTTCTCAAATCTCAACTACTTTCAGATGACGAACCTTGAGGGCTGCTACCATTATCCAAAAATCAGAGGAATTTGAGCCAACTTCAGCAGAACTGTCGTTTATAATTTCTTGAATCTCTTGGCCTGGAGGGAAAAAAAAACAGGTTTAGTTTGATGTGAGAAATATCTAATGTTAACTTTCATACTTTGAATATATACACCAAGATGCACATGGAATGATCAGAAAACAACTGTGATTCCGGAAGATAGTTGTCAATTTATTTCTTGTTGCAATCAGTTTCATTATTTCCAACATATATTTAGTATTAAAATGATAGATTTAATGTCTAATTTTGACCAATGCCAAACAATATGTAATACTCACTGATTCCTCGAGGAGCAAAAACTTTGAAGGTGGCTTCAATGGCTTCTTTGTAGTTATCTTCATCGAGTGATACCATCTTGGACTTAACTAAATCCTAAGATTTCAAGGAGAAGGGATATATTAGAACAATGAATCACAAGACAAGTAAAGCTTGCTAACTGTTTGCTGAGTATGAAGAAGTAAGGATACCTTAAACTCTCTTTTCTCTTCCCTCGTCAAGGGAAGGTTATTGTTATGGGATCGAGCCCATTCCTCAGCTATCTTGACAAGAATGACGACATAAGGAATGTGCTTATGAGCAATGGGATCTGGTGTTTTTATATCAATGGTATCCACAAACCTGCCGTTCATTAAATAATAAAAATTTCTTATCAGCCTTGTCAATTCACAATTTGGAAAACGTAATGAGTGAGGAGATGGAAGTAGAGCACCTCTTGAGTTCAGGCCACGGATTGTTCAAGCGAAGATCATCAAGAAAATGATCAGGCTTTGAATCGATAATGGTGTGCTCCTGATAGTTGAGAAAAGACACGACTTTTTAGAAGACTTACCATAACAAATGCCTAACACTGAATTTACTTAAAGTAAAACAAAATTATTACCTTTACACTGATCCGAACAAACCCAGTAAGGCCATAGGAGCGAGCAATAATCAACTTGACATTCGCTTCTCTGCAGATTCTATCTAATTTCACCATTGAATCTTCCACTAGCTACAATCAACACATTGGCGAAAATAATAAGACAATGCTCTGTGAAAATCAAGATAAGATCTTTCTTAAGAGAAAGGTTAATGCTTTTAAAGCAAGAAAGCCTTTTTATGTACCTGAGTGGCAACAACGAGAGTAAACTGAGAGAAGAAGGAAGGGTTTGTCATAATCAAAGAGTCTGGATTCTCTTCAATAAAGTTGGCTTTGACAGCATCGTTAAGCTCCTGAAGAAAGGCACATGTACACTTGGCTTTTGACTGACCAACACTCTTCTCATCCACTTTTTAACACACAAGAAAACAATCACCAATTTGCCAAAGTTAAGTCAACATTACAAGAGGAAACAAATAAAAACGAAGGAGGTGCAGGAGAGGATGAATGATACCCATGAAATTGTTTCCAAGGTCTCCAATTTCTACTTTGGATCCGTCAACAACGGTGATGCTTCCGATTCCACCGAGAACGAGGTTTTTGAGGGTTTCTGTGCCAGTAGGGCCACAATTTAGCAGACATATGCTTGCGTTTTCCAGAGCCGTTTGACCTAATTCTCCCCAAATCCTACGATTTTTTTTTTTCCGAACCATCACGAATTTTAGCAAAATCTCGAATTGGAACACTAGGAAGAGGAAATAGGAAGTACGATACAGTGGAGAGAAGTAGAGTCTTGAGGAGAAAGAGGATTGTTACCTGAGCTGACGATCGTACTTGGTTTTCTTCGGCTCCGACATTGTTGGTTCTTGCTCAACCCTTTTCATGGGTTTTTCAGTACTTCGTGTCTCAATCTCAACTAGAGAGAGCGAGAGAGAGACAGAGAGAGAGAGAAGACGAAAAGAGGAGTTCGGGAATAGAACTTGGCTTTTTACTTTTTTAGGAGAAAATTTGGAAAAAATTGTATTGCTTGAGACTTTTATTTTCTAAATAAATTGGAAAAATTACAAAAGATTAGGGGAGAAAATAGTAATTAGTAAACATAAAAATCACAGATTATTTTCTAAATAAAATACTGGATAATCTACAGCAAATTATTAATACATAAAAATTTAAATCAGATAAAATCAAATTTATGATATAAAATCACAGATTTGTTTTTTGCTAGATTAATACGTTTCATTTTTTTTTTAATACGTTTCATTGATTACAAAAACCACCATATGTCGAATTTATATGAGACACACATCAATATTCTTTTGTAAATTATTGACAAGTGACATCATAAAATACATATGTGATTTAAATATTTATTTTAAATATAATTGAACCGTGATAAAATGTTATTAAGTTTGAACAATTTTACTTTATTTAGTTTTTTTTAATCCAGCAATTTTATGAAGAAATCCCACTTCTTTTTGGCTTTTTTGCTAATTTTGTTATTTCTCCAAAAACAAACAAAGAATAAAGTTTTGATTAATTAACAAGACAAGTTTAATTAAAACTTAAGAAAATGGGCTGTTAAATGTTGTAGGCCCGTAAAAATGGGCCCCACGGCTTACCAACGGCTTGCTCTGACTATACACACTACGCCGGTCTACGGATAGGACTCTTCATAGCTCAAACCAAAAGAAGCTCTTCAGTCACATGTTTTTCTTCTCTTCTTTTATCTTTCTGTGTTCTCATTTCCCATTCGATTTGATACGAGAAGCAGTAGGAGGAGAAGAAGAAGATGACTTTCTGGGCGTAATTTGGTCTATAGGTTTTTGTTTTTTTCCCTATAGGAATCTAGCTCCTGTCCAATCATTGCTTTTTGTTTGTTCCTTGATTTCTTCCTGTCAAGAATTCGTTGCTTTGCCGTAAAATTTCCCTTTTACACTTATGCCTTCAACGTGTTTGCGTATATTTCTCAGAGAACCTGAAGTTTGCTAAAATAAAGAAGAGAATTTCTCACTGTTTGATCTGGATGGTTTTTTACTCTAACCGGCTCTGTTTTGTTTGCTTTGTTGGTAAAAAAAAAGTCTTTTTTTATCACTTTTCTCACATCCGGATGAATTTTATACAAGTCATAATATTAAATCAACATTGTTGTCCTCCTCGATTAGATCTTGAACCGATTTTCTCCTATCAGTAATCATACAGGTCAAAGTTAGAAACTTTATATTGATTTTTTTTTCTCTGGTAGTTGCCTGGGAAAGTGGGTTGGGTCTCTAACTCTCTGTTCTTCTCATCTTCAATGGTTCTAGTCTCAACAGAATCTCTCTGAACTGTTCCTTAGTTTTGGTTGCGTTTGTCTCCATGGGACTGTGCATTGGCCCATCTGTGGCTATAACGGCACTCATTGTGGCCATTCTGGTGGTTCCAATGAGTTGCCAAAGGCGTAAAGTGGTAAACATTGGTGCTGTTTTCACTTTTGATTCGGTTATTGGAAGAGCTGCAAAAGTAGCTCTCGAGGCAGCTGTCTCCGATGTGAACGCTGACAAAAGCGTTCTCAAAGATACGGAGCTACGCCTGCTCATGGAGGACTCTTCCTGCAATGTCTTCCATGGTTCCTTCGGAGGTACATTGACTGTTCTGTTACTTCTTTTGTTGTTCAGACACTTGTTAGCCTCATCCATCCATTGCCACATTTAGAAACTTTCCATTTTGGGATAGACCAATACATGTGTTTCTTGTACATAAATTTGAAGTAAACTTTGGTTTAAGTTACAATGATTGTTTTGTTATGCAGCTTTTGAAGTGCTTGAGAAAGAAGTGGTGGCTATAGTCGGTCCAATTTCATCCTCCATCGCTCATACAATGTCAGATATAGCCAAAGGGCTTCACTTTCCTCTCGTCTCATTTGCAGCAACTGATCCAACTCTCTCTGCCCTCCAGTTTCCCTTCTTTCTCCGCACCACACCTGATGATGCTCACCAGATGTCTGCCCTCGTGGATCTCATCAATTTCCATGGATGGAAAGAGGTGATATCAGTTTACTCAGACGACGAGCTCGGACGAAATGGAGTTTCTGCTCTAGATGATGAGCTCTACAAGAAAAGATCCAGAATCTCCTACAAAGTGCCTCTCTCAGTGCATTCTGATGAAAACTCCATTACTGATGCTTTGAACAAGTCCAAGTCTCTCGGTCCTCGAGTCTATGTACTTCATTTTGGTCCTGACCCATCGCTCAGAATCTTTAGTGTAGCGCAAAAGCTGCAGATGATGACACATGAATATGTCTGGCTCGCTACAGACTGGCTCTCAGTCACCTTAGACTCTTCTTTGATTGACAAAGATACTTTAAAACGTCTTGAAGGAGTAGTGGGGCTTCGTCAACACATGCCAAACTCCTTGAAGATGAACCAATTCACAAAGAGCAACGTATCAATGAATGCCTACGCATTTCATGCCTATGATACAGTGTGGATGATTGCGTATGGTATCGAGAAAGTGCTGAATGAAGGAGTCAACATAACGTTCTCTTACTCGGAGAAGTTAGTTCAAGCACAAGGAGCTAAACTGCACCTGGAGAGAATCAAGATTTTCGACAGCGGGGAGCTACTTCTTGAGAAGCTTCTGGACGTGAACTTCACTGGTGTAGCCGGTCAAGTGCAGTTTGGTTCTGGTCGAAACGTCATTGGCTGTGACTACGAGATCATCAATGTAGACAAAACCGGTGTTCACACTGTGGGGTTTTGGTCGAATGGAAGCTTTTCGGTTGTAGCCCCAAAGACTCTACAGAAACAAAGCAAGACGAGCCTTGTTTTTGAGGAAAGACTAGGAAACATAACCTGGCCTGGTGGTGGGCGTGAAAAGCCTCGTGGTTGGGTCATTGCAGATTCAGAGAATCCGTTGAAGATTCTTGTCCCGAGAAGAGTGAGCTTTGTTGAGTTTGTGACTGAAGAAAAGAACAGTAGCCATCTGATCCAAGGATATTGCGTTGACATCTTCCTTGAAGCATTAAAGCTCGTCCCCTATAGTGTTCCTTACAAATTCGTGTCATTAGGAAATGGCCATTCAAGTCCTAATTACAACCAGCTTATTCACATGGTCGCAGATGGTGTAAGTATCAGATAGCCTCAGAGATCACTGCCCAGAGTAACTTAACTCTTACTAAGAGGCATTTCCCTGTTTTTTTCCTCTGTTTTCAGGAATATGATGCAGCAGTTGGTGATATTGCAATAGTCCCAAGCCGGTCCAAACTAGTTGATTTCTCGCAGCCGTATGCTTCCACAGGCCTTGTGGTGGTGATACCGGCTAACGACGACAATGCAACTTGGATCTTTCTGAGACCCTTCACCATCCGGTTATGGTTCGTTGTTCTAGCTTCGTTTCTGGTTATTGCCGTGGTCATCTGGATCCTCGAACATCGCATCAATGAAGATTTCAGAGGGCCACCCCGAAGACAAATCTCAACTATGTTCTTGTAAGTTCAGCTTGTGATATTCACTGAACTTGACTGTTTATTCTTGGAGTTTCATCTGATTATGTTTAGTCTGTTTTTTCTTTCTCAGGTTCAGCTTCTCAACTCTTTTCAAGAGAAACCGTGAGTACCCTCAAATCTCATCCTTCTTTCTTTAACATAATTACATTTCTGAATCTGTCTGATACATTTTCTGTCAACAGAGGAAGATACGAAGAGCAATCTAGCAAGACTAGTGATGATTGTATGGCTCTTCTTATTGATGGTTCTAACCGCGAGCTACACAGCAAACCTCACCTCAATCCTCACAGTTCAACAGCTTCCCTCTGCCATCACCGGCATAGACAGCTTGCGGGCGATGGAGCTGCCTATCGGTTACCAGTCTGGGACGTTCACTTTAGAGTACTTGACCTACAGTCTTGGCATGTCTCGGTCTAGGCTGGTCCCACTTGACTCGACCGAGGAGTATGAAAGTGCTCTTAAGCTAGGACCTACCTCTCCCGGAGGCGTAGCTGCCATTGTCGACGAGCTCCCTTACATTGAACTGTTTCTAGCGGAACGGACTGGTTTCAAGATTGTAGGAGAGCCCTTTATGCACCGTGGTTGGGGATTTGTAAGCACATTGCTCACGTTTCTCTTGATCACAAAAATGGAACTGAAGTTTTTGTTTTGTGTGTTCACAGGCGTTTAAGAGAGACTCTCCACTGGCTGTAGACATGTCAACAGCGATCTTGAAACTCTCCGAGACGAGAAAACTGCAAGAGATTAGGAAGAAGTGGTTGTGCAAGACGACTTGCGCAGAGAAATCAGACTGGAACCCAGAGCCAAACCAGCTTCACCTCAAGAGCTTCAAAGGGTTGTACCTTGTCTGCATTGGAATCACAATCTCTGCGTTTTTAGTGTTTGTTTTAAGAATGATACGCCAGTTTGTGCGGTACAGACGGATGGAGAGGACAAGCTCGACTCCACGCGCTTCTTGGTCGTCTTCTCCTGCGGTTCGGTTAAGGGAATTAGTGTTTGATTTCGTTGAGTTTATTGATGAGAAAGAAGAAGCTATCAAGAGAATGTTCAGAAAGAGTGATGATGCCTCCAACAACAACCCATCTCATGTTGTTGAAGTCCAAGCTGATTCTGAGGTACGATAAAGTTGATACGTAGATAAAGATTCCACAATATAGGAATAAAATTGTAAAATGTACCTAGATATGAGCTAACGTGTAAACCAATATTCAAATCTTTGTTCGTTAGATATGATTGTAACTTAGCAACATAAAAAGCTGGTAAGAGCCAATGATTATAGTTACCAAAACAAAAAAAAAAGTTATCTTGTTGACTTTAGTGGTTCATATGATTGGTTTCGTACTAAAAGAAAACCCAAAATTTTCGATTTACAACATGTTTGTAGGCTCCTCAGAATTATATAATAATAAAAAAACTTGGATCTTTGTATGCATATGTACGTCTATACGTACCCATCAATTTCTATAATAATTGTCACGTTCTCTGAAGTATGAACTCATGAACTTTAAATTTATATCCAACTTGGAGCTTTTATCTTATTTTATAGTTTTCGTTTTCGTATGCTAATTTGTTCTGTCTGACCCACTATTTGCTATTTTATTGAGATTTACGTTTATTAAATTCTGTTAATCTAATGTCATCATCCATGGAGTTCGCTCACTGAATTGAATTATTTATTACTCTCCACGTTTTTTATTCCATTTTTCTCTGAACCAACTCTGTGATGGTTTCAGACTTTCAGTTCTGTCTCTTATGTGGGCATACACACATAACCATATACGGAAAATCTAAGTCTTTTGATTTTTTGGTTCGATCCAATTGCTCAGCAAAATGTCACGAAAATTTTGTCTTTTTGTTTGACCCATTTCTAATTTTTGCTCTCTTGATGTTGATGTTAACGGTCTTTAATGCCTCTTCGATCGGATTTTTAACTCCGAATCATCAAATGTTTATATCATGAGCCTGTCAAAACCAGTCCTTTTTGGATTCGAAAATCCGACTAAAAAGATGGGATCTTTCGCCATGATTAGAGGTTTTTCCATGGGACTTGTGCTCCTTTGTGTTTCTAGCTTCTGGGTTTTGCCAACCGAAGGTGCTGGTAGAGGAAGTTTCTCTAGAAACTCTTCTTCTCGGCCGAGCTCTGTCAACGTTGGAGCTCTGTTTACTTATGATTCTTTCATCGGAAGAGCAGCTAAACCAGCGTTTATGGCGGCCATTGCCGACGTCAACGCTGATCAGAGTATTCTCAGAGGAACCAAGCTCAATGTCGTCTTCCATGACTCTAATTGCAGTGGATTTGTTGGCACCATGGGAGGTACTTTTCTTAAACTGTAGCCAAAGGGAACAGCTTGATAAATTTGCCTGCAAGTTGCTTGTGAAAATGCCCCAACGAAGCTGTTGGTTTAGTACTAGATTGCTTTTTGCGGTTGTTGGATATGAGGAAGGAGATTGGTGAAATGTTTGCTTATGGTGTAGCTTTGCAGGTAATGGAGAACAAGGTGGTTGCAGCCATAGGTCCACAGTCTTCAGGAATCGGTCACATAATCTCACATGTAGCTAACGAGCTTCATGTACCTCTCTTGTCATTTTCAGCAACGGATCCGACTCTTTCTTCGCTTCAGTACCCTTACTTCCTTCGAACCACACAGAACGACTACTTCCAGATGAACGCAGTCGCGGATTTTGTATCCTATTCCCGATGGAGAGAAGTTGTGGCGATCTTTGTGGACGACGAGTATGGTAGGAACGGGATATCTGTGTTAGGCGATGCTTTAGCCAAGAAACGTGCCAAGATCTCTTACAAGGCTGCACTCACACCTGGTGCAGATAACAGATCGATCAAAGACTTGTTGGTTTCTGCTAATCTGTTGGAGTCTCGCATCTTTGTTGTTCATGTGAATCCTGATTCGGGTTTAAACGTATTCTCTGTCGCCAAATCTCTTGGAATGATGGAAAGTGGCTACGTCTGGATCGCCACTGATTGGCTTCTTACAGCTTTGGATTCTCTGGAACCCAAAACTATGGATCTCTTGCAAGGAGTGGTTGCTTTTCGCCATTACACACCTGAGAGTGAGAAGAAGAGACGGTTTAAAGCAAAATGGAAGAGCCTTAGAACCAAGGAGAGCTCAAGAAGTGATGATGGTGGCTTCAATTCTTATGCAATGTATGCTTATGATTCTGTTTGGTTGGTAGCTCGTGCTCTCGAAGCTTTCTTCAGCGAAGGCAATGCAATGACTTTCTCCAGTGATCCGAATCTGAGGCAAACCAACGACAGTAACATTAAGTTATCAGCACTTAACGTTTTCAACGAAGGGGAGAGATTCTTGCAGGTCATTCAAGAAATGAATTTCACAGGTCTGACCGGACAAATCGAGTTTGATTCACAGAAAAACCGGGTTAATCCAGTGTACGACGTTCTAAACATAGAAGCTAGAGGTCCACAGAGAGTCGGGTACTGGTCGAATCATACAGGCTTCTCAGTGGAGCCACCGGAGACATTATACTCCAAGCCTCCAAACAAATCTGCAGAACATCAACGTCTTAAGGAGATCATATGGCCAGGAAATGTAACTAAGCCGCCTCGGGGTTGGGTCTTCCCTGACAATGGAGAGCCGCTTAAGATCGGTGTGCCTAACCGTGTGAGCTACAAGAACTATGCGTCTAAGGACAACAACAACCCGCTTGGTGTTAAAGGCTATTGCATTGACATCTTTGAAGCTGCGATTCAGTTGCTTCCTTATCCTGTTCCACGTACTTATATACTATACGGGGACGGGAAGAGAAACCCTTCATATGACGATCTCATAGGTGAAGTTGCTGCAAATGTGAGTCTTACTTCTTTTGCTCATAATTACTCAACCAAGTATACAAAAAAGTAAACACTAACCTCTGTTTTTTGCTCTGTTTTATGTGTCTAGAATTTCGATGTAGCTGTTGGGGATGTAACAATCATTACAAACAGAACCAAGTTTGTAGATTTCACTCAGCCATTTATGGAATCAGGGCTTGTGGTGGTAGCTCCAGTGAAAGGTGCCAAGTCTAGTCCTTGGTCCTTCTTGAAGCCATTCACTGTAGAGATGTGGGCTGTGACTGGAGCCTTTTTCCTCTTTGTGGGAGCTATCATTTGGATTCTTGAGCACCGCTTTAATGAAGAATTCCGTGGACCTCCTAGGCGACAAATCATCACCATCTTCTGGTTAGTTCCCACTTCCTAAACCTTCCTGACATAACATGTGACAAAGATGAAAGAACACTAAACCTTTGCTTTTCCCCTTCCTTTCTTTGCAGGTTTAGCTTCTCAACGATGTTCTTCTCTCAGAGTATGTACTCCATTACAAAGAGAAGAAACTCTCAGTTTCCTTGTTACCAAGCTCTGAAGTTGTTTATTCTTGTTTCTTTCTTGATCTTTAGGGGAGAACACAGTGAGCACGTTGGGGAGATTTGTGCTACTCATATGGTTGTTCGTGGTTCTGATCATCAACTCAAGCTACACGGCGAGTCTCACTTCGATCTTAACCGTTAAACAGCTGACATCTCGGATAGAAGGAATGGACAGTCTAATCTCAAGCAACGAACCAATCGGAGTGCAAGACGGTACATTCGCCTGGAAATATCTGGTCAATGAACTCAACATAGCTCCATCAAGAATCGTTCCATTGAAAAACGAAGAAGAATATCTCTCTGCTCTTCAACGTGGTCCAAGAGCTGGCGGCGTGGCAGCCATTGTCGACGAGCTTCCTTACATCAAAGCTCTCTTGTCAAACAGCAACTGCGAGTTCCGTACAGTTGGTCAGGAATTCACACGCACAGGCTGGGGATTTGTATGTAAACGCTTCAATTCTTTTTGATCAGTCTCTATAAAAACTCTTTGCTTACTGGATCTCAAAATGTTGCAGGCGTTTCAGAGAGACTCTCCTCTAGCTGTGGACATGTCGACAGCGATCCTGCAGCTGTCTGAAGAAGGAAAGCTGGAGAAAATCCGCAAGAAATGGCTTACGTACAGCCACGAATGCTCAATGCAGATCTCAGACACAGAGGACTATCAAATCACGGTGCAGAGTTTCTGGGGGCTGTTTCTAATCTGCGGCGTCGTTTGGTTCATTGCACTCACACTCTTCTGCTGGAAAGTTTTCTGGCAATGGCATCGGTTAAGACCAGAAGACAGTGAAGAAGGAAGAGCGAGCGAAGAAGGCAGTTCCTCTAGAGCAGGGAGAAGTTTGAGAGCGGCGAGTTTTAAGGACTTGATCAAAGTTGTTGATAGGAGAGAAGCAGAGATCAAGGATATGCTTAAGCAGAAGAGTGGTATGAAACTCAAAGCTATTGAAAGTATAGCTGAGAATTCAGAGTCAAAACATCCTGAAACTCCATAGAGATGGGTTATAGATATAAAGACATGAAAGAGTTTCACAATTTGTTCAAATGACTTGCAGATAAAAACATTACTTAGAAAGGTAATAGATTTGTAATAAGGATTTTTTTATGGGACCATAACCCAGAGATAAAAAAAATGCAATTCTTTTTTGGTCCCATACAAAATGCAAAAAAATAATAATACAAGAAGTCAAGAAGACGAACAAATAAGAACATTTCTCCTCTAGATAAAAAGGCTACACATGGGGCTATGGGGGTATTGGATTCAGTAATTTATGGAATTTAAAGGAATTGAAGATTCCATTAAATTTAAGTGTTATTCAAATATGTGTTTTTCAATTCTTTTAAATTATGGTGTTATTCAACTTATCAATTTTTCAACTCCATTAAATTCTGATGTTATTCAATATATGATGTATTTGGTGGTACTGAAAAGTTTAGAAGAAATTTAATAGAATTTGAAGAAAATTTTGTAAAAACTCAATTCTTACAGTTTTTGCAGTAATTTCAATAGAATTGATTGAATCCACAACAAATACTTTAAGGTCTTAAGGGTGGGTTATTAATAATAGAATTTGTGTAAATTTTAAAGATTTTCAAAGCCAAAGAGATTTGTTAAATTTATAAAGATTTTTTGTTAGATTTGAAAAGACTATGTAAGCAAATTTAGAAAATCAATCAAAATATTTTATTATAATGGACTTTGAGAATCTAAAAATTATAGGTAGTATTTTGAAAGTTTTATTTTATGAGTTAAATTTTTTAAAATCCATCTCCCAATAACAAAGATTTTAATAATTCATGGAATCATTCAAATTGCAAACTTTTTTTAATAACAATGGATTTTAACATTCTTGTTAAAATCCATTAACCAATAACAACAGATTTTGAAAATTTTAACAATCATCACAAATTTTACTCCTAATAACCCCCTAAATTATTTCAAAATCCATTAATTTTAATTTCTTTTGATTTCTTTCTAATTCAATGTTTTTAATTTATCACTGAATCGAACCGGAATTGTGGTAGCCGGTAAAACGGTTCGGTTTAATTGGAATTAAAAGGAGAGCATCATCGTTATCCACTCCAATTATTAGCCTTTTCTTCTTCTTCTTCGTATTTTCGCGGTCAATAAGCAGAAAAAGTAAAAATCCATTGAAGAAGGAGAAAGAACAAAAAAAATGGGAGCATTTTGCAAGGCGATCGATGCGGTTCTCCTTTTATACTTTGCTGCTATGGTGCTCGTTGCGCCGCTCATCGACGGCCAATTGGCTCTTCCCGCCGCCGTTTACCCGGCGTTCCTCACCGATCTGAATCGCTGGTACGTCGCCGACTTTGGAGATTATCTGGTCAAGGAAAAGCCGCATTTCGTCGTCGGATTAATCTGGCACGAGCTCGTGCTTCTCTGGCCGATCTCGATCGCCAACGTCTACGCAATCCTCACCGGGAAATCGTGGTTCAGCACAACATCCATGGTGTACGGAGCTTCCGTCGTGACTTCCATGGTAAGATCTTAACCTCTCTCTCAATTTTTTCTGATAAACTTGGAGAATGTGTTTGATTTAGGGTGAAATCTTTATCGATCTGCTGAAATTTCCAGAAATTATCATCTACATTTGGTTTTGAATATTGATCTGCAAGCTGAGCATCCGGATTCATGATTATTGGTTAATAATTGCATAAATTAAAGCATCAACCAAAATGTTAAGTAGTACTAGAAGCAGCGTAGTAAGATCTGTATATGCTTCACTCAAGTTTTCTTGTTGATTTCGAGTCGATGTTGTTAAATGTTAATTGTAGTTATGTTCACAAAAAAATTATGTTGATGAGAGAAAGATTCTGAATTTCTACAATGTTGACCAGTTTCATGGTAAAAATTAGTAGAGTTCTGAAATGTGTTCAGCAATGTGAATCTTTCTGCAATCATTTCTATGGAGTATATTGTGTAGAATCTGATTTTCAAGTATTGTGTCACATTCTCTCAATCTTATTTGTTTCTCCATGGAATGTTTTCTCTTTAGGCTGCTATACTTGCAGAGCTGATAGGTTCAGGGAGAGCATCAGAGAAACAGTTGATGATGTATGTACCTTTCATGGGATTTGGTATTCTATCTCTTCTTCGAGGTCTTCTTTCTCAGTCCGATGGATCCAGTGGCAAGAGACCAATTGTTTTAGCCAGGAGAAAGCGTGCTTAAGATGAGGTACTAATCAGGTAATCATCATGTTAAAAGTTTCTCTTTTGTCTCAGAGAATTTTCTGCTATGTATTATGGATTTGGGTTATTTCAACTTTTCCTTGAGGAAGGTTTTACCTTTCTGCTGGATACCTGTTGTAAAGTACTGTTGTTTTAGTAGCATGAATGTGTTTTATTGTTTGAAATGAAATGAAGTTTAGTGAAAAAATATGAATTTACCTAACCAAACAGTTTACATTAGGTCTAGGCAAATCACAACCCAAGACATACAATCAACTAACACCACCAGGACGAGGTTTTGTTCTTGTAAAGCTAACATCTTGTGGCGAGAATAACGGTGTTTTCCCTAAAGATAAACACTTGCAATTGCAAGTTCAACAACGGAAGGCTGCGTTTTTAATTTACCACTGAATCGAACCGGAACTGTGACAGCCGGTTTGACGGGTTCGGTTTAATTAAAATTTTAAAAGGAGAACATCGTTATTCTCGCCAGTTATTAAGTAGCCTTGTCCTTCTTCTTCGTTATTTCGCGGTCAACGGCAGATTCAAAGCAGAAGAAAAAAACGAAAATCCATTGAAGAAAATAAAAAATGGGAGCATTTTGCAAGGTGATCGATGCCGTTCTCTTCACATATTATGCTATCATGGCGGTCGCTGTGCCTCTAATCGACGCTCAAACAACTCTTCCCGGCGCTCTATACCCGGCGTTCCTCGTCGATCTGAATCGCTGGTACAGCGCCGAGTTTGGAGATTATCTGCTCGCAGAAAAACCTCACTTCTTCGCCGGAATCGTCTGGCACGAGATCCTGTTTATCTGGCCGCTCTCGGTCGCCAACCTCTACGCAATTCTCGCCGGGAGATCGTGGCTCAGTACCACATCCATGGTGTACGGAGCTTCCGTCGTGACTTCCATGGTACATTAGATCTTCATCTCTCGCTCTGTCTCTCTCTTTCCATTTTCTGATAAATTTGGAGAATGTGTTTGATTAAGTGAGAAATCTTTGTTGATCTGCAAGCTAAGCATCATTAGGGTCATGCAATGAATGCTTATTGGCTACTAATTGCATAAACTGGTCATTAAAAAGTATTAACGAGAACCAGACTAGTGGGATCTGCATATGCTTCATTCAATATTTATTTTCGGTCTCAAAGAAATGCTGTTAATTGGAATTCTGTTCCCCAAATTCACAGTGTTGTATATTGTTGAGAGTTAGATTCTGAGTTTCTCAAAATGATGGCCCAGTTTCATGGTAAAAGACAAAAAAGTTTCGGAATTGTAATTAGTTGTGTTATGAAACGTATTCGTTCCTAGGGAGTATATTGTGCACAATCTGATTAAGTATTGCGTCTCACTCTTCTTTTTTAGGCTGCTGTACTGGGAGACATGATAGGTTCAGGGAAGGCATCAGAGAAATTGTTTATGATGTATTTGCCTTTCTTGGGGTTTGGTATTCTATCTCTTCTTCGAGGTCTTCTTTCTCAATCCGATGGATCCAGTGGTAAGAGACCAATTGTTTTAGCAAGGAGAAAGCGTGCTTGAGTCTTGAGATGAGGTACTAATCAAGTATTATTCATCATGTTAAAGTTTCTCTATTGCCTTTGACAATTTCTTGCTATGTATTATGGATTTGGGTTATTTCAACTTTTCCTTCCTTTCTGCTTGATGCTTGTTGTAAAGTACTCTTCTTTTGGTAACATCAATGTGTGTGTTTTTGTTTGAAATGAAATGAAGTTTAGTGGAAAATACTAACTATTGACGTCACCAACCAAACAATTCAGATATATAGTCTTGGCAAATCACAACCCAAGAAAGATCTATCAAATAACACTTTTTTTTCTGCCTGGGTTTGTTTTGGTTAATCGAAAACCATTGCCAACATGATGCAGCAGCACACACACATCCTTGTATGTGGTCCAGTGTGGCTATGTTTTTAGTTTTTAGTTTACCACTGGATCGAACCGGAATTGTGGCAGCCGGTTTACCGGTTCGGTTTAATTGAAAATTTAAAGGGAGGAGCATCGTTTTTTCCTCTTCTTCTCCTTCTTCGTTTTTTCCCGGTCAACGGACAGATTCGAAACAGAAACAAAATGGAAGCATTTTGCAAGGCGATCGATGCCGTTCTCTTGATATTCTATACTATAATGGCGGTGGGTGCGCCTCTCATTGACTTCCAAATTATTCTTCCCGGCGCTATATTCCCGACGTTCCTCGTCGATCTGTATCGCTCGTACACCGCCGAGTTTGGAGATTATCTGCTCGTAGAGAAACCTCACTTCCTCGTCGGCTTCGTCTGGCAAGAGCTCCTCTTTCTCTGGCCGCTCTCCGTCGCCAACCTCTACGCAATTCTCGCCCGGAAATCGTGGTTCGGTACCACCTCAATGCTCTACGGAGCTTCCCTCGTGTCTCACATGGTACATTACATCTCTCTCTCTCTCTCTCTCTCTCTCTCCATTTTTCTAATAAACTCGATGATACGTTTGATTTAGGATGAAATCTGTGTTGATCTGCTGAGATTTCTAGGAAATAACAAATATATTTCATTGATCTGCAAGCTGAGCATCATGAAATGAATGATTATATTGGTTAACATTTGCATAAAGTGATCATTACAAAGTATTAGCTGAAGCAGATGATTCTGTATACGCTTCATTCAATATTACATTTTGGTTTACAGTGGATGTTGTAAATAGCAATTCTGTAGAGTATGAATATATTGTGTAGAATCTGATTTTTTTAAGCATTGCGTCTCTTTCTCATTTCATTTCTTTTAGGCTGCTGTACTGGGAGATATGATAGGTTCAGGGAAGGCATCAGACAAAATGTTGATGATGTATGTGCCTTTCTTGGGATTTGGTGTTTTAGCTCTTCTTCGCGGTCTTCTTTCTCAATCCAACAATGAATCAGGTGGCAAGAGACCCATTGTTTTAGCCAGGAGAAAGCGTGCTTGACCTCAGGTACTACTTATCATCGTGTTATAAAGTTTCTCTTTGGTTGTTTCAACTTTTCCTAGAGAAAGATTTTACCTTTCTGCTGGATTCTTGTTATAAAGCACTCTTCTTTTAGTAACATCAATGTTTTTTTTCTTTGTTTGAAATGAAATGGAGTTTAGATATGGTCTTGGCAAAATCACAACCCAAGACAGATTATGAAAAAACCATTGCCAAGAGCCAAAAACTTCGCAAACTCTTTTGAAAATCAGAGAGAGTCTTGCGAAGAAACATTTCACAAACCAAACTCCAAAAGATAGACATCAAAAGCAAACAAAAACTAGAAATATCCAGGCTAAAAAATGCCAAATCTCAAACAACAATAGAGTACTCAATATCTTAACCAATCTAACAAAGGTTCAGAAACAAAACACTTAACCAAAACAAAAACTCCAAATAAAAGTAGAGAGAAAAGAGTACTGAATAACTTAACCAAAACAGCAAAATAAAAAGGAAGGTTCAGAAACAAAAAACAACAAAGTTCTCAACAAATTGCTTTTTCAAACAAAATGGATAGGGGTAATAGTATTCTCTCTTTCATGCATCTCTCTTGCTTATTTCTCCTGTTTAAAAAAAAAACAAAGAAGTAATCAGCACATAAACCCATAACAAGTTTTCAATAGCTTTAAGTTTATGGAAATGGGCTCAATGAAAGTACCTAACGAGGGGTGGTTCTCAAGCATTGTGAAAATGAAAGTAAGCTTGGATCCTCTGAACGGTGCTGAGAATCAGATTCTCAATGGTTGCAACGGAGCTCACAGTCAGCAAAGACGCAGGAGATGACTCAGCCAGAATCTGAAAGGAAACGTTGACGAGTGACCCTCCTCCTTCATTTCCAGGTTGAGCCATACCATCTGGAAGGACAACAAAACCCGAAGGAAGTATAGGCGTAAAGGAAGAGTCACTTCCACTAAACACACGATCCATCTCTGATATATCAACAGGCGCATAGATCACATATGAAGCTGTTGCATCAGTGGCGTTCTCTTGAACCATCATCATCTTCCTCTGGTGAGCTAAGCTCTGTATAGCCAAACACACAAAAAACATCGGTCACAATTGACTCACATAACAAAACTAAAAAACAGTAAAACAGTAACTAACTCAGGTTTCTTTTCGTACCCGGTACAAAGCGATGCAGTTCTTACTGTCTTTCCCAGTTACAATCTGGGAGACCTTGTGAGAAACCGCTCCATGGGTGAGAACATCCCACTGCAGATAACATTTTCAAGAACATGTTATTATAATATAAGAAAAGCAAAAAAAAACGAAAAAAAGGAGTTGAGTTAACAAAAAAAGTCCTACGTGGGCTCGGTTCTTCTCATCTATGAGGAAGTCAAAGATGACTTGATGAGGAACAGGGACCCAAAACGAAGTAGCTGCACAGAGAATGACACCAGGAGGCAGCCCTGGATCACTCAGGCTCTTCCGAGTCATCACCTTCACACTTTCTGTGGTGTAATTAGTCAATGTACACCACACATCTTCATTCGAAGCTGTCACTCCAGAGAAGAAGTATTTCATCATCCGATCACTTAGCTTCACAAGACTCTTCTTTCCTTGGATACTTATCTCTGCACCCAAAACAAAACAAGAACCGGTTAAACAACAACAACAACAACAAAAAACAGAGAATGTTTATTGATTTAAAGTAAAGATCACAAGGAGAGAAGTTAGTAAAAGTACGTGTTAGCTCAATCCTTTCCATGGGTGTAATGCTTGCAGTAGCTAAGGCTAACCGCTGGGCCACGCGGTCCAATGTTGCAAGCCAACGTTTAGCACCTAAAGCTTGACCACTACTCATATACTGCTTAAACATGCTGTTAACTTTTCCTCTGTCATCAACCTCCACATGCTCAAGCCATGTAACCTTTCCAAGATTTAAAAAAAAAAGTCTTATGATTCCATACACCAAAACCATAACAATATAACTTGAAAACATATTTTTAGTTATTATTTTACCCTGGAGGCGAATCCATTTCCAAGATCTTGAATCAGACATCCAGATGGCCGGCGGCGACAGTTAAACTCCACGTTTTGGACGAAATGGTCGATGGAAACATCGACCACCGCCCATAAACCGTCTCCCTGGTGCTTACTGTGGCGGATGAAGTAGCTCTCGCGAGTGGAGACTAGCGGCGAGAGTACTTTGTATTCAGCAGTCATCTATCAAAATAAACAACAACAACAACAATATTGGTTATATCAGTATACAATTGTTTCAAATCAAATGGTGTCATTCTTGTTACATTAATCAAGCAAAATTTTGAAAAATATTAATTACCAGTTGGAAAGTTCCATCGTAGCTTCCGTTGACTCCAAATAACAAAGCCTCATGAGTCATGGCCTTACCAACTATTCCAGCAAATGTTGTCGACCATTGATTCTGCGTATAACCTTTGATGATTAGTCATATGTCATTAAGAACGGGATTAGTTAAGATAAATAAAGTTAATTATAATTTACCACATTCATGAGCCTCCCAACGATGTCAGTAGGGTTCATGAACACGACAGCGGTTTCCTTGGAGGCCTCGAGTCTAAACCCGTCCGGGACAGGTCCGAGTCCGTTGCAAAATGCTCTGTTGTATTCATTGAAGTCCAGAGCTAAGGACGTGCCATCAGCTCCTACTTTCCACAGTGGATCACCGATTTGAGACACCTTCAATAGCTCATCCATGGCTACAAGAGCTAACTCTATGATCACAGGCTTATCGGCATTGTTCACTACAGCGAATGACCTGATCGAGAGGTTGTCCATGTTTGCAAACACTTCTCTTCCCATCCCGAAGTCGACAGCTTGAGTTGGAACCGGAGGAGGAGACAGAGCCGGATAGCTCGTTACCTGGTTGCCTGTCACGTTGGCCGCCAGCCCGGCCAAATGATGGATCTAGAATCCCAAAAACAAAAACAAAAAAGTAGAAAAAGTTGTTATAGACTAAATTTGAATTGTAATATGTATAATCATATCTTATGACATGGTTATGAAACCAATCATATCTAAATATGTATATCATTTTACATCAAACATTATATTATAGATAGAGAGTTAGGGATTTGATTAGTAGATGTATAAGGGTTTATGGTTCACGTGTTTATCCTATAGTATATGCATATAGTACGTACATCCTCGCTCAACTTGGCGTTTTCGAGGCGAAGATGGTGTTCCTCGAAAGACATTTCGCAAAGTGCGGTTTGCTTTCCACACGATGGACATGAAGAATTGAGAATGGCCTCTCGGTATCGCTGGTTGTCAGCTCTTAGCCTATCGTTCTCCGACCGAAGTTGATTGTTCTCATGGCGCTCTAGCTGATTCTGCAAAAACATAAACAAACAAGCAAAAAGAATTATTTTAAATGAAATGAAAAACCAACCAAGTCGTTATGTACAACAAAGGTGGCGAGATTTTTTGGTTTTCAAGTGAACAAAGAGCTTATACTAAAATAAGTAATGTGTGTTTTAAAATGCGCTATAATACAACAGAGCTTTATCTTTAATATCTCTTACAATAAAAATGCAATAACTGTAAAATCTTATAACTAGATTTTGACTCGTATCACATTAACTATGTTACTACAATTCAACATACTACATACACATGTGGAATAATCTGTCTACACTTATATACTATGAATTAAAACCAACTACTCGTGTTTATACGAACATTAAATATGTGTGAGATGTTGATCAATTTCTTATAGATATATACCTTGTTTTGGGTGCGTTTGTTCTGGAACCAGAATTTGATCTGAAGATGCTCCAATCCCAATTGACGGCTGAGCTCTTTCCTCTGCTTGTCATCTGGATGAGGGCACTCTTTGAAGAATCTATTCAACAAACAAATAATTCAAAGATGTAAAATTATTATCCTAAATTAATTTTTAATTAAATTAATTATATATCTGAAAAAAAAAGAGAAGATTATTAATTACGACTCCATCTCCTGGATTTGATGTTGGCTGTGACGATGGTATCGCTTTCTCTTGCTAGAGCGACGACGACCTTGATCGTTTCCCAATCCATTTTCAGGATTCTCACTTGTATTCCCATTGTCGAGATCTCCATCTCCAAGATTCATTCCACCATTAACGTTGTTATTGTTAACGTTGGTCTCCTCGTCTCCATTGGTGTTGTTCCTCTCCACTGGTACCATTCTTGATCTTCTTTTCTTTGGAGCACTGAGAGATAGAGTTAATTAAAAAAAAAAAAAGTTAAAGTTAGTTACAAGAAGAAATTTAATGCAGAAAATAAAACGATATTCATATCTAGACACTAGGGTTTGTAAAAAAGGTTTTTGTTTTCCTTTGTTCAGGTTGTCCCTACAAGAATCTAACACACACGCTCTCTCTCTCTCTCTCTCTCTCTCACTAAATTCATTACAACAAAAAGTTAGCTTTTCCAAGTCAACCACTTTTTATTTTTATTCTTGAAGATCTTAAAAATAAAAGAGAAACAGACAATATAGAAAAATAAATCAAGGATGATGGTTGGAATCAAAGGATCCATCAGTAGAAACTAAAGCTGAAGAAACAAAATGCTAAAATCACAATGAGCATATCAACAAACAATTTACACAAACTGAAATTTATATAGACTTGGAATCAAATCAACCCCAAAATATGTTGCTTTAAAAACCGAAGATTAGAACATAACTAACCAGAAGGTCAACATTATGAACTCTCCTAAACTGATTTAAGATCTCAGTATGAATCGACGAAAAATTAATAGTTGAAAGGTTTATTGTGAGAGTAAATTTATTCGATCGATCGCAATTTAAAGAGATCTAGTTTCTAGTTAGATGAGAAGGAATCCAATCAAATAGAAAGAAAATGCGAAAAAAGAAATAGTAGATTTATTTTCTCATAAAAATAAAATGACCTTAAGTAGATTAAAAAGTAGTTGTCAATAAAAAGTTGGAGCGACATAAGTTTTTCAAGTGTTCCGATTTTAGTTTAATTGGTTAAAAAGTTGATCAATAGCAAAACCGGCGACTTTTAGAATATGTGTTTGATTAACTAACCTAGGTCTACGGTTTGTCTTTTACATATTTATTCATTGATATAAATATTTAGAAAAAATAATAATCTTATGTATATATTTAACATCACAATTAAATTATAATATTAGTTAAATCAATAAATTTTTGATTTTTATTTCTCACTAACTAGTTAGGTGGCACACTAGATTCACCTGATTAGTGTCTACTATATTTTTTTGAACATTTTAAAATTAAAAGTTAAAAAAAAAAGATAATTCAATTTGGATCATTCTATAGGATTTATTGATTTAATCATTGTTTTTTGAAATGACTTCAAATATGAATTTACCCTTTTTCATAAATGTTGTCAAATTTTGTATCGAGGAATGGAAAAATATACACATGATATCGGACAAACCAAGTACCAACAACTGAACAACATATACTAGTTGCCAATCATTTGTATGAATTTTGGGATGTATCAAATTCCCGGCACTATTTCTGAATTTAATACACACACACACACACACACACACACACGCACATATATACGTATATAAACGTGGATGCATATTTAAATACAAAAGCAAAGGTAAGCGATACCTTTTTTACCTGTGAACTCAGAAGACTTTGATTGATCCTTTGTTAGGTTGATCTATCTTCCTCTTTGTCGAACTCTTTTCTAGAAACGAGAAGAAATTAAATAAAATTAAAATTCATTCAGTAAAAAAAAACGCACGGTCTCAATTGTACGATAAAGAATCATTTCATCAGTTGATGTGTATGATAGATAAACAAAGACGGTATTGATAGATCGGTATTATTACCATAAAATCTAAAATTGTGCAGTAAATAAAATCAAATGAAAAAAAGAATGAAATCCAAGATGAATTTGTGGTTAATGACAAAAGTTTTGGATATAACAAATATACATTGTCGATGAATCAGAGAAACTCTTGAATTAAGTTGGTTGAGAAACAGCTGATGGTTCTGCAAAGCGGATTTTTTTTAGGCGAATTGTTGAAAAGAGAGATTTAGTGAAAGACTGAAAGTGTTGAAGAGATGGAAGGAGAGTTAATTGTAGTGAGTGGGCTATGAATTTAATGGTAAAATATATAGTGTGAGAGGGAGAGACTTATTACCCTACAGGGTCGAAGAACAGAGAAGAAAAATTTGAGAAAAATATTTGATTATTAATTTCATAATTTCAATCTTAGCATCTGTGTGGCACAATATTATTGGTTTCCATTTACGGTTATGTTTTATTATATATTATTTATTCAAAAAGTAGAGAACTAAATTTAGTTTCTTGCCATTACAAGATATATATATAAATCAATTTAGTCTTGGTGTCTATCTTAATTTTTTTTTTATCCATTTTAGTTGTAATAATTTTGAGAAATAAACATTTCTAGTAAATCTTATATGGTAGGAGCCTAGCAATATACATACTTTGTTAAGAACATGTAAGAAAATTTGATTTTCCAAGATTTAAATTTTATATTGAATATTCACTGTCAAATATTATCATAAATAATAAAAAAATTAGAATCTGTTTTCTCTGGATTTTTTCCAGTTACAGTATAAGTGAAACTAAAATTTTCTACTAATTTATTTAATTTAATTTTACGGCTTCAAGTTTCTAAAAATGCATAGTATAATTATAAAATATGAGATAAACAGAATAAGAAAAAAAATTACAAAATCTGTTAAGTTATTTTTGACAAGATCGATCATTGATAATTGAAATAAGAAATAAACTGAATAAGAAATTAGATGAAAAATCTAATTTGGTATTATCGTATTGACTAGATCGATTGGTAATATTAAAATATATGTATTTGTCAATAGACGATAAATGTATAAAATCTATTTAAAAGACCGATGTAGTCAAAGTATCATTAAACAATAGTTGGTTGGTCCCGGTCTACTATCTAAAACAATCATAACGAAAAAGTTTAATAATCAAAGAAAAACTTGGTAAGAAATGATTTGACTATAGAAAAATAGAATTATAAATTAGAGTATATCATTTAGATCGTTTAGTCAAAATTTTGTTTTCATATTCAATTTTGGCTCTTTTGTATTAATTTCAGTTGACTAATCCAAAATTGATTTATAATTTAATTATGTGGTTAACTTAATGTTAAACATTACGTACAAAATATATATTTAAATTTATATGTAACATAGTTTCAAAGAAATTGAATAACTACATATCCGATCCATCTTAAATCCGCTAAACAATATAAAATATAATTTTTTTAAATCATATAAAGTAAATTTTAATAAATTAACGAATAATTATGCAACAATATCCCTAATTAAATAAGAGACTTAAACTGAAATTTTTATTTGTGTAAAAGAATAAAAACATCATATCACTATAAAAAAATCATGTATATGTTTTAAAAAGAATTTAACATAACTAGCTAGGTCTTATCTGTTAAATTTTTGAATCATGTATATGTTTTATAAATTCATGAAATTAGGAGATAAAATCTAAGTTTATCACTATTTAAAGGCATGTACAGTATATGTATATGTGACAGTGTTTAGTGTTAGCAGCAGCTGGTTTGAACTTTCAATAACAAAACAAAAGTAGATAAAAAAACTCTTTGTGGGTAAAGACACTTTACTTTTGTATGTGTGTAAGCTAATCAGAACGGGGAATAGCTGATTCTTCTTGCATGACTGTCAAGGGTAACTGAAAGCTTATTTAACCGTTGTTTACTGTGGGCCCTTACCATTTAGTGTTTCTGTAAAAGCAGTTTTTAGTACACAAAAAAAGAAGTGACAGTCTGTTAATTGGAGTTAATCTGGTTTTATGCCTCATGTGCTCATGGAATAAACATGCATGTAATTACACGTCTGTAATGTTATCTCATGCATGTACACGTTGCGACACAAATTTTTAAATCCCCTTTCAGTTTTTCAACTTCTATTTATTTTGATAAAGAAATATAAAGTAGCTTTTCATTAATAGTAATTTTTATTTTTATTATAATTATAAACTTATAACTTAGCATGACGTGTATTATTGACGAAAAGTGCAAGTATAGAGATTCACTTTTACAGTTTAACTTCTGCAACATCCAATGCTTTCTTGTTAATCTTGTTAGCCTTTTTTGGCTCCAAGCCTCTAAAAGATATGAAGAAGAGTCCATTGATAAGCCCAAATCGTAAAATATTGACGACTTTTTAACGTGGAGAGTGGAACAGTGGTTACAACTTACAACGATCCTTAGTTGTTACTTGTCAGACAAATTTTGATGTTCATGTTTTGGTTTTGTAGGATAAGGATTACTGATGAACAAAATAGAGTGATTACTGATTACCCTTACATTTTTTCTTTTCTTTTGGGCTCAATTCATTCCTTATTTTGATCATATACAGATGATTCTATGAATTTGATCATCATGTAGTTCCCTAAACTTTTTTTTTTTCTTTCTGTTAATTAGTTCCCTAAACTTGAGGAGCGAATTTTGGAAGATTCCTACTTAGTCAAAATATCTCACTGCAAAATATCCGCAATTAAATTTGAAGTATAACAAGATACTAGTTTCTATAAACTCGATCAAAAATCCAATATTTGACATTGAATTGAAAACGAAAATGGCATGCGTTGTGTTCGGTTAGTTCATGTTATCATACAAAACAATATCTTCAAATCAAAAACCAAAAATAAAAAAAGAGAGAGGGTAAATCACAAAAGTGAAACAAACACAAAGAAACAGATTTAATTGTTTTAACTATCAAAATCACAAGATTTGGTGGAAATAGATTAAGCAATGAAGGTGAGCGTAGAGATAATAACGGGGACATTTATAGATACGGAGGTGAGAGAGAATGCAACGGTGAAGGAATTAAAGGAGAAGATTGCAACGGATGTGAAATTATCGGTGAAGCGTTTGATACTTGTGGTGGGAGGTGAGGATGAGAGGAGAATGGTGATGGAGGATGAAGATGAAATGACGTTGAGAGATTTAGGAGTGATAGAAGATTCTCATATGTATTTGTTCTTTAAGCATCCTGATTTGGTTCACAAGGAAGAGAGATCTCAAGGAGGAGGAGGAGGAGGAGATGATGCTTCTATGGAGGAGATCTCGTCGGACGCAGAGAATAGAGGAGAAACCGAAGAGGAGGAAAAGACGAAAATAGACGGTGAAGAGGAAGGCAAGGCGATGAAGAGTACTGAAGAAGACAGTAGAGATGCGGAAGTAGAAGAAGGAGAGAAGGAGAAGAATGGAGAAGAAGAAAAGGATGCTGCTGCTGAATGTGAAAAAGAGGAAGCAAAAGAGGGTGAAGAAGTGGAAGTCTAGAGTTTTCTTGATTTAATTTTTGTAACCATTCCATTTCTATTACTTTTTGGTTTTGTGATTGTATTGTCATGATGTTTCTTGTTCTACAAGTTATCAGCTTAGTTAAATACTTAAATATATGTGTTAAGTTTAGTTTCTGTGGTTTAATAATGTTCCTTCTCCTTCTCCTTCTCCTTCTCCTTCTTTCTTTTTCTTTGGTTCAAATATTATTATTCAGTTTTAACCATTGTCTACAGCCGCATCTAAACCAATATGGTATAGAAGTGCTTACAAATGAGAACTTTTCTGTTCTTACGGATCTAGTGTGTAAAGAAATCTATTTTAACATTATTTTGATTTTCATGAACAACTTCGGTCAGGAAAAAGAATGATCATCCGGGCGTGAGATCAATTATACCGTATTTCGGATGTAGGGTGTAGTAGTCACACTACTAGTCATACTATCAACTAAATATATTGATCTTTGCTCGGTCTCTTTTGAAGGGAATTTATTTAATTATGTATTTACCTTAATTTTGAAATGTAATAATAATACTGCATTGATCAGGACATTATCGTTTGTGTTAGTGTTATCGATCAGCACAAACGATTAGGTCATGGTCAATGCAATATTATTGTTATATTTTAAAATTAAGGCAAATACATAACCAGATAAATTCCTTCAATAATATTGAGTTGACCAGCACCTAATCGTTTGTGCTAGTGTTCTCTACCAACAACATATTGTATGTTGTTAGTTGAGACAATTTTGCCATATTTTTAAAATTTTAGTTAAAACTACAATTCATTTAACATTTCTAAAAATATAAGAATCATTTGACATTAACATGTCAATATAGTGGTTTGGTTTATACTATGTACTAATGCCATCGGGTTTATAAATGAAAACTATAAAATAAGATTTGTTGTTATTCTTTTTCTGTGCCCAAGAGCTTGCTGTTATATATCCATCAAACCATTTTACTACAGTCAAAATAATTTTTCGTATCTATCCCATCAATATATGAATGCATAATCCAATTAAAACCTCTCATAATTTTCTATACATTACACACCATAACGCCATGCGTTCTTCGGTTCTTGAGAGGGACTTATTATAAATATTACTTAAAACAAAAACGAATACGAAGCTTAAGTGTTGCAAATCTTAGTAATCTCCTCGACTAATAGACCCTTTGAACACAAAAAGAGTCTCACCATTTTCAACACCATGCCACCGAAGGCTACAATTCTCACGCATGATCCGTTGCTTGTGCACGAATATATACTCGTCTCTTGGCAACGTCTTGTTAGCTTGTAACCCTTCTCTCATCTCAGAGATCGTACAAGAGTCCTTAATCTCCACAGGAATCCTCGCACCGTTGAATAAACTCGATGACGTCTGCACCAAGAAACAGAGTTTCCTCACCGGAGCAACGTCTTTGGCACGGTTAATTGACTTGAGAAACACGACAATTTCCGAGAATTCTCCGATTCCGTATTCGTCTAGGTTTCGAAAATCGTCGGCTAGCTCCATCCCGGAGAAATATAGCTGCATCCGCTTTATGGGTGTATTGTCCACAATGTGAATCTTGTCCTTCAAACTACTAACCTGCAAAAGAATAACTTGCCAATCAAGAAAGCTCAGAGACTGTTTAATATGATGTGACCTAACGTTTACAGTTACCGTTTCGGTTCTGTCTACTTCGATAGTGAACTGTTTTGACGGGAACTTGACGGTGACGTGGATTATTTTAGCGGCGGGGTTAGTAAAAGACGGTGCGTTGAAAATGGGAGTAACGGTTAGGTCGATTCTGGTGCCGTGAGAGATGATTGGGTAATCTTCGATGTCGAGACCGTCGAGGAGTTCCCAACAAGAGACAAAGAGAGTTAGAGAAGATGTTGGGATCTGAAGAAACTGTCCTAAACGTTTCTTGATGTCCAACACAGATTCTTGTTCTCCAATATCCATGGTAAATTCTTGGGCGTATGAAACAATCGTTACTATCATATTTTCAAATTAAGAACAAAAAAAAGGGTTTTGGTGTATATGTTTATGTGAAAAAAAAGACTATGATTCCACAATGCGTAATATATAGTGAATGATGCAAGTTGTTGAAATGCATGTAAAAAGGACTTGTGGGTGAAAATAAGAAATTCATGATAACAATAACGTGATGTTTAGTTGAGTCTTGTTTGTGTCATTGTGTGTGTGTGTGTCTGTTATGACAGTATGACACTATGGGTCTATACGTGATAAAAGATTGAATTTGGCATGATATTCGATTAGTTAGTTAGTGGAACAACAGAAGAATGGAAAAATATAATTTTTTTTTTTGTAAATTGTCTTTAAGGTTTGAGACATGAGACATGGCACAAAAAAATGACTCAGTAAAAATTCGAGATGCTTTTTTTTTTCTTTTTTAATATATAGTTATGTGGAAAGATGGGAGAAATAAAAAAGTTTGATTTGTATAACTGTTGTGAAATTATTCAAACCGATCCAAAGAGAAATAAAATCATGTAACATAGATAATAACAAGTTATTGAAAATCTATGTAATCATCTGTTAATATCTCCTGACTTTTACTGTCCTCTCTGCTTGTGATTATTATTTAACTTGTGCTTGCAAGATATATGCGGGAAACTATGGCTGTCCCAGCGACTACAATCGCTAGAGATATCAGACAATTCTTTACAGTCAAAACTGATTCACTCGTCGGTATCTCCAACAAGTCCTTCATCTGCAATATCATTACCACAATAATGATTAATGATAGCTCTGTTACATAATTTGAGAATGAAAAGATTGTGACTAACATTTATAGGTTTGTTCCAATTCTTCTTGATCCCTTGAAGATGCCCTCTACCGACAACTGCCACGACCGAACTACGCTCTCTTGCAACTCTTAACAACATATATGACATGTACCTGAGATAATACAATGCAAAATTTCTTAAGGAAAGGGGAAAAATAACGAAATATCCTATGATCAACATGGTGCTTAGGAATTAGGAAAACCTTCTTGGGTTTCAAGAAGTTAATTAATCTGATGAACTATATGAATAGAGAGAAGAATACAATACTAACTTATCTCGCTCATGCACAAGTGTCTCCATGAGAGATGGAAATTCCTTGCTCATTTCTTGAATTACCGATGTCACCATGTCCCCATCGTTCATAGAATTGAGCTAAAAGCCATATAATAGAATCACCACGCAATATTGAATCACATAAAGCTTTAATGAGGAAACTAAAATGATTGGAAGCAAAGACTTATTTTTTTACCATCTTCTTAATGTCCTCAGGTTTCGGAAGAAAGAAAGCTTGAGACACTATGCTGTACAAAAACTTTACTTTATGCCATAGAGGCATTTTACCCCATGCTCTCTTTAATGTGATCTGCTCCATCAAATCCGAAAATAAAATAAAATACTAATGCATAACTTTCCTCAAAAGAAAGATTTTAAGATTGTATATGAACACATATTCTTTAAATCACAAAAGTCACCTCTACAGGACGATCGCCTAGAAACACCTCGCCACCATATTTGTTTGCCTCTTCATATGCCACACGAAACTCAGCACCAGGGAAAACCTCAAGCCTGCTTGCGATCTAAAATATATAAAGAAAAAGAATGTAAATTATTGGTTAGAGAAAATATAAGCTACCATCAAAGAAAATCTAAACCGAGGAAGCATACCGTTGCAAGAAAATATCCATAAGCTATTCCGAATATGTTGTGATTCTTCTTCCACATGTCTATCATTTCCGAGTTGGTCGGAACCTGAAAAAAAACCAAAACACCGAAACCATCAGATATAAAGAAAATGGATAAAAGAGCTAGCCATATTATATCACATTTTTGTACTTAAACATGTTACAAGAATTATGTAGAGCAACAACCTTCACAGTCTGAGGTGTAAGAAAGGACTCTCGATTTGAACACAACTCCACGAAGACGACCTGGAATCGTCATCATCCACACGTGCTTAGAGATAGAAAGATATAATATTGTATAAAAGTTCACTCCTCAATGAAAATGTAAAAGGATAAGAACCTGTGGTTTAATGAAGCTGACTACAGCTTCAACTTCTCGACATGATTCCTACACACACACAAGACAAAAATAATCATAATTTAAAAAAAAAAAAACTATCCTTCATATTGTATAGTCCCATCAAGAAAAATACATTTTCAGCAAACATTACACCCCATATAGCAATGCCTACCTAATCCTTCATATTTATTCAACATTTCAAGAAATTGCAAGATCATATACTAATCTCAGTCTCAATTCAAAAGAGTGCCTTATAAATTTCTAAATAATGGAACCAACGAGGTCATAAACGAGTATACCTGTGAGACATGAGCAGTGCCAGCCAAGTACACGTCACAAGATCCACCTTCTTCTGTGGACTCACACGTTAAAACCATAACGCTTTTCGCTAATTCCTCTGGCAGCTCTAACTTCTTTTTCTCCACCGCAACATCACCGATCGGGTCGACGCCGGTTATTATCACTGAACCGGAATCGCTATGTTCTTCCTCATTCACCTCCATCTCCGCGAGCAGGTCTTCCTTCTCCACATTTACTATGCTTTCGCTTAACGAAATATCTCCCGGAGGAATTGGTTCTTCGACGTGAACGAAGTCCTCTCCAGATTGAAACTCCGGCTCCAAAGGCATCTTCGTTGCCTCCATTCAGAACAGGGATTGAGGAAGGAGTGGCGGTGTCACTTTTCGAGATAATACCAGGTAACAACGGCAGAGTCGTCGTCTGGTCGCCGACGGAGATAAGTAACGCTTGTGGAGTTAGTGCCTTAAGTTTTGTTTTTAATTAGTTTATGTTATGTTTGGGCAAACAATTTTTAATTAGTTTAACTTGTGTGAAATTATAACCTATTGTTGAAGTGAAATCTCATCCCAATTTTTTTTTTCTTTGGCTTTCTCTTCTTAAAAACATCAGTCCAAAGTGTTTTTAATAATTTAATTCTCATTGATTTTATTACTACTTTCTTTTTACGTTTAATGAATAATGGAAAAGAAAATCTATCATTTTATTTTATTGACTATTAAAAAGCAGATGTTGATTGTGAACTGTTAAGCAAATAAAATTTAGTCAAAACAAAATGTGCAAGTAATATCATACATATCTATATATACTTGGTAATGCAATATTCATGATCGTTACCTTAACTGAACATGTCAGTCAATATCTTTAAGGAGATTTATTTCTTTTGACTGCTTGTATCATTTTAGTCAAACTATTTTTCGAATATTTCCTTGCCAAAATAGCCACAACATTTCTTCTCCTGTAAGTCAAAATAAAACCTTTTTTCGTTGGTTTAAAGTTTTTGGTTTTAATGTTAAAATCAAATAAATAAAAACTTAATGTTTACAGTGGGATTTGAACCCACGCCCTTTCGGACCAGAACCTTAATCTGGCGCCTTAGACCAACTCGGCCATATCAACTTTGTTTGTTGGTTGAAGTTTAACATTTGTGAAAAACATAACCTATGGGTTGAAGTAAAGCCCACACGTACGCATGGGGACATTTGCAGCGTGCCGGTGCCGGAGGGAGAGGGTTTGATCAAATGTAGACATACAATTTGTTAAATCCCGCACAAACAAAATCGATCTTAATTATGGTTTAGCCCATAACCAGAGTGTGTTTTGCCAATTTTAAACATCAAGCAAATAAGCCCATAAGTGAGAGTATACAAGAAGATAAACCTAGCTATTATCAGTAGAGGTAAACGTTCCTTGCCGTTGAAGCTAATCTTTAAGGTTCCGAGGAAAACGCTTGGTGGCAAAATAAAGTTAATAACGAAACTTTCACAGAAGATTTCGAATTTACAAATGTAGATCGTTAGAGAGAGAGAGAGAGAGTTGAATCATTTGATCGTAAGAAAAAATGTACGTAGAGTAGTCCTGTTACTTGAGCCTAGGTCATAGTCAAATTTGGTCACCGTCTTTGACAAACACACCTTTTCTCTGTCTTTTCCTCGGTAGTTGTTGATTAGCAGCAGCAATATCAATCGAAGAATCAATAGTCTTGAATTGGATAGAGTCCTCCACATTCGGAAACTGTACCTGGTCGAATTAAGATCATGAGCTGTTAAAATGATGGAAGCTTAGGTTAAACTAGATTAAATTAGGTTGAAATTGAACCTGAGATAGAGACTCTCCATTAGAATCACTATTGATGCTGTTACTTGTTTCACCGACGTAAGATTGATTTAGAACTGAGCTGAACAGTTGTTGACTTGGATCAGAAGCAATTTCGATTGAAGAACCAATTCTACGCTTGTTGGATCCGAAACGGTTAGACTGATCAAGATCATACATCGATCTCATAGGTTGATCCAGATCCTGTAAAACTTCTGCTGCAATTTTTGATGTTTGTTCTTGCAGTGGTGGTTGTTCCTAAGCAAAGATTGATCATATACCAACTTGTTATCTTAGAAAGATCGAAACTTTTTTGATAGATAAAAGCAAAACTGCAAAACGAAAGAAATTTACCTGAAATGGAGGTAGTACAGGTTCGAGAAAAGTTATTTCTGCAGCGTCTGATAATGATAGAGTCTGACCAAACCAATGATTGTGAATCGTTAAAAAAACTTGTTGGTTCTTAAGAATGTAAATCAAACGAATGATTCTGGAATGTAACTAGATATGAAAATATTACCTCGAGAGTCCGGAGAAATTCCTCCAATTGAGGATCCATGTTTGTTTACTTGTTTCCCAAGAATCTGTTTCATCACTCTCTTTCTTTAGTTTCGTAAAAGATAAAGCAAGAACTTTATGAACAGATGAAAATAACAGTTCTTGAAACAGAGTAAAGACTCTGTTTTACTGCACTAGCGAGAGAGAGAGAGAAGAGAAGAGTTGAGTCTATTCGTCGTGGAATCTCGCGCAGTATTAGGGTTTTACTCGAGACTAAAGATGAGATTCAATCTAACATTCATTTAATCGAAAACCTGAAAAAGGGTTTTGCAAAGAATCTGCAGAAAGTTACCTAAAGAGCGAGCGAGAGAGAGATTGAAGAATGAATCTTGATCGTAAATCTTCTCACGAGAATTCCGAAACGATGAAGACACTCTGTTTTTTCTCTTCTGCAACTCCGAAAGATGATGTAGCTTCCATTTAGGGCTTATATAGGTTTCTTCGAGGAGAGAGTTGACTTTTGTTGACCACTAACTAACCGAAATAACTACCTGGTCCTTGGATAAAGAATCTCGACGCATTTATGGTTAATCGTTTTTTACCTCACCACTGTGGTAAATCATTTCGATCGAGTCATTTGTATTTTGTACATTTAACCAAAAACATAACTGCATTTTATTATGAATCCGTGGACCAACAAATCTCAGTGTTGGCATTGACTTTCTTTCTTTATTTCTGTCAGAAGTTTTCAAACTGGATTTGAAAGATTCAAGGGCTAAAATTTTGTAAACAATGCAAGTCTAAACTCTAAAATAATGTTATAAGGCATAGTTATAATAATGTGATAAACCATACTAAATCTCTTTACACAAATTCGTAAAACCATAGTTTTATAAAAATGCATGTATTTTCGTATTTTTAAAATTAAAGTCAGTGAAGGTGACTACAACTCTCAGATATACATGATGTGTTATGATAAGAAGATTATGAACTAAAATCATTTCTAAGGTAAAATATTTCATGCAATTATATGGGAGGTATAGACTTATTATTTAAAATTTAAGTAAATCTTATTGGTGAGGTACTATATGATGTATTTTTTTTAAGTAAAGTTATAAGGTAAAATATTTCATGCAATATATTATGGGAGGTAGGTACAGACTGTAGACAAATTCATCAATTTCTGGATACAGTTTCTCTTAACTAAAGTATACATGAAAATCTAAAATATTTTATATATAGATTGTTTGCCTTGATTACGTAAAGTCGATAAAAATACATATAAACCGTTGACCAAAATCTAAATATTGCAGCATTTCTTATTTAATCCAAAAACTCAATCGGTTTGTTTTTCTGTGTCTCGCTGTCATCGATTATTGTAGTTTTTTTTTTTTTAATTTCTTATTATTAATCATCATAACGTTTCTCCATTTCTCCGACCTTTTTCCAATTAAAGTCGTTTCTCTTGAAAGAGGTATCCAATAATAACAACGGTGGACTTTTATTGGTTCTTCTTCTTCTGCGTTTGTGTTCGAAGTCTTCCTTCAACCTTCATACTCAGAACGTAATATTCCATCTGCTATTTCGTGAATTCTCTACGCTATTTTACACACATTTTGTTTTTTTTTACGTTTCGAGGAAAAAATCTAAAAGCTTTCTTAATATTTATTTTTTTCCGCTAAAATACAAAGAGGGTTTTAATTCTCATTTCTGATTTAGCCTCTCAAGCTGCTTTAAAGCCATGGACTTTTTGTGATTCAGATTGAATCTTCTTCTTTTTTATTCCAGATTTCTCCCTGAAAATCGTAGGGTTTAATCGATTCTGTTATCTTCGGTAAACCCTCGATTGAGATTAACATAATCTCGATGCAATTGTTCATGTTGAGCAGGGTGGTGGCTCGTTGTTCTTCAGAGTAGCGAGCAAATTGATGAAAAGTTTCCTCTTTTTTGGAAAGGTTTGATTTGTCATCTTCTTTAGCAAGTGGTTTGAGCAGTTGACGCCTTCTGCAGACGTTAGCAACCGGCGAAAGTTTCCTGTTTTGGAAGGTAACCATTTGTCTTCTTCTTTGGAAAGTGGTTCACTTTCATGGTTATTATACTGTAGTTTAGCAGAATTTCTTCAAGAGTTAGGTTTTTGCTATGTCATTTGTCCTCTTTCGATTTGGTTATAAGCTAATTTGTTTTGTATATTGAAAGGTTTTGCTTTTTGGCATCTATGTTTGGTGGTGTCTTGTCTGTGCCTGTGAATAATCATCACTTGCGCAAATCTGGAAACAGACTCATCACCACTAATCTTGGTAAGCAATTTCTCTCTTATTTGAGTTTTTTATCTTTGGATTATAGAAAGAAAAAAAACACTTTTAGTTTATTACAGTGATTTTGTGAGAGAACAACTTTTAGATGATGACTGGGAATAATTTTTTGTTATGGTTGATTTGCTGTATTTTGCAGGAGAAAATGACTCGAAGAGCGCAAGTATGCTACTAGGTTCAATTGCCAAATTGCGAAGTCCTCTGCTCCTTAAAACTCTAAAGGTTCTTCATTTACTCAAATCCTTAGATTAGTAGAGTTTGATTTTGTAAGCATGTTTAATGATGATGCAAGTAAGAAGCTCGTTTCATAGATTCTCGCTGGTTATATCATTTAACCAACTGATTTTGAGGTTTCACTATTCTTGTTCTTCAGGTTGCTCTGTATATCGGAGGTCTTTATGTTTGTGGAAAGGTTGGAGATTTTTGAATTATCTTTCTTGCAAACAATGGTCTTAGCTTTCTATGTTTATGTTTTGAAACTCTTGTCAAATCTGCAGGTTGGATGGGAATCTGTAATGAGAATGGGAATAGGGACACGAGAACTGTTCTTCTATGAGACATTTCTGTATTATAACCCTCTCCTTCTCATTGTAAGTTCTTGTTTAATTAGTAAGCCAAATTCTGTTATTTACTTGTGTTTCCTAAAATATGCTAATTTGTGGTGTTAATCAGACGATGATGGTTTGGCTGTGGGGTGTTAATTTGTGGGTTTTTGCTCGGTCTGGAGTAGATTATGCAGCAATCTTTTATCTAGGACCAGATCATCTCACTCACAAAGAGATATGGAAGGTATACATACAATTCTTAGCTTATAACCATTTTTTATATTTGTCATGCGTTTCTAAGTTTGCTGGTGTCACAGTGTGCTAGGTGGATGACGACAATAATACTGACTAGCATGACTGCATATCTGTATCTATACTCGCACGGGGACGTGTCGTTGGCTGCATCTCAACCAGTGTAATAGATGCATCTTCTCTTACATATGTTTTGAAGAGCTTTTTGATTCATTTGCTCATCATAGAGTTTACCTTTTCCGGATGATGTTTCCAGGTGGTTTTGTATTTCTCTGCTGTGTTAATTCTGATCATACCTTTCAATATCTTCTACATGCCGTCTCGTTACTACTTGTTATGGACTTTTTGGCGCATTCTCTTCCCTGTGCAGGTAAATGAACTCACATTTCTTTTTTTTTTCTTGTTAAAAGATTCAAATTATTTGCTAACTTTCATTTGGCGTTATCATAAACAGACGGTGACGTTTTCAGACTTCTTTCTAGCTGATATCCTGACTTCTATGTCAAAGGTAACACAAATTTTAACATTTCTTCTATATATGTTGAATGCAATTGGTAATCAACAACAAAAAAAAATTGTGCAGGTTCTGTCGGATTTAGAACGGTCTGTATGTCGTATGGTCCATCGACAGGTCTGTTACTCTCCCTCTTCCTTATGACTAAACCTATCCATCACATGGTCAGTGAATCTGATAGATTCATTGCAGGTAGCAACTGTTGCATGGTTTGAAGCCGATTCGGTTTGCGGTAGTCATTCTGCTGCAATCCCTTTGGTTCTTGTTCTACCGTATCTCTTCAGGCTGTTCCAATGCATCCGTCAGTACAAAGATAGCAAGGAAGTTGCAAACATCTGGAATGGTAACATTTTCACCGGTTCTTGTTTGTTTTGGCCTTTTCGTTGGACTTCTAAAGATCTCTCTCCGCTGTCTTTGACTTTGAATCTTTCAGCTGGCAAATATATGACGGCGGTGCCTGTCATCTTTCTATCAGCTCTCAAGTATTACATAGATCCTGATACATGGACTTACTCCATTCAGCCTGCTTGGATCCTCGCTGGCCTTGCCAACACTTTCTTCTCCTTCTTTTGGGACATTTTACGCGATTGGGATCTAAGGTAAGAGTGAATCTTTAAAGATTTCTCTCCAATCTTGGATTCAGTTCTTTAACTCTTTCTTGCTTGTAGTGTCTTCACTCGGATTTTCAAATTCACAAGACCAAACATCTGCTCTCATCTTCTCTATGGACGCCGTTGGGTAATAGAAACAAACTTTCTTGTTTTCATCAAATCTTTCAAAATGTGTCTGAATCATATTTTTTGCAGGTGTATATATGGGTGATTGGAAGCAATCTGGTGTTAAGGTGGACATGGACATACAAGTTATCAGCTCATCTCCGTAACAACTACATCACAGTCTTCATCATCACTCTTCTGGAGATTTACAGGCGGTTCCAATGGGCGTTTTTCCGTATAGAGAACGTGTGGAACAAGATCAACAACCCCAAGCGTACTTCTTCTTCTTCTCATCAGTCTAATCCTCAACCACTCCAAAACGATGTCGTCAGCGAACGTGAGAAGTTAATCGCTTATAGTCACAGCCTCGGTGTATAAAAACAAACCAACCCACAACTTTGTTGTTTTTTGTTCTGAGTTTTTTGAAACAAAATTTTGAACAACAAACACATACAAAGTACTATATTTTACTTCTACTGTAACTTGTAACTTTCATTACAGAGAGCGAGACTTGGCTCTAATATACAGAAAGATGTGTAACTTTCATAGACTACTAGTCTACTACTACTTCTCTTGGGATCATATAAACATTTATCTGTTTTTGTGGAACTTGAAAAGCATAACTTGCTTTAGGTGCAACTGCAACTAAACTGGTTGTTTTTGTGGACAAGTGTAGCACCAAGAACATTGTTTGGTGTTTTAATGGATTAGGTGAAATAAAAATACAAAGCTTTCTTGATCCATTATTAGTTCTTTACTTGTTCCAACATAAATACTAACTCTTAACAGATACAAACACAAGTTCATTATTTACCAACTCTTCTCCCCCCATCATTTTCTTATCCTTTTAACCACTATATATACACACAATTTGACTCCAGACTGTGAAGTACCAAACATCAACATCTCTTTGATCTATCTCTCAGCTCTCTTGTTAATTTTCCTTAGAGAAAAAAGAAAAGAAAATGGCATCCAGAGAAATGATGATCATAATCTCGGTTCTCGCTACTACACTCATCGGTTTAGTAGTAGCTACAGACCACACCATTGGTGGTCCTAGTGGTTGGACTGTAGGAGCTAATCTTCGGTCTTGGGCTGCAGGACAAACATTTGCTGTCGGAGACAATCTTGGTAATCTTATTCACACATCTCTATATTAAACTTTGTTTCAACTTTAGAAAAACTAAAACCCAAAAACTCTGTTTTTTTTGCTTCGAACAGTTTTCTCCTACCCTTCTACGTTCCATGACGTAGTTGAAGTCACGAAACCAGAATTCGATAGCTGTCAAGCGGTTAAACCGCTTATAACGTTTGCTAATGGAAACTCCATTGTTCCTCTCACTACCCCTGGAAAAAGGTTCATACTTTACATTCTAATCAATATCATATATATGATGATTTTATATACTATGCAATATATTTACATATATATTGGTTTTGTTTAGGTACTTCATTTGTGGAACACCGGGACACTGCAGCCAAGGGATGAAACTTGAAGTAAACGTTATTCCAACCGCAAACGCTGCACCAACCGTACCGCTTCCAAACGCTGTCCCATCTCTAAACGCGCCTTCACCTTCCTCTGTTCTACCTGTACAACCTCTGTTGCCTCTTAACCCCGTACCTCTTCTCTCTCCATCTTCTTCTACTCCGCTTCCTTCCTCCTCTCTGCCTCTTATTCCGGCACAAACTCCGGCACTTTCTCCGGCGGCTGCGGCGGGGACTTCTCTGCCGTTGATCCCAGGCTCACCAAGTAGCTCTAGCAGCACAACCAGCAAAACCGTCGGGACCTTCCCTTCTAGTGCTACAGGAACGACGGCTGATCTTGCCGGCGCAGGCGCTCCTCCAGTTGATTCCTCCACCTCCTCCGCGGCAAGAACTTTTGTTTTGGGATTTGGATTCATCGTCGCTATGATGCTTCATTTGTTCTAAGTGCTTTTTCTTTTTTCTTTAAAATGGAGAGAGATTTGTTTGCAGAGGGAAATGTGTTTTGTGTTTACTTTCTTTTGTTGTATTGTATATGAGTTAATGTGTTGTTTTTTTTTTTTGGGGTGTTCTCTTGTGTATTTACCACTATATCGGTTTATTATTCTTATATTACCTTCTTTAAAAAAAAAAAAAAATCGACAAAATAATACTTTCATATATCAAAGAGAGTTTACATAATCATCATACAAAAGATTATACAACCACAACGGAGGATACAAGATTGATGATAAAAAGGACACTTTTTAGCTAAACTATGAGCCACAATATTATTGTTTCTTCTTGTATGTTGAAAAGTACAACTTACCTTATTACAGTTTATATATAAGTTAAGTAGCGCAAATTAAATAATTTTATTAGAAACTCTACACACAAAAATATATCCAATAACATCCCTTAGGTCGTCTACAACGACTAGGGTTTAGGGTGTATCGCAGCCTAGCCACTATCCCCCCATGAAAACACGGCGGAGAAATGGTCTAACCAACACCCGAATCAATAAGCGACCTAATACGTTAGAGAATGGAAGAGAAAACTCATTACCGATCCCAATCGATCTCATGATCGACGTATTCTCATGGTTGCCGGTGAAAGCTATAGGAAGATGTCGCTGTGTATCGAAGGTCTGGGCTTCTATACTTCGCCGTCCAGATTTCACGGAGTTGTTCTTGACTAGATCTTGTGCCCGTCCGAAGATATTGTTCGCCTGCCAAAAAGGCGGTGACTTGTTCTTCTTCTCGGCACCTCATCCTCAAAACCCGGACGAGAACTCGTCTCATCATGTTACTGCCAATTATCATATGAAGTTCTCGTTTGATGGTTCCTTTGGAATATGTGGTCTTTTCCCTGGCTTGGTCGGTGTATGCATTCGGACCCCACGTGGCATGGAAAAGATGTTGGTGATAGTAACCCTAGCACGGGGCAATCCTTACCTTTACCCAAAGTAAAGAAGACGGAGAGAGTTAAGGCGAAAAGCTTTCTTGGGTATGATCCGGTTGATAAACAATTCAAGGTGTTGTCCATTTTAGGGTCAAGTTATGTAGGAAGCGATGTATTTCCTGAAGAGCTTCAAGTTATGACATTAGGAACTGGAAAACTGTCATGGAGATTGGTTGAGATTGATCGAGTGCTGCATTATACTCCATCATCGGTACGTCGTTATAAAACATATGATGAGATATGCATCAATGGTGTTGTATATTATCCATTTGCTAGAAGAGATAGAAAGACTTATATTATAGTTTGCTTTGACGTGAGGTCTGAGAAGTTGAGCTTTATTAAAGTCAAGGAAGCTCTCTGTGAAGCAGTGCTTTGTGGAACACTGATAAACTACAATGGTAAATTAGGTTTACTTCTGTGTAAAGAGCCTTATGTACTTCATAAAAGAAGTAGAAGTTTTAAATTGTGGGTTCTTGAAGATCTTGAAAAACAGAGTTGGTCTGAGCATTTATACTTATTACCCGCTTTGTGGGAGAATGTAGTTGGAGATGCCTTGTTAAGATTTGTTGGAGCAACCCTGACAAATGAGATTGTGTTCTCGTCGTCGAACTGTCCATACGGACGTTTCTACCTTTTCTACTTAAATATCGAGAGGAACAGTATCGTAAGAGTTGAAGGCCAAGGAATGGATGTGTCTAAGGGTGATAGAGTACTTTGCACCTCTCTAGACCATGTAGAGGATGTGAAGCTTATGTAAGTGTTTAGATAGTTCATAACTTGAGACTTTGTTCGGCTTTAGGTTCTCATCAATTCATCTTCAATTCTTCACATCACCTTATTGGATGAGATGCTATTCTTCTATTTACCGTGCGGATGTTATAATTTTCAAGAAATGGAAGCGTTTATGCATTTGTAGACCATGTAGAGGACGTGAAGCTTATGCAAGTGTTTTAGTTAGGACTTTTTAGAACTTGATATTTTTGTTACATAGCTAGTTTGGCTTTAGGTTCTCATCACCACAGCAACATGAGATCTTAATAACAATGTCCTTATCTTATTGGACCTCTATTTTAGTTACTAAAAATGATAGTAAACTAATATTTGATTTAATAAATTTGTATCCATCTAATTTTAGTATAAACTTTTTTATTTCTTGTAATATGTCCTTACATTATATGATTTTTAAGAATTTCCCATAATTTTAGTATCTTGTACATATTAATATTTTTTTCTTTGTCCAGTTAGATGAATCACTAAAACTAATTTTCATTGATTTTTTTCTTTGATGAAGTGTAAATATCATCATAAGAATATCAATATCAGCAAAGAAAAATCTAGTACTATTTATAAGAGTATCACATAGCTATTTATATATGAATATGTATATCTGTATATGATCATTCATTCCTCCATCTCCCAAAAATATATAACCAGTAAAAGAAACGTGACTGAACAAAAAAACAAAAAAAAAAAAACAAAGAACTGGCAATAAATCTTGGCCACGATTTGCTGATAACATACGAACGCATAAAAAAATTAGCACATTTATGATCACGGAAAGATAAAGAGAACCAAACAAAAAAAAACTGGTCTTTATGATTCAGTAAAGCTTTTTTTTCTTGGTAGTTTCTTAAAGCACAAGGTACCATGACACGCGTATTAAAGATGATGAACCCTAATCTGATCAACAGAAGAAATCTCTACAAAGGATCTCCGATTTTAGTTAGACCTGAAGAAAGAAAAAGACGAGTCCAATGGAGATTTTCAATCAAGGAGGGATCCCTACGAACGCCACAAGCCACTGCTTCTTCTACAACAGAATCAAAGGTTAGTAGTAGTGATGACAAGAATCTTTGAGTTTTTTTCTTGATAATTCTTTATTAAATCTTGGACCATAAAAAACACAGGCGATAAAGTTCAATACGACGACGTATGACGACAAAATGTTGACCAACTATGTTCCTGTCTACGTCATGCTTCAGCTTGGAGTCATAAGGAACGATAACGTCCTTGAAAACGCAGAGAAGCTCGAGAAACAGCTCAAGAAACTGAAACAGAGCCAAGTAGATGGAGTGATGGTTGATGTGTGGTGGGGAATTGTGGAATCAGAAGGTCCAAAGCAATACCAATGGAGTGCTTACAGAAACCTGTTTGAGATCGTACAAAGCGTCGGACTAAAACTACAAGCTATAATGTCGTTTCATAGATGTGGTGGCAACATAGGAGATGATGTTAACATCCCGATACCGAAATGGGTGCTCGAAATTGGGGAGTCAAATCCGGATATCTTCTATACGAACAAGATTGGTAACAGAAACACAGAGTGTTTGTCTCTTTCTGTAGATAACTTGTCTCTTTTTAAAGGAAGAACAGCTGTTGAGGTAAGTAAAAACTCTTAAAATTGAAAACCCTAAAAAAATTGTTTTTATAGATATAGAATCTTGCTCTGTTTTCTAGATGTACAGAGACTACATGAAGAGCTTTAGAGATAACATGGAAGATTTCATTAGCTCTGGAGTTATAATAGATATTGAAGTTGGGCTTGGTCCAGCTGGAGAGCTGAGATACCCTTCTTACAGTGAGACTCAAGGATGGGTTTTTCCAGGAATTGGAGAATTTCAAGTAAGAAAATGAAATGAAAGTTTTTCATTTTCTTTAGGGTTTGCAAAAAAAATAAAACAGAGCTTTTAAAACTTTTTTTTTTCCTTGGCACAGTGTTATGATAAGTATTTAAGATCAGATTATGAGGAAGAAGTTAGAAGAATCGGGCATCCGGAGTGGAAACTTCCGGAAAATGCAGGCGAATACAACAATACTCCAGAAGAAACCGGGTTCTTCGAGTACTCGAATGGGACTTACCTTGAGGAAGAAGGAAGGTTCTTCTTGTCATGGTACTCCAGAAAGTTACTTCTCCATGGTGATCAGATTCTTGATGAAGCTAATAAAGTGTTTCTTGGGTGTAAACTCAAGTTAGCAGCAAAAGTAAATTTTAAAATCTTAATAGAGTTAGTTTATGTAAAGACACAATATATGCATTAGCAACCTGATCAAGATTTGATGGTTTCTTGATATATTTTTTTTCAGGTCTCTGGAATCCATTGGTGGTACAAATCTGAAAGTCATGCTGCAGAACTTACGGCGGGTTATTACAATCTAGGAAACAGAGATGGGTATCGTGAGATTGCGAAAATGATGCGTAGACATCACGCTGTCTTGAACTTCACTTGTCTAGAGATGAAGAACACAGAGCAGCCAGCAAAAGCTAAGAGTGGACCTCAAGAACTTGTGAAACAAGTAAGAAAATTGATCACTATAAAGTAACACAATTTTTGTTATGTTACTTAAAATGATGTTTTGAAGGTTTTGAGCTGTGGATGGAGAGAAGGGATTGAAGTTGCGGGTGAAAACGCGCTTCCGAGATTCGATAGAGATGGATATAACCAGATTATACTAAACGCAAGGCCTAATGGGATTAACCGAAATGGTAAACCGAGGATGTTCGGGTTCACATATCTCCGGTTATCTGATAAGCTTCTCAGCGAACCGAATTTCTCAACGTTTAAGACGTTCTTGAAACGAATGCATGCGAACCAAGTAAGCAATCAAAAGCCACTTTGAGAACTGTCTTTGCTTCAAGATTCATACAGCATTTTTTAAGTTTGTGTGTGTTGCTTCATTATTCAGGAGTATTGTTCAGAGCCTGAAAGGTACAATCACGAGCTGTTTCCGTTGGAGAGATCTAGAAACGGTGAATCATTGGAGGAGTTAATGGAAGAAGCAGAACCAGTTGATCCGTTTCCATGGCTAGAAGAGACAGACAAGAGCATTAGACCCTTTGAGAGTGTATTGTCTCTCTTGAGAAGCATACTCTTCAGGAACAAGTCCTAGAATTATGGACTTGACTATAATATTCCTGAGGAAAATAAGATGCAAGTAAATAATTGATCCTAACAGTCTTAAATTCTTAATGATGTAAATTTGAAGCATTAGTTTTGTAAATTAATATACCAAATTTTTATTTTTAACAACTGTACAAGAAATGGCTTTGTATAAATAAAAATAAATAGAACTCGTTTCTTAATTTTAGAATACTTCAGGCTTGAGCTTCTTCGAATTATTAAAAGCAAGTTATACCTCTGTTTACACTAATCATTTTCTTGTTAAACAAATATAAGTCGGCCAAATGAGGTTCTTTTTTTAAATATTTATTTATGTTAGTCACGCTACTTTTAAAAAAGTTATATGTAAAGTTTGATTTTATAGGTTGAATACAGTTCGATTGATGAGAAAAAAATAGAAACTTGTCAGTGTATTATGACTTAAGTGGCTATTTAGTCGAGCTAAAAAATCTAAGTACAAATATTGTTATTGGACTTATAGAATTCGAGTTTCGAATATTTTAAAAATTCCCGTGACAAGAAAAGATTCCATAGGTGTGTCTGAGAGAGAACGAGAGCATTGAGTTAATTTCAGAAACCGAAGCAAAGACAAGATTCCATTTAATGTCATTATCTAGTGCATTTTAACCCCACATGCGACAACAGAGCGTGACATAGAAAGCTTCCTTTTCTTTTCAAAATGACACGGCTTTCCAAAATTACAAAAAGAGACTTTGAAATAAGCGAAACAATTCAAGAAAAGAAAAAACTGGACTATGTTACTTTGACAGAATTACCAGGTAACATAGTCAAGGGCAAGAACCCACCTTGTCCCATCACTTATCGAGACTACCTTTGTCACTTAGCTTCGTCTTTAGCCGCAGTGGCAGAAACGTAATAAGCGACACAAAAGAGGGCATGAAGAAAACACAAGATCCCTCCAATGGAGAGAAAATGGTGATGTGTGAATCCACAAGAGGATCTTGACTTGCTGTTCGACATCGTCCCAATCACCAAGCTCCCAAATCCAACGGCGAATACGATCCTGTGATTACCACCCAATCAACACACACCACGTGTCATTCTACTTGGATTGACAATTATTGATATGCCAAGAAGATATTGTACTGAAGTTGTTTAATTAACGTACCAAGTGAGGACGAGACAAGCCATGGAGATTTGTCTAGTGGAAGAAGATCTTTGAAACTCGTCTTGAGAGCAAATACAAAGACAGCCTCCGACCAAGTTGATGAGAACATGAGCCATTACCAATATCGCGGCTGCACCTAGACCTAGCCTGAACGCGTCTTGGCTCGGCTCTCTGCACTCAAATAACCATAGCTTCATGTGCTTCACCTGCATCCACATACGCAACCATGACCCATTTTTTTAACTCATGCAAGTGGAAGTGGTATATTCACACAAATACTCTCGATTTAACTATTAACACAACAATTCTTTTTTTTTTTTTTGCATATATCATTATCATCATGGTTTGGGGAAAATAAATATTATAATTTGAGATACCTGATTTTGGGAGACTTCTGCTTGGATTCCAAGGATTGCAGCCGCTACATCTAAGCCCACAATGACTAAACAAACAAGAATACCTCCAATCCTCGCCATTTGTTTTAACTCTCTTTAATAACTAGGATTAAGTTTTCTTGGAGATATTAGTTTGAGGAAGATAAAAGTTTCAAAATGTGAATCAAGAAGAGGGGAGAGAGGCTTCTCTGTGAGGGAGAGAATATTGTTTGAAGAGGGAAATGAGAATGGGGGTATAGTGCTGTAATGATCTTTTATGACAAAATGGATTGATATATAATAAGTGGTAAGTAAAGTTATGAGTGTGTAGAAGAAAAAAGAGAGAGAAAGATTTTATTTAAAGAAAAGTAGAAAATGAAAGAAACAGATATTTCTTCTTCTTTTGAAAAAAGGACCTGTGACGTCCAAAAATTGACTAGATTGTAAAAAAAGCCCTCAGCAAAAGATAATTACAAGTTTTCAGATAAATCAAAATACTGTATAGTTTTTTATCAAGTTTTCAGAATAAACCAAGATAAGATAAGATTTTCTTTTATCATTTACAGTTTTTACAATGTCCAGTCATTCAAGCACTTGTCTGTATCCGCAATCCGCATATACATCAAATCTCCAATCAGCAGAGTACCACAATCGATTTTAGTGACAAGGCATAAAGTTAATTTTCATTTTACAACGAATACGATTGTTTACCACATGCTGACATGCACAAGTACATATAGATAGATTAACCAGATACATAAGCTATTTCTTGTTTTACAATTTTGATATTATTTGTAAGTGGGATCTTGTACAAACTCCTGAAAAAATACGAGCACCGAAAGGATTATGGTGAAACAATTGAAACAAATATCATATATGTACTAATGTACTTATAAAGATGACACCCCAAACTATAAAATATAAATAGTAGAAACAGAGAATAGGAATAGCTGGGATATGCATGTGACACTTTGGCACCGAAGCCAATAAAGCTTCCTTTTGTCCATATCAAATGGCGGATCTCCTTTAGATATAACTTATCGATTTGTTAAGTACTCTCTTTTCTTTAAGTTATGTAGTTGCTTTTATTTTTTTGTTTAGTTGGGTAAAAATGGTTGGATTCTTTGTGTTGGGGAGGAAGAAAAGTAGGGCATATATCCAACCCAACCAAGCGTGGCCAATGTCTTCGCTTCTCTGTTCAAGAATCAAAATTTTATGTATTTTATACACACTTGGGTAGAAGTGGGAACTGGGAAGAGTTGAGAAAACATTTTTCTACAGTTTGATAGAGTGAACAATCGTTAGTCAAAACTCATACAAAAAACACCAAGTGGCTATAGCTCGACTGGTAAAAACATCAAGAGGTCACATGATCAAGTGCCGTTTGGGACGAAACCAATATTACATGCTATGATTTCGGGCTTAGGGGAATATACGGGCTTCGGCCCAGAACTTCCTCATAATTCAAAAAAAAAAAAAAAAAAAAAAAAAAAACTCATACAAATTCACACGCTGGCCTACAAAAGTACTCATATGTGTATATCACAAGGTTCATATCAAAACTTCTCTCTACTTTAGAGTCTATCTTTTTGTTAAATATATTGGTTTACATACAAATAAAGCTTATTTTAAATATTGAAATCTATGCATAATATTTTTGAGTAATATTGAAACATATGCATAATAGTTGGCTCTGATCACAATCCCAATAATATATAACTAGAAGTAAAGTATGAGTTTAGAAAATTTTGCAGAATAAGTATTACAGTAAAACTTACTTATTCCAAAATGAATTTAGAGATATAGTATGTTGGAAATTACGTATCCTGAAAAATTACCTATTCCTAAATGAATTTAGCGATATAGTTCACTGGAAAGTTTTCCAGCATCCATAAAATCATTAGAGATAAGAGCATAATAGTTTTCAGCGAATTTTTTAAGACAAACATTACATCGCAAATTACTTGTCGGAGGAAGGTGAAACTCACAAAATCACTACCACAAATATCTAAAAATGTGGCCATGTGGCGATGTGGGGCATGCATACGAAACCAGTCGCAGTTTAGAGCCATAGACAAATACACACTTATTATACATCATGATTGAAGATATTAATCATCTATCTTAACCTGACCCTGATCCATTGGTTTCAACATTTGAACGCCATTGTAGGTTTATTTAAAATTTTGATGAAAAATAATATTATTAGTTTTTTCATACAATGTTTAGCGGTGTTCTGCGCAAAAACTCAAAAAATAATATTTGTCACCAATCAGTCATAAGATTATCAGAACTGAAGTTGCTTCAGGAAAATAAATGTAGATAATTTGAACAAACAAAAAACAAAACGAAAGTTAAGAACTAATAGAAGAAATTGTTGGGTAATAACTAATAAATGGATATGTTTTTATGGGTATACTGTCTCAAACACAACAAATAAATCACCATTAAAGGAAACGAGAATCATAGACACTTCAATATGTAAAAGGATGAATAGTTAGAGAGACAAAATTTAGATGTGAAAAAAAGCTAAATGTACTAAATGTATAATTTGAAAACCATTTAACAAAAAAGTAATAAATGTATAATAAAAAATACAATTACAAAGTTTGAGAAGATAGAAAAACATAATCTTACAACTTTTTTGTTTAATTAAATTAAAAATGCGACGAGTGAGAATTGAACAAACGGCCTTCATATTGAATCAATGTGACGCTCTTCTACCAACTGAGATTTTCCCCTTTGTTACCACTTACCACCAAATATTTCACTCTTTGGTTGAAAACCTTTTTCTTTTCGATCTTTGATTTCGCACATGGTCACTCTCGTTTTCTTCGTCTTCCAATATCGGAGTTAAAGACGGCTTCCACCGTGTGAACTCTTCTGTGTGAGGCATCGTTGATGGTTGATCATCCATGGCGGTGGTGGAACGGCAACATTTACCGAAAATTGGGAAACGGAAACATTTACGGAATATTGACAAAATCATTTGAAACTCAATTGCTTATGTTGTTATTATTGTTTCGACGATCGATGCAGAGATTTTGATTTTTCTTTCTTTCTTTTTTGTTGCATGCTCTTAGTATATATATTAGGTGTGTAAATGTTGTTAGGTGTTAGTATGTATTTTGTACTTTGTAAGAAAATTATATTTTATATAGTAACTACATTAATAGTTCACTATTTTTAAGTACAACTAAAATTATGATATTTAACTAAAACGGTCAAAAAATGATAAATTTAATTTTATTATGGAGAAAAACTATAATAAGCTAATTATTACAGCTAGCAAGCATCTTAATAAATTATTTTAGCAATAAATAAAAGGATAATTACTAATGAGAATTTACAAGAACATAATAGAGAACATGAGTCAAGATTCTTTTTTTGTTGAAACATGTGTCAAGATTCAAGACTCAAGAGAATGGGAATGGTGAGAATTAGAATCTAAACGTAATACATTAGTCCAAAATGCTTTTAGTACGGTTTCTTTGTTGTTCTTGCCATGAAATCTTATGGCTTCTTTTATAAATCTAATTTTCTTCAAAAACAAAATCACTAAACATTACTCGTTAATTCTTTTTATTGTTTTTAATTTTATTCGAGAGATTTTTTGATTTAATATAATTTGTTTGTTTTTTTTTCTCAAAACTAAATGAAATATTGGAGATAAAGCTTTTAATCTCGTATGAAGCTTATTTATTATCAGACAGAGGGGTTAAAATATTAAAACATAAACAATTAATAGTATGAAACATAGGGGTTGTAGTTTTGATTAAATTTTCAACTTTAAACATGCAAATAAATCATGAGCATGGACAATGATCTCTCCATGGCCAGTTCTTGTTTTCTCTTCTGACTTTAAGAAAATAAGACTAACCAAACGATAAAATACTTTACATTATAATCAATATCTCTCGTAGCGTAGAAGGATAATAAAATTATAGAAGTCGATGCACAATCGGACAAGGAGACAGCATCGGCGAGGCCCTAATATCCATCGACGTTGCAATGTTCCTAGTATAACAAGCAAACAAAATTATTTTCATATTGCACTTTTAAACCAAATTATATGTAGGCAAGTGGTGTTCCACCTCCGTTGCCATCCCGATTAACTCAGGTTCGACCATGATGTCTTTCATAAATGATCATTAGACATTTACACGAAGATAAAATTAGAAACTATCTAAAATCATTACAAAGAAAGAAAAAGAGATAAATAGAAAACTACGAGTGTGGATGTTAAAACATAAAATAAAAAGAAAACGTCACGACTCACCAGGCTTTTTTTAGTCTATACCTCAACGAAAACATCTTTTTGGCATTTGGTTTCGTACGTGCAAGTGAGACATTTGACGTTAAGTGATCACTCTCGCAGTCGTCGTCTTCCAAAATAGGGTACAATGACGGTCGCCATCTTGTGGAATCCTCAAATGTGTGTAGCCTTGAGTAAAGAGCCAACGATCGTGGATCAATCGTCGTTGATTCCTCTCTATCCGTCGTATCAGAACGGCAACAATGGCGAAACAGAGAGAACATCATTGTGAACTTAAAAAGAAAGCATTCGGAAATATTTGATTCTAAGTATTTTTAATTTATGTGATGTTTGGATACGGCAACATACGGATCACGGATTAATCTTTTAAATAGTGAAAAATGGAAATTCAACTGAAAAAAGTGAATAGTATTACAGTGAACAGTTTCTGTTCATAATTAGGGTCGTATGTTTACTTCTTGTGAGTTGTGATAACATAAATAGAAATTTAATGCTTTATATACTAAAGTATGTTAATGAGTCTTTGAAAAACAGTTTTTGTTAACGAATCTGTTAGAAATTTCTTCGAAAGGAAGACGATTTTAAATACAGCTTCTAGTAGTCAGTTTTAACTTTTGTATGTTCTCAATTAGTAAAGAAATTTCGAAAGTTTTTCAGTAATTTTCAAATGTATAGTCATATTTCTTTCTAGAAATATGTTCTGTATTTCTATTTGAGTTTTGCTTTAACTTTTTTTTAAAACAAAATTATCTCTTTTTTGTTTGACTTTTTGTTAATGAAGTTTGATAATGTCATTGATTTTGTTCATTCAGAAATATCAATGTGATAGTTAAAAATTCAACATATATGTTAAAATATCAAATATTCATTAAGTAATAAAAAAATAATTACAATATAGTGACACATAATTATATCATATTTGACAAGAAAAAACCTTTTTAACATAAGGAGTACCTAAATATAGGAACATATTCGACTCTAATTCTGCATTTTCGTTGTATTATTCGGAGAAATTGTTATCTATCGTGAATATTTTGGATAGTTTATCGCGTTTTCCTTATAATATATTTCCTCAGTCACATATTATAAGCAGTTGAGAAAAATGTATTTGAAAAAAGTGGATGTATCTTGATGGAATTCATATACATTTTCCCCAACTGCTTATAATATGGAATAGAGAAAGTATTCTTTAGATGTAGATAAAATAAAGCACGCAAATCAATATAAGCATATATAATAGGTGGTTACAAATCACACAAGCAATAAACCAAGGCTCAGTTCTTTTCTGGGACATGGATCAATATAGATAATTGAATTAATGTTACACATGAACATATTAAGTGACCCAGAAAACAGAGATCTCAAAATTATAATTGAAAAAGGGGGAAATAAGAACAAATAATTCGAATCCACAATAACCAAAGGCCATGAACAAAACTAAAAAAGCAAGTGTTGATATCGGAATAATATCAAGCCCATTTGGCTAATATAGACATGAGGCCAGCACCAAGAAGGAGAGCAATATGGGCCATGATTTGAAGCCCAGTGTTGGACTGCATCTTAGGGTGCATGAAATCTGCTGCGAGAAGGTCCACCAGAGACATGTAAATGAGAATACCTGCGGATGCAGCGTTCAATACTCCTTGAACGATCAGAGCCGTTGGAGAAGATTCATCGTAAGTATTCGCTATTCCCATTCCCACAGCGATACCTATCGGAGTCGTTAATGCGAAGAACGTCGACATTATTGTCACTGACAAGCACTTGAATTTTCCCTATAATATAGCAAGAAATGAAAGATAATGAAATTGGAATGTGATAATTTGTTACAAGATATATTTTGTGGACCGGTATACTTCCAATTTTCTAGATATTTGATTGAAATGAAGTAAATAAACAGAGTAGAAACATATACCTGAGCAATACAACCACCAAGGCCAAGACCTTCGAAGCACTGATGAAACATTAAGGCAATAAAGAGAGCTTTTGCAGCTTCTGGGCTCTGTGAAGCTCCAAGTGATATTCCTATTACCACGGAGTGTACTATTATTCCCAACTCCAAAACCTATTAAAATAAAATAAAATAAGTAAAAGAATTTCAATAATGAGGTAATTTAAACTTTACAGTACATGTTTTTTATTTTTCAGATTGACTTGACAAAAAAAAAATTGCGCCATGTAAATCTTGTTACAAAAAAAAAAGTTTACGCCATGTGATCTAGTTTAGATTTTTTGATGCATTCCAAATAATGGACATAAACATATTTTCTAACAATGTATATTTTATAGAGATATATGATCTGTTAAAAGCTAACCATAAGAAAAGTTCTTATTTGGAATTTCGGCACTCAATAACATGTGATGGTTTCTCTACAGAATCAAATCTCACATGGTCCGAATCTAATTACACACCCAAGTCGACAAACTATTAATCTCTCACAAATGCATGAACTTGTAACCAAGATAGTAATTATTACTTTTAACTGTAGGTAATCTATGCATGCATTAAAATTTATTCAAGGTGTATGTATGGATCCGATTGTTTTTTTGGTTCGTCTAGGTTTGTTTTCACATTTACAATGGTTAACTTATTATGATTACTAAAATAAATAAAATTAAAAATTAAAACATAATACTCTGTTCTATTTTTTTTCTTAAATAAAAACTCCTTTAAAATTTTCAAAAAAATGTTAACGTTTTGTGGTTCCATTTACATTTTACAATTATGTTGAAATTGGAAGCAGTGGCATTGCAACCATAAGATTTGAAACAGAATTGCACATTCATCTTTCCCTATTAATCCATTCCTTCTAAAACCATATATAAGAAAATATTTTTAAACAAGAATATAGGCAAACGCTATGATTCTTAAAGTGGAGCTCAACAAACCTGTGCAATAACTCTTGTCCGAAGAATTTGGACCTTGTCTTGGACCTTGTCGGAGACGATGGAGGGCTCGCCGGATTCTCCATCAGTGATCGTCTTTGAAGCTTTACAATGCGATTTATAAAAACTTGAAGTGGCAAACGTATCGACGGATAGCGTCAAGATCGCAGCGACCATGGCGATAAATCCGGTGAACGGAAATTCCCAGGCTTCTGACGTCAGGCACGGCGAATTAAGCATCACGTAGGCCTCAGGCAAGACGTGCATGAATCCGGTAGAGAGGATTACGCCTGCGGCGAAAGCTTTCGTGATGAAGAAGAAAGATGTTTCAGGACGCAGAGAAGGGAAGACTTTGCCTAAGAGAGGGAAAAGAACTCCGATCACGCCTGCGATTAGAACACAAGGAATGGCGGCGATTTTGTATTTCTGAGCTCCGGCTTTGTTTTCATGGTCGTCGTCGTGTGAGCATTCGCACTTCGGTTTACCGGAGTGCGAATGGCCTTCGTGTTCCTGTGCGGATGCGGCGATCAGAAAGAGGGAGATGGAGAAGAAGAAGAGCAAGAGTTTCACGTTTTTCTTCATTCTGTCTTTTTATTATTTAGGGTTTGTAAGAAAATATTTTTGGATTCTTGACGAAGAAGAAGAAAAAGTTGGTATGGAAATGGAAGTATCTGAATGTGTATATATACGTATAGTAATACTAATATCATATAAATGTGTGCTTAACATATTTTGTTTAGTTTGGTCATTCATTAGCAAGATATGAGCTAATGCATAAAACATAATGATCTTGCTCAATTATTATATTTACAAGAATCTTTTGACAGAAAACTTATTTCAAAGTCAATATTTTTTTTAGGAAGTATGCAATGTATGTACACTTGTTTTATATATACATATATATATATACATTACTTGAGCAATAGTTAGATATGACTTATCCGACCAAAAAAGAAGAAGCAATAGTTACGAATTATGAGAGAAAGATGTGATCAGAAAAAAAATTACCTTCCAAAATCAATATGCTGTTAGAATTTTATCATGCGCAAATACCTCTTTAATGATCCGACCTGCCCATCAGAGAGTCCTAACCTCACTTCGACAGATAAAACCTTGTTAAAGTGTTTTTGGTTATGGTTTAGAATTACAGCACCATGTAATTTCAGTTACTTTGGTTTAAAAGTCTTTGGGAGAGAAAATCATTTTGTCTTCCTAATAATATCTTGACCGCGGTAATGTGACTTGAGCTGGTTTCAAGAGACGCACTCAAGAGCCAGTAGGAAACCTACGTGGTGCGTTCTGCGTAGCATAGGTTAGTTTGCTTTCCAATGGACGAATTCCTTTCAGAGAACAATTTCCATCGTTCGGAAGATGCGAAACCCCCATTTAAACAGTCACATGTAACCTTTTTTTTATATATTATCACTTGAACATCGTAAGATTTTCATATACACCCAACTAATATTAAAATTATCGGAGTACACCACGTAGATGTTCTGATTTGTAACTTCGCTTTCGGATATGCTCTACGCTAATTTTCCTACGATAAACAGAATAAACATTTTTTAATGTATAATTGTAAAAAGAAAAATAAATCAATACCAAAGACAATGTAAATCAGAGACATACCCAAAATTTTCATCCATATATGATAAAAACAAAAAAGTAACTTCACTATATATTCAGTTCATATTATTAATTAAATAAAGTGAAGTAAGATATATTCCTCATGTATATTATTATGTTGAAAATTTCAGCTAAGCATTCACATAGTGCTATTACAACATTACCTAGGGTGAATATTCATTTTAACGGGAAATTATGTATCAAGAATTTTTTCTGTATGACTAAAATATATTGGTTTGGCATTAGTGTCACTTCTTTCTTGTTATTATCTAAACAAATTTCGAGTCTTATGGTTTATATTTTCAGCTGACTTGAAACTAAAACATCATTCCTATACTACTCGATCTTCTCTTCGTCGTTAAACTCAAACTATTACACTTCAAAAAGGTTAATAAGTTCACCAACACCAACTTATACAGTATATACCCTTTTCTCAATAAAAACTAAAAACACCAACTTATATATTTTTACCAATAAAAAAACACTAACTTATAATGATAAGTATTAAATTATTAATATTAAAGGAAAATAGGGCATCGCATTCGCGAACGTAGTAGTCGAGAGCGACTATTATATATGGAGAGAAGAAAATACACATCGTTTTAATCTACACATTGGATTTTTTATTAATCTAGACTCGTTCAGACACGTCGTCACGAGTAGCCTTGTTTCCAAGACTGTATTTACATAATTTAAAATAGAAAAGATATAGAATATTTCCTTTTTCCTTTTTTTTAAAGAATGGCGAAAGAATGTCGACATAAAATGTACGGGCCTATGTAGCACACAAGTTGACTCCTCTCCCAGCCGAGAAAAATAATTATAACCTAGCTTAAAGATGTTAAGTCAATCTCTAATTATGTCGATATTATGAGCCATTTTTTCAACGTCACATGCATATTTCTTTTCATTTGATTCCTATTGTTTCAATACATTAGAGTAACTGTCTTGACGCAGTTATATATACACGGATACACATCATCTTTCTGGATACAGATTATCCTATCATTTTTCCGTTTACTATATTTCAATTTTTGTTATTTAACTATATGATTATTTACTCAAGAATTAAATTTTTAAGTATAACTGATATATCAACTATCATTTTTTCATACTTTTTTTTACATATTTTATTATATTATAATTTCTATTTATTCCAAACATATCATTTTCTACACATTTCGACACATATCAACTTTTTATATAATTTACAGTTAATATTTTATATACCTTATTTGTCTCAATAATATTTGTAGAACATATTTAAAAGGCTATTTTCATATTTAATATTTTTTTCAAGATTACATAGCTTTAAATTGTATTGCCATTAATATTTTGAAATAGACAATGTTTATCCTAATATTGGCACATCTTTTTATCATTATATAAAAAGGGTTGTGATGAGCTTAAGTTTTCCCAAAAGATAGAGCAGAAATGTTTATCCAAACATTTTTGTTAAATGGCACATTTTCTCCATCTTTTATCATTATATAAAAGGATTGTGAAGAGTTAAGTTTTTCCAAAAGATAAGAGCAAAAATGTTTGTGTATATGATTTCATCGGGCATTTCTTATTGTCACACAAAACGTTGAAACTTTTATAAATTTTTTTATCCTCTTAGCACATTTATAAATTTCCAAACAACACCTACGTATGGTAGTCTAAAGGATGAATCCACTTTGTAGCACTTTCGTGTGTTTTTATCAGGGCTAACCGGAAGTCGATAGAGTCTATAAAAAAAAAAATGTTTGTACTCTTCTGAACCCTTTTCTCAAAATAAAATAAAAGTGTACTCTTAGGTTCTTATAGTAGTTTTATAATTAAAATCGTTGGGGAATATAAGTACGATATATAGTGATTTATACACATCGGACTCTGATTTGCATTTCGATTCAAAATACTTGAGTTCTAAATTAACCTTGATCCCTTTTAGATACACCTGCTGATTTGAGATAGTTACTTTTTATTTATTTTAACTGTCGAACCACTGACTGGCTAACTTGTGCTTACCCAGGTTACTACTAAGTACCAATTAACTTATTTTTATTTCCAACAACAAGTTTTAATATAGAAAATCTACTAAACATAAAAACACCAAAACTCAAACCGTAAAAGCTCATGGAAATTCGGATTTCTCAAATAGTTAAGATTTGGCAAACTATGTAACTTATATTGATTGGTAAACAAATAAAAGAACAGAGTTCAGCAAATTCGTATATCAATTTTTTTTATTCTCAATAAATAAAACGAGTGGAGTTGGGAACTTTGGAAGAAGAAGACGGCGATCGTTTAATTCATGGCCTACACGAATCATTGACTTTTCCTGTTTCAGACGATTGCATTGTAGCTTCGTAACACTTTGCCCGTGATTAAAAGGAACAAAATAATACACAAAATACCAAAGAGTATCGAAAGAGAAAACATGCGTTATACAAAAATCGACAAAGATGAGACAACTCACCAAAGACAAGCACGCACGTTCGATTTTTCAACACACACACACATCACAAACACTCTCTCTCTTCTAAACATTGATATTACAAATTAAGCAGATGCATTTTACTAGGAGAGAGAAGAGAGAGTGAGAGGCTATGGAAGTTTAGTAGAAGTGTTCATGAGAGTAAACTAACCTTCAGTTTTCTGCAACCCAATTTTGTTCTTCTCTTTCGCATCCGTCTTAACGTTATTCTCCTTCTCTTTCTCTTTCTCTTCTTCTTCTGCTTCTACTTCTTCCTCCTCGTCATAGTATTTTTCATCTTCACTCTCGTCACCGCCCATGTCATGGTCGAAGTATTCTTCATAGAACTGATCGTCTGTGTCATCATCCTCACCGTTCTCCAGCCTCTCTCTGGATATTTGTTTGATTAACCTCTCTTGGATACTGTCTCTGATTGCAGTTCCCTATTAACATTTTTACGCACTTGTCATCTTTAATCAATGATTATGATCATACAGAAACATCAGTATGTTGTGTTAGTACATAGTATCTTCACCCATTTTACTTACCATCTTATGGCAACCTTCTTCAAATATTTCGAGAAATCCAGCTACCCATCGGTCTGCATTCTCTACCCACTCGTTGCGCAGCATTTTTACAGTTTGGATCTGGAAAACAACAGAGTAAGAACTTCTGTGAGGTATGAGCTTGTTCAATTAAGATGGATATCGTACATGAACAATAGTCGTCAGAGATCATATATCTAGCAAAAGCATGAGACTACATGCACGTTTCAAGCGTAGCTGATATATGTGACCAAGGTGCTACTACATGCAAGAGAGACGAATGCTCTCTGCCTAGAGGCTACTTACCAAACATACTATTAAATTCTAGAAGAAGTGGACGAGTTTCAAGTTATGCGAAGTTGGACCGCAAACGTGACACAGTACAAGAGGTTTATAAACAGTCGCTGAACAGAGAGAGGGTACAAGACGTGAATAGGCAGAGACATGGCCTAAAATTTCGTCTATTCTCCTTGTAACTTATGATGATCAACTTAATTAGTTTTCAAAACAATGCCTTGTAAGTTAAGATGAATAGCTTATTTACTACAGTCGAAACGAGGGACTTATGATGATCAATAAAGCAAATGGAAGTTGAGAGAAGACATACCTTTTTTCCCACACTTTCTTGTTGTTCTTTGACCCTCTCCTGGAGTTTCTTTAGCCTCATGTTAACTCTAAGTCTCTTCTCCTGTTGCATATGTACATACCCAAAGTTAATTCCTCCAAGTGAAAAAAAATTTCAAAACAACAAAAATGAAGAGGTAAAAAAAGTGATGACATGCCTTGACAAAGCTGACTCCAAGATCTTCCCTTGAATATCCTCTATCCAGGTTACGCATGACATACTGATTGTAATCTTTCACTATCCTCATTATAATGTCCGAGGTCGATATTCCTTCAGTCCGCATCGTTTCCTTAAACCTCCCAACTTTCTTAACCTGCATCAAATGCCTCAGTTAAACCACAAATACAAACGTGTCAAAAGCAAAGAAGTATGATGAAAATTCTCCCAGACTCACAAATTCATAGACATCCTTTCCAGCTCCGCTAGTATCAGCATACCTGTGGATAATATCAATCCAAACAAGGTTAATCTGGTAAGAGGTAAAACCAATAATACTCAAATTTCCACCATTTTACAAAACTGAAGGGAATTTATGTTCTTACGGAAGGGAATCATGAGCTACATAGTCAATCCGGTGATCGTCAAGAAACTCTTGGTTTATCACCCATGGTGCATCAGGAATGACTTCATCCACCCACCTGTATGATAACAATATTAGAGTATCCTTAAATTCCTCTTAGTTGTCACTTCCATGGCTGATACTACCACATAATCACAGCAAAGGAGAAGACAATTACTTGCAATGCCGAAGTGACTCATATCGCTCTTCCGCAGTCATAACAGTCCTTCCCTTATACTTATGAGTAGTTTCATCGTTGCAACATCCAACAAGAAGGTAAGTGTTTGGAAACCTGCTCAATAGATAAAAGAAATGGCAACACCATAGCTTAACACTAAGAACACGAAACCATTAAGACTATTTCTCTCCTCAAAACAAAAAAAAATTAAAATTTGAAGCATTCGTCAAGAACAAAGTCCAGAAACATCAGCAATTGCAAAATTCCAAACTAAGCATTTATAACAGGACCCACTAAAATCAAACGCCACAAACGCCTTTGCGTATCAAAATTTTTTGCACGAAGTATCATCAATCAACACAGAGAAACTATCTAAACAGGAAGATTTCTCTCGATGGAAACGAAAACTGCACAGCGTACAAGGAACTCGACGCAATAGATCACAGACAAATAACACTGATACAGCGGAAAAATCGAATCAGAAGTGGGAAATTAGGCGAAAGTATGACCCAGAGATGAGAAATACTAACGATTTCTTGGCCTGTTCGAGAGATCGAGCGTGACCGAAGTGGAAAAGATCGTAGATCCCATCGGCGTAGACGCGGACGGGTCGATCAGTAGGAGGCGAACTCTGGACGGCTGTAGAGCCGGGGACAGTGACGGCGGTGGAAAGGCCGTCGTCAGCGCGATCGCCGGAAACGTTGCTCATATTCTCCGATTGACGAGCCGAAATCACCCGCCTTATAATATGAACGGAAAACTACAAAAGTGCTATAGTCGCTTCCCTCTTCTCATACCATTGTTTTCCCGAAGAATATCTATCATCACGAAAAATGATTATTAATAATTGTATTTTATATATATTTTTCTGTATTTTTTGCATTTTAATTTTATTTTTTGACTGAACTAGTATCTTATATATGGGGAAATGTGATCTGAGAAAAATATGTAAAACCATAAATAAATTTGATATTTTTGTTACACTTTCTCCATTTACACTCTCTTCTTATTCGTTTTAGAAAAAAATGAATGTTTTCTGATTTTTAATTAAAATTTTATATCATTCACTAAAATTTTATTATTGTTATACCTCTGAAAATGTTTTTGTTATGTACTTTCAAGTTTTAAGATTTTCAGTTGACTTCTTTCTCTCTTTAATTATGTTTGTTTTCAGATTAACGAATCAGTCGATTGTGTATAATTTACTCTCTTGGGTCGTGGCACGCACAAGTGGAGTCAGTGACCAAGTCCAAGGTTGTCTAGGTGGCCCTCAAGGTCAACGAAGGACTTGTATATAACTCTGAATGGTACCCACAAGTACAAGTCTACCAGAAAGATAATAAGAAAATTGAGAATACTTTAACTCATATATACCCCATATAATAACACTCCAATCAGGGTTTACTCTTTTTCTATACAATAAGCATTCCAGTTATTTTGAAGATATGAAAAAAAAAAAGCAACTCTTGAAGCTTGTTCTGTTAGTGGGACAAACGGTGATCATTCGGATGGCTCGGATCAGATACCTGAAACTGTGAGGACTCCATTGTCCGTGCCCCAAACAAATACCACAAAACATGTAAGCACTTAAGCAACCTTAAGACTGAGGAGGGCTGATCACATTTTACTACTGTAAACCAAGGAGTTACCGCAATTTCAATTCAATCTCGAATCAACTCAAATAAAAAACAGAGAAGGATAACATTTGAGGAAATTGGGTTTGTTTGTTATTCTTTTGTGACGTTAAGAGTGTTTTTCTCTACGTACCATGTCGTGCAGAGTTTCTTGTGTGTCATAGCAACCACGGATCGCGCTTCCCCTGAAACCCGTCTGTTCCTGAAACTAGACAATCCAAAAAAGATTTAAGATCCTTCTTTCTCACAACAGTTTCACTCAGGAAAAAGAGAGAACATACTAAAATAGCATGAAACATCAACTCACAGCTCCTTGGATGCTTTGTTGTGTCTCATACTGACTCATCCGTCCATGAATTGAATGCAAGTTACCCTAAACCACACATAACATGAATATCAGTCTCATCTTTCATTCTTAACTACCAAAAAACTAGGCAAACTCAAGCGATTGGATATTGGTTAGGGGTTTAGACTTATAGATTCACACGTAAGGTTATAAGAAAAGCGTGGATACTAAAAGAGAGATAGATAAAAAAAAGTATTTCACCATTGCTTGTATGGTTGGTGGATGTCCGTAGTAACCATCCTGGACGGAAGAAACCGATGAGAACTGGCAGAAAAAAACAAAAGAAATTCAATCTAACACACAAGACAAAAATTGTTAAACAAAGAAAACGAAAGAGTTACAAAGTGCAGTTTAACCCACTCCTTGAATAGTCTGTTGAGTCGAATAATAGATCCCAAGAGTTGCTGCACGAGAGCCTAATTCGGTTGCTTCCATATCTGCTTGAGGAATGTAACAGTTCTCATAGGTAGGAGCTCCAGAGCTAACTTGTTCCTGCACAAGATAACCAATATTTAGTTCAGTAAGTAAATGCTGAGAAAAGCAAATCTTAATTGCATCAAGGAACATGGAATAAACTAACTGAATTTTGATTTAAATAGTCTGCCATGAGTGAAAGTGGTAAGAATATGGGAGATTTCAGATGTAACGAAATGAGACAAATCAGATTACTTACGGTTTCTTGACGGCGTTCTTCTGACCTGTTTGTTGCATCCTCTTGCCTACCGTATGCCTTTTAGCACAAAAACAAGATCCATCAGATATTTCTGCAAACTACAAATAATCTCATAAGATTGAAGATCAATCTAAAAGCCACCTTTCTTTTCTTCTGAATTTTCTTCTTCTTGAACAGTTTTGATGCGTGGTCCAACATACCATCATTTTCTAAGCCAATAGATCCACTTTTCATCAACTTGTCTGGCTCTGAAGGAAACTTGGGAGAACTATTCAAACTAACACAGTTCTTCAAGGTTTCCTCCATCAACTTTAAAGCGGTCTTGTAGGTTTCATCTGATAAAGATGAAACTTCTCCAAGCTTGACAAAGCGCCTACAGAGATCATCAAAACGTGCCATCCGGTTATGTACAGAGGCACATTTTTCTTGTTTTTCTTCTCTGTCGTTACCGTTCTTTGACCAGCGCTTCAATATATACTGAGATGGAATGCATGAAACATCAGAGTTTTGAAGTACGAGTATTGCATGTTTGCAGAGGAATCCCTGGTACTCGAATAAATGACAAGAGCAACACATATCCAACAACTCTTTGTTCAGAGCCACGAAGAAATTTTGGCGTTTCTCGAAATCTTCAACGCAGAATATTGCTGTCGTCCCATCTTCTCTTTCTTTTTGAAGTTGACAAGAAACAACTCCCAGTACTTCAGCTTGGAACTTCTTAAACGCAGCGTCTGTGTAGATCAAGGAAAGTTGTTTCTCGAAAGACAAAGAAGACCTCAAAGTAGGCTGTTTGCTCTGAGATTCAAGATCATCTTTTGCTTCCAAATCACATCGATACTGCAGAAACTTCAAGTAAAGTTCAAAGAAGTCCTTGAACGTAGCCTCTGAGTTCATATACTTGTCGAACTGAGAGACGATACTTCCAGATCTTTCAGCTCCAGACATTCCAGCTAAACTAATTCCGTGAAAATAATGTGGCACCCACTTTTTCCGATCACTAAACAACGAGTGAACCCACTCATCCTCGTTAAGTTCAAATTTACTAACCATCTCTGACCACCTACTTTCAAACTGTTCATCTGTCCAAGAGCTAATCACGCAGTTTCTGAAACTTTCCATAAAACCATCATCTTGACTCACAAAAGGATTCACCATCTCAGGAACTTTACTCATCACATTCCACAAACAGAAACAATGACGAGCACTTGGAAAGACTTCAGCAACAACATCACTTAAAAGCTTACCCTCATCTGTTATCACCACTCCAGGAGCTTGACCACCGACTGCTCTAAGCCACGTCCGAAACAGCCACGAATAAGTTGACTCACTCTCTTCTCCAATCAACGCACATCCAAGCAACACGTACTGACAATGACGATTCACCCCAACAAAAGGAACAAAAGGGATTCTGTACCTGTTCTTAACATAAAACGTGTCGAAGAGAACAACATCAGAAAAACTTCCATAGTCATGCTTGGCCTTCGCATCAAGCCAAAACACATTTCTAACACGTTTCTCACAATCCAAATCCACCGCGTAGAAAAAACCAGGCTGCTTCTCTTGCATTTCCATAAAATGCTCGAGCATTAGCTTCACGTCTTCCTCCTCTAAAGCCAATCCAAGACCTTTCTTTTGACGTGGCATCGAACCAGCAGGAGCCTTGTTCTTCCCCCTTATGCTAACATAAAAATCATCTGCACAGATCTCATGGTTATGTTCTTTAACGAAACTGTATATAACCCACTTCTCGTCTTCTTTCCTCTTCATATGCAAGCCAGCTTTGCAATCCGTTTTCGTACATGACCTCGGGTTTAGAGCTGCGCTTGACGACTCGCGCTTGGTTCCAAATCTTGAACAGGCTATCTTGACATCGATGAACTTTCCTGATCTTTTCGAGCGACGGCTAGCTTTTATAGTGATGCCAAATCCAACTGCTCGAGCGTATTCTCTGTAGAAAAAGTAAGCAGCCTCCTTCGTTTCAAATTCCATCCCGTTTTTGGGCTCGCCAAATGTTGTGAACTGATCCAAAGTGCGAGCATCGTTGCCACTCGTACTTGCCTCACAAAACTCATCTGCATTGCCACTTCTTGTTAAGAGATCAATTGCGACGTCTTCAACATCCATGTCATCCAAACTTTTCAAGACCATCAACGTCTACATTTGATTCATTTTCTTCAAGCTCTATTCGTGTGAAGGAAGTTCAAGATCTTTCTCCATAAACATTTTCTTGATTAACTCTGAAAATGCAGTGACATATAAGTTACATAAAGATAACAAATCCGGAAACACACCATTTTCTATCGAACACTACAACACAGTTACAACTTAACATACAAGCTCTAATTACATTAACCGGAAAAAGTTTGAATATACTAATTTCCAAATTTCCATCATTTTGAGCATTGCTAATTTCAGATATCCAGCAATTGAATAGACCGAGAAAGCACAATACAAAACGCTTTAAAATCGGGGGAGGATTGACTTCAACTTCCTAGTTCGATCTCGAAGAAAGCGTGCAAAGTGCAAAAATTTAAGGAAGACAAACAGAAACCCAGAATGAAAAGTTTGAAATCAAACCTCTCGAGTTCAAAATTTTCTCCGCTGGCTTTGTCTTCTATAGTTCCCTGATTTAGCTCTCATGGCACAGAGGTGTAGAAGAAGAGCAGCATCGGTTAGCGAGAAATTAAAAAATCTGAGAAACTGGACTCAAATGTCAGGAACTGAATTGCTGAATTTGCTTGTCGCGCTTGCAACTATACTTGCAGCAGCGAAAGAGGCCGAGCATTGAACGAGACGCTGCCGGTAAAATTAAAAAACCGAGCACCGGCGAGAATTTAGGATTTTTTTTTGTTTCTGAATGTTTGGGTTAATTGTTTTGAGTTAATAACAAACTGACCCTTTTACTTTTCAATTTATTTCTGAAAAGTTCCACGTTTAAAATAAATAAATAGGACACCCACTTTGGAAGATGAGGTTGATTTGGCTCATTCTCTCAGATATAATAATTAAAAAATAAGATTTATATAGGAATTTTATATAGCATGTTGTTAAGCTAATCCAATTTTTTTGACTAAGATTGTTATTGGGACTTCTAGTATACTAAATGTTTTTGTTTCAATTTCTCTCTTGTGACTTTTCAGTTTTGTTTATTAAAGGTACGATGAAACTTTAACGTCCCGAAGGGCATTGGCTACATTTCTTTGAACTTTGACTGACCTAATGAAAATGTCTCGATAGCCGCCACTTTGGTTGAGTTGACCACCTTTGAATTTTAATTACGTTCAAATATTTGGGTGCAAACACAATTACGTTCAAACATACTAATAAAGGGGTTATAGTTTACAAGATTTATTTCATATAGTAACTTGTGTCTTTGACGAAAACTTAGTTCTTTATGTTTATGGATCTTTGCACTTTTATTAAAACCGATCGTTGTGCCGACTTTATTTTGTTAATTGAACAACAATTCACAATCTGTTAGATTATTTATTTCCCTTATTAAAATCATAAACTCTTGACGTCTTTGTAATTAATATATACTGTATCGGTTACGTTAGACGACGGATTTAACACTTCCAATAAATAGTTTATGTACATGTACTTCAGAAACCAAAATTCCAATCGGGACCTCAAGAAAATATAATCAATGCAAGTGAATATGACTTCTACATTTCGCATCAACCGGTTATGAAAATGCATGGATCTACTTGCTGCTATCAATCACAATGAAATTTATGTTTTATTTATCGTACGTACTCAATCGGTTGATCCAAACCATTCTTTTTACTGAATTGTGATAGTACTAATTTTGTATTGTGTTTGTAGCCATGTTGAAAACTATAGTGACGATTCATTTTCCTTGGGAATGAAATTAAAAAAAAAAAACTAAAATCAACGTGATGTGGTTTGAAACCATAAGAAGGAATTTAAAAGTGAAACCGTCTCTATTAGGGGAAAACGAATGGAAATATAAAAGCAGAGGGGTCAAATCTAAAAGAAAGAAATAATAAAATTCATGGTGAGGACGGTTTGGTCGGTCGGTGGCTCATTGGTGGTGTGGGCCTTCTTCCTCTCCTTTTTCGACCAGCCAGCCCATTCAGCCACCTCCTCTCTTTTTGTTTCCCTTCCCTTCTTGCCAAATTACATTTCTCACCTTTCTTTTATTCTTAATTTGTTTCCGTAGTACAGAGATTATGAAACATAAAATGTATTAAATTTTCCAATATGTGTAAGATCTATGATGATTTTACCGAGTTAAAATATGAATTTCTTAAAAAGGTTATGCATTAATAAAAAAAATCTATAATAGTCCATGATTTAGTTTACATTTTAGGCACAAAATCACAATGTAAACATGTTATCGATCTCTAAAATTACTACTTTTTGTTGTTGTTATTGATCTCTTTCTATTTCAATGGTAACTTTTATTACATTTCTAGATTTTTGGTCACTAAATAAATGAAAGCTAATAAATCGGTGACCAAAAATAGTAATGAAATCCATGATAATGACAGAAATCAAGGGGTAGAATGGGAAATAAAGCAAAATTGACGGTCTTCTTCTCAATTCTCATCGTCCGCCAGATTTGGCTTTCAAAAAAACATATGAATCGACCCCACTACTGTCCACTTTATAAAACCCTAAAAGATTCTCTCCTCTCTCTATCACACACCCAATTTGCATTTCTTCGTCATCATCTTCTCCTTTCTCTCTCTCTCTGCATTTCCTTCCCGTCAATTTTCCCAGCTACGAGAAAACTCTCAGTATTTAAGGAAATCCAAAGGAAGAAAAAACAGAGTTTCATCTCAGATTTCAGCAGCTTCACTTGGTAAGCTCTTTCACTTCCTCCTCTTGCAGTTTTCATGGGTTGTTTCTAATAGTTGATCCTCTTGATTCTATAACGTTGTTATACTTGATGATCTTCATTTCCTGGATTTCTTGTCGACCTGAAACGATTCAGATTCTTAATTTATTTTTTTGATTGGGTTTTTTAGAAAGTTACTGATCTTCTCATTTGTTTGATTTTGAAATTGATTGATCCAAATCGCGTGTCTCTCTGTTTAGATCTCTTAAAATCGAACTCGCTTGCTTAAATATCTTCTCATACTGCAGAATCGGTACTAGTAGTGTTCAATCTCAGGATCTCTTTAGTTGTGGACGGATTAAGAACGTTTTTTAACCTTTGTGGTTCTATAAAACACTAAACTTTGTCTTTGATTGTGGTATAACTAAGGTGAACAAATCTTTGATTGTGATTACGAATATGAATTTCTTATAGTGGTAGGTTCTGGGGAAAAAGTATTTTACTGATCAGTAATCGTCAATTTTTTTTTTTTAATTACCAGATCATACTGTTAAATGTATTTTATATACTGTGATTAGAAACATGCCTCTTTTTGGTGTCGGAAGGTGACTTGCAACTTTTACAAATACGTCTCTATCTAAATAGGTAACGATTAGACTAATTAAGTTGACAAATCAAGAAAAATTTATCTAAAGATTAGGCGAAATTCCTCTTTGATCGAATATTCTTGGGTGTAGTACAATAAATATTGAAAATGAAATTTGGTTGGATCTTGGAACAAGCGAAAAAGATGTTTGTGATCCATTAGGAACCATTTTTTTTATATGGTCCTCTTCCCCTTAAGATTAATAATTTTCTTTGGTTCTTTGAATGATCTACTCCTTTTTTTTTTAAGAAAGAATAATCTAAAATTACAAAAGATTATAAAATACAAATGATTTCTTTGTTTTCTTGTATAAAAAAAAGGGGCCATCAGTCACGCTGCATCTGGTCGGCGTACCATATGATTCCCTTCATTTATTTATGTAATAACAATAATTTTAGCTATTTCGTTTCTTAAAATTTGCTTTGTAATAATTTTCTTGGATATATCTGTTTTTTTTTCGTGTCTAACACATCAGACCATTTATCTATTCAAAAAGAAAGAAAACGTTGATGTTGCTGGCTTGGTGGGCACTTTACACCTTACTTATCTTTAATTTGTTTGGTAGGACACTATTAATATAATAAGCACACCTTATTCATTTGTATCATTGTGGAGATTGTTCGGTGCTTAAAAGTAGATCCAAACTCTTATAGCATCACATGCCATGGCCCATAGTACCTATTGATCTTTGTCTTCTCCTGGTTGTTTTGGATTCTTTAGCTTTATGATCTGAAAATATATGACATTTCTTGTTAGATAATAAAACTATACGAAATTAGTAATCTACTATTGAAATGGTATTTCAAATAGTTTCTGTTACAAGAGATGATGTATTCCTGTTGACTGTCACAATAAATATCTTATCTTGTTTGCTTTCTATCTAAATTCTGGCAATTGTCTTTCTCTTTCTTGCAAGCTACTGTTTTTGTATTTGTTTTTCTTTCTAATATTTTGTTTTAACAAGTTACTAATATGATCATATAAGGAGAAATATATCATACCTTCGAAGTTCTTCTCACAAGAAACCTTTTCTCTATTCTGCAGATCTAAAAGTAACCAGAACTGCTCAATCAAAGTATGGAGGAAACAACTCAGGCAGCGAATTCCGAAGTCCCTGTAGTGAAAGGTGATGCTGATGATCTTAAGACAGTTGATGTTTCTATCAAGGTAATGATCATTTAGAATTAAGTTTCGTTAAATGATCTGTTTGCTCATTTTCTTTCTATGAATTGAGTCTTGCATAAGATTTTACTTGCTTTGACGTATTTAATCTGCCGTCTGTCTGATGTTAAGTATTGTCTTGATCTATTGCAGGCAGTGAACGGAGAAGTGCCAAAGGAGGAGAAAGAAGAGGAAGATGGAGAATTCATAAAAGTTGAGAAGGAAGCAGAGCTTGCTCCTGTTGAAGAGCAAAAGGAAGCTACAATCGAAAGAAGCTCGAGTGGTTCGCAAAGAGAACTACATGAATCACAAGAAAAGGCGAAGGAACTAGAGCTCGAATTGGAAAGAGTGGCAGGAGAACTAAAACGTTATGAGTCTGAGAATACTCACTTGAAGGACGAGCTTTTATCTGCGAAAGAGAAGCTAGAAGAAACCGAGAAGAAGCATGGAGAGCTCGAAGTTGTCCACAAGAAGCAGCAGGAGACGATTTCTGAAGGGGAAAAGAGACACAGCTCTCAGTTGAAATCCTTGGAAGATGCTATGCAGTCTCATGATGCTAAAGATAAGGAACTAACTGAAGTCAAGGAAGCTTTTGATGCATTGGGAATAGAACTCGAGAGCTCGCGAAAGAAGCTGGTAGAGTTGGAGGAAGGGCTAAACCGTACAGCAGAAGAGGCTCAGAAATTTGAAGAGCTGCATAAGCAAAGCGCTTCTCATGCTGACTCCGAGACGCAGAAGGCTTTGGAATTTGCACAGTTGCTTGAATCAACGAAGGACAGTGCCAAGGAAATGGAGGAAAAAATGGCGTCCCTGCAACAAGAAATCAAGGAGCTGAATGATAAGGTCACTGAGAACGAAAAAGTTGAAGCGGCCTTGAAGAGTAGTGCGGGAGAATTAGCTGCAGTGCAAGAGGAACTGGCACTCTCAAAATCTCGTTTGTTGGAGACGGAACAAAAAATGTCTTCCACAGAAGCTCTCATTGATGAACTGACTCAGGAACTTGAGCAGAAGAAAGTTTCTGAATCTCGGTTCAAGGAAGAGTTGTCGGTTCTCGATGATCTTCAGGCTAAACTTTCTGAACAAGAAGGTGTTTACTCAAAGCTAGTGGAAGAGCTCAAAGAGAAGGAACTGCTGGAATCCTTATCGAAAGACCAAGAAGAGAAGCTGAGAATTGCAAATGAGAAGTTGGCTGAAGTGTTGAAAGAAAAAGAAGGGCTTGAAGCTGATGTAGCAGAGGTCACAACTAATGCAGCGAAAGCAAAAGAAACCTGCAGTGAACTAGAAGAGAAACTGAAGACTTCAGATGAGAATTTCTCCAAGACAGATGCTCTTCTGTCTCAAGCTTTGTCAAACAGCTCTGAACTTGAGCAGAAACTGAAATCCCTGGAGGAGCTTCACAGTGAAACTGGATCTGCAGCAGCAGCTGCTACTCAGAAGAATCTTGAGCTCGAGGATGTTGTTAGGTCCTCTAGTCAAGCAACAGAAGAAGCAAAATCACAGGTGAAAGAGCTGGAGACACAGCTCACTGCAGCTGAACAAAAGAACTTGGAGTTTGAGCAGCAACTGAGCTCATTGCAACTGAAAAGCAGTGACGCTGACCGGGAGCTGAAAGAACTCTCTGAAAAAGTATCTGAACTAAAATCTGCTGTTGAAGTTGCCGAGGAAGAGAAGAAACAGGCAATCACTCAAATGCAGCAATACCAAGAAAAAGCATCCGAACTGGAATCGTCTCTGAGCCAATCATCGGCCAGAACTTCAGAGCTTGAAGAAGATTTGAGAATCGCTTTGCAGAAGGGTGCAGAGCATGAAGACCGTGCTAATACGACTCACCAGCGCAGCATTGAACTAGAAGGTCTGTGTCAAACATCACAGTCAAAACATGAAGACGCAGAAGGAAAATTGAAAGACTTAGAGCTTCTACTCCAGACAGAGAAAGACAGAATTCAGGAGCTTGAGGAGCAGATTAGCTCGCTAGAGAAGAAGTGTGGGGAAACTGAAGCAGATTCCAAAGGCTACTTGGGTCAAGTGGCTGAGCTCCAATCCACACTAGAGGCATTCCAAGTGAAAAGTTCTAGCCTTGAAGCAGCTTTAAACACTGCAACTGAGAACGAGAGAGAACTGACAGAAAATCTAAACGCTGTGAAGGGTGAGAAAGAGAAATTGGAAGATACAGTGAAAGAGTACAATGTGAAGATCAGTGAGTCTGAGAATCTACTGGAAGGTCTCAGGAATGAATTGGATGCCACACAAGGAAAACTGAAGAGTATTGAGAATGATCTGGAAGCAGCTGGGTTAAGGGAAAGCGAAGTAATGGAGAAACTGAAATCTGCTGAAGAGAGTCTTGAGTTGAAAGGAAGAGAAGTAGATGAAGCTACGACGAAGCACATGGAGCTTGAAGCTTTGCATCACTCTTTTAGCAAAGACTCGGAGCTTAGAATTCAAAAGGTAACGGAGGATTTCACTAGCAGAGATTCAGAGGCAAGTTCTTTGACGGAGAAATTGAAGGAGCTCGAGGACAGAATAAAATCATATGAAGAGCAGTTGGCTGAAGCATCTGTCAAATCTTCTTCTTTAAAAGAAGAACTTGATCAGACTTTGGGAAAACTCGCTGCTGCAGAAACCGTTAATGATAAACTCAAGCAAGAGTTTGATCAGGCACAAGAAAAAACCTTGCAGTCATCAGAAGAGAGTGAACTACTAGCAGAGACGAACAACCAGCTCAAGATCAAGATTCAAGAGCTTGAAGGGTTACTAGGTTCTAGTTCTGTCGAGAAGGAAACTGCAATGAAACAGGTGGAAGAGGCAATTGAAAAGTTTAACCAGAAAGAAACAGAACACAAGGACTTAGTTGAAAAGCTAAAGACACATGAAAGCCAAATCGAAGAACATAAAAGGCAGGCTCATGAAGCATCTGGTGTTGCAGATACTAAAAAGGTTGAGCTTGAAGAGGCTTTATCAAAACTGAAGAATCTTGAATCTGCTATTGAAGAGCTCGGGGCCAAATGCGAAGGGCTTGAGAAAGAAAGCGGGGATTTGGCAGAGGTGAATTTGAAGCTGAACCAGGAACTAGCCAATCATGGATCAGAGGCCAACGACTTGCAGACAAAGTTCTCTGTCCTGGAGGCTGAGAAGGAGGAAATAGAGAAAGAGCTTCAGGCTTCAAAGGCAGCCATAGAAGATCTAACAAAGCAGCTTACCTCTGAAGGAGAGAAATTACAGTCACAGGTAAGACACTGAATCTAAATACGTTTTAGTTACCATCTACTATGCCACAGTTTTGTTGTCTACTACAATATCTCGGAAAATGAGACCACTTTATGCTGCTGCAGATTTCTTCACTCGCCGAGGAAAACAACCAAGTCAATGCGATATTTCAGAGTACCAAGGATGAGCTCCAGTCAGTTATTGCAAAGCTTGAAGAACAAATAACCGTAGAGAGGTCTAAAGCTGATACTCTGGTGTCGGAGATTGAGAAACTCAAGGAGGTGGCTGCTGAAAAGTCCGTTTTGGAATCACATTCCGAAGAACTTGAAAAGAATCTGACACAAGTAAAAGCTCAGTTAAAAGAAGAGGTAATGGACTTATCTCAAACAAAGGAAAATACAAATCCTATGGTAGGATCTATATATAAGAGTACTGCTTTACTGACTCATGTTTCTGCAGGTTGAAAAGGCAGCAGCAGAGTCTTTAAAAGTTTCAGAACTGACCTCGAAACTGAAGGAACACGAAGGGATCGCTGGTGACCGAGACATCCTCAATGAGAAGGTGCTTCAGCTTCAGAAAGAGCTTGAAGCAGCTCAGAGTTCCATTGCTGAACAGGTTAATGATCTTTTTCTTTTGTTTGACTTCTACATATCTCACGCTTTGGGATTTTCTGAGAAATCTTGATTTTGATATAAAAAAGACAATCCATCTTCCCTCATTATGTCACTTATCTCTGAAAAACTTTTCCGTGGAAACAGAAAGAAGCACACTCCAAGAAGCATTCAGAGCTGGAGTCTGCACTAAAGCAATCACAAGAAGAGATTGAAGCTAAGAAAAAGGCGGTGAGTGAATTTGAATCAATGGTCAAAGAGCTTGAACAGAAAGTGCAGCTTGCGGATGCTAAAGCTAAGGTCAGTCATAACTCTGCTTGACTGATAATATATACATCAAACTGTGACATAAGATCCGTAAATCTCACATGAAACTGTGAATTCAGGGACAGAAACATTGCATTATAGTTATGTAGAAGTCAAACAAAAGTTGCTTATATCAAAGGATAGTTGCTTATATGATCAAAAACCAAACTTGCAGGAAACTGAGGCAATGGAGGTAGGTGTTAAATCTCGAGACATTGACTTGTCCTTTTCTTCTCCAACGAAACGTAAGAGCAAGAAGAAGTCAGAGGCATCTCCTTCTTCTCCTCCTGGCAACGTCGTTACTACTACTCAGACAGCCACAACGTCGCATCTCATGAAAATTCAAATCGTCTCTGGAGTGGCTCTGATTTCTGTTATCATCGGTATTATCCTTGGGAAAAAGTTCTAGTCTTCTCTTCTGGTGTGGTGTGATGTGAATGTGATGTTCATATGTGAAATCTCTCCTTTCTTTTGTTTTTTTTTGGGGTTTTGAATTTTGATCAAACTCTCTCATAAGCTCATGAGAGAGAGATATGATGCGTAGCAGAATGTATGAAGCTTCCCATAAATGTGTTTCTTCTCTCTGCAGATTGTTTTTTGGTTTTTGTTTTTTCTGGGTTTGGGGATTTTTTTCTACCAGCCCTTGCTTGTAGGTCAAGCAACGTTTTATTGTTCTAAATTATTAAATGAAGGTGTTATTTGGAAACCGGCTCCTAATAACCAACTCGTTTATATTTGATCCGGTTTAGTCCACCTATATATTCAGTGATCGTCACTTTCTTCAACAACCTCTCTTCGCTCTCTCGCATTAAACTTTTTACAGTGAGAAAAGAGAAGATGGCTCTAACGATGGCGGAGAATCTCGAAACCGTAATCGATAACGCCCAAGAAACGGAATACTCCTACGAGCCCGAGGAAGACGACATTGATCTCTCTCTCCTCCGTCTCAACAGCTTCGGAAGCTCCTCCGATCGCCGCCGCGCGAACTCGTCTCCTCCGCAGTTTCAATCGTACGGATCTTTCGGCTCTTCTTCGTCCACCGCCGCCACCAACAGTCCCGTGAAACGCCCCTCTCCGGAGTCGAAGGAAGCCGACGAGCCCAGGCGCAAGAAGCTGTTTCTCCCCCGACCTGAGGACGACGAGAAAATGTCGAATCTCATGGGATACTCGAAGGTTCCACTTCCTATGGTTTGCAATCCGACGCAAATCCGTTCGTCTCCTCTTTACAGGCGATCTCTCTCCGCTACATTTGCTTCGCCCGCCGGATCTGCATTCGGGTCGGGTTATAATACCGGAGGCGGCGCCGCTCAAGAAACAGCACCGTCGGGTAACAATTACGTCCCTTCTCTCCCGCCGCGTCCTCCGCTCTTCCGGAGGTCCGTCTCCGATCTTTCGCCGGCTCCTTTAAAGGCTCTTCACGGATCTTCTTCTCGCTCCGCTGCAAATCCCGATGCTGATTTTGAGATTCCAGAAAACTCTGAAGCCAATAAGGTTAGAAAATTCTACAGCCAATTTCCCAAATTTCTGATTCATCTTGTGGTTTTGTTATTCGATTGAGAATCTTTGCGATTTAGGGATTATCTGATACAAATTGTTGTTCTGTTCATCGATCAGATGCTGTATGTGATCAAAGACGGAGTTCGTGAATTGGATCAGTGGTGTAACAAGCTCTTGAAGTACGGTGAAGCAGTCTCTTCTGTGAAACAAGATGATAGTCCTAAGGTTCGATCTCTAAATCAAACAATCTCCTGGAAATTTTCAATGGAATCTATGTGATGTTGGTTCGTTTTGGGACGTTCTTGCTTTGGTTGGTGGTTGGTTGAATATGTCTTCCGTTTTGCACACTTTGTTCTCTTATGATCTTTGAATCGAATCTTGTTTCTGGGCACAATGCAGGCAGAGATGGAGTTACAAGAAGAGGAGGAGCAACAGAGAGAGTGTAAAGAAGGCGTGAAGGTGGACAGAATTGGTGAGGCATTTGTGGTTGAGATCAACTGTCCATGTGGAAGAAACTACCGAACTCTCTTCTCAGGCCGTGACTGCTACTACAAGCTCCTGTAGATATTGGTTTCGCATTTCACATTCTTTGAACAAGGATCTCTCTTGCTGCAGCAAATTCATAGCAAAGCTTCTGTAGATAAGGCATACGCACATTGTTTCGTGCTAGTAGATACCAGCTATACACATTGTTTCTTTCTCATGTACTCTTAATGATTCGTTTGCTTGTAAATACTCTTAAGACAGCTGTTTGGGGCCTCTTAGGCCATCCAAGTCAGCACTTTTTCCTTTTCTCCCACGCTGCCACGTCATTTCTAATATCTCGCTGAAAAACTATAGTAATTGTAAAGTAATTTACGTCTTCAGAATTCATTGCGTCTCTTCTCCTCCTCTTCTTCCTCATACGAAACGTTTTGCCTTACTATAAAGTTTAGATCCTCAGTTACGACTCGATCTCTTCAGTTTCAAGCTCCTCTCATCTCCATAGCTTCCTCATATGAATTGATTTCGTTTCAGTAGTCAAATTCAGTTCTAAATAGGATTTGCACTCTCAAAATCTATGACGAATCCGGCAACCCATTGGTAAGCTATCGTTTTCCTTCTTATACTCCTCTTCAATTGATTGGTTCCTGAGATCTGCGTTTTTTTTCCTCCCATGTAAACGCATCAGCCCAATTTGAGAAGGATCGAGTCGCAGGATGGTGAATATGACCTTACGTTGACCAAATCATCGGAAGTGGAGCTGAAGAAGAAGCTATTCCTCACCGCACAAGTGGACTGCATCAGCATTGATCATGAGGTGCTTTTACTTTGTTTCCAAATATTATTTGGATATGATAGTTTGGGGTTCTATTATGTGTATCATGAGCGGAAAGAACCCAAATCGTTTACTTCTTTCAGGGAGCGACTTCACCACTTACAGGCAAGCATTCTTATAAAGAGATTGCAACATTGAGGTGTTCCTCTCTTTTTCTTTTGAGGTATTATCAAATCTAACAAGTGTATGTTTCATACTTTCATGCATCAGAGGACAAAAATGGATCGGGTCTGCTTTGAGAGATCTGGAATACATGGGTGGGGTCTTTTGCGAGAAAAAATATTCAAGAAGGAGATATGGTACGACGACAGACTCATTTATGAATTTGGGTTTGGTCTATTTGGGATGAGAGTGAATGTTATTTGGGACGAGAGTGAATGTTGAGATGCTATTTTGTTTCAGGTTCTTGAATACTTAGGAGAACAAGTGAGAGATATCATTGCAGACTTGAGAGAAGCACGGTGTTGTGCAGAGAACGGAAGAATTGCTATGTGAGTTAAAAATTGTGTATCCCGTTTGATATCCACAATCTTCCTATCTCTCTGTCCCTCTTAACCAATGGTAGGATTTTGTGTTGCTTGCAGCTGTTCAAGATCAATGAGGAAGTAGTGGTTGATGCTCCAGAGAATGGGAATATAGGTCCGCTCATTAACCATTCGGTAAGTATTTGCCTTTTTTTCCAAAAAAGTTGTTTCCCTTTGTTGTGTTTTACTATACTACATTATCAATCTCCGTTTAGCAATAACATTTAAACTCTGCATCACTCTTACTCTCCACATCAATATGTTTCCTGTGTTTTCGACAGTTTAACTACAGTCGACAAATCATGACTATCTAAAGATTTGTGTTTACGTTTGGTCGATTTTACCACCGATTTAAGTAATTTATCTTTTTACTGCAGTTTCAAGCTATAGATCTTATCAATATTTGTAGAGGATGAAGGACATACCCATTAGCGAGTCTTTCACCACCAGGTACCACACATTCTATAGATCTTATGTACACCATATGGTCACTGATCCGAGAACATGTGAGTGACCGAGATGGGAGAAGAATCGAAAGGATTTTGATTCTTTAAGTGAAATAATTTGGTTCTTTCTTATGAAGTTGAAGAATCCCCTTCTTTTGCAAATTAGTTCTTTAAGCCTTTTGGTTGTAGAATGACTAATGATGACTAACATTAAGAACCAATGATAGAATTCTCAAGCTTCTTTCCCTTTTTAATGGACACGTTGCTCTTGAATCTCATATGTTCTTACATGTGTTTCATTAAAAAATGTTATGTAGGGAAGTGGACAGTACGAAATGTTAAGTGATCACATCATTAGATCTGTCGCTTGCAGCAGAGCTCAGACAAATTTTCTCATCGGTAATCTCTTATCTTCAACTTGCTTAACATATTTTTTCTTATCTCTGGTGATTTCCAATATTTTTTCTATCTTAGATGCTGTAATGCGATTTGGTTTATAACTAAGAAAAGCAGAACAATTTGTAACGTTTTAGAGTTGGGAAAAGAAATATGTCCACTGTTGAGTTGAGAAATGCAGAGAAATGCTATCTCAATGACTTGATGAGTAGGAGACATTTTGGTTGTAAGCTTCTACCTGCAAATTTTCAGAAGTATAGTAGCTTTGATGCAACTATAACATTTCCAGGCTTTGTTTAATTAAGCATGTTGCTGTGCAGTTAGGATTTCGCAAAGTATGTTTTTTTCGCAAAGTATACTTTGAATCAGAAGTATAGTAGCTTTGAGTCTCACCTTACATGAACTATTACACATGTGACAGAAACGAGGAAATAATATCTAGATTTTCTGTTAGGTTGCAAGTTTTTATTTGTTTGCCTCTCTCTTTCAGTTTTCCCACATGTCTTTATCTCATATAGTTCAATTAGTTAACAGATTCTTGAATCGTTTTTCTTTAATTATAATAATTTAGGAGCATCTTCAAGTTTCTAGATTAAAAGCGAACATGGACAATGTTCATCACTAAAACGTCAATTACCTGAATTTTAAGCATGATCTCCAACATGCCAAACTGTTTTCCTACTGTTGTTTCTGGTGCAATGCATTACATGGTTGTTTCCATTATACGTTTTCTTCAAGATGCTAGACTGTCATATGTTTCAACCTCTGCAGTGCATGAATCACCATCAACATGGCTTAAGATCTAAAAATCCTTAGATGGATACAGAAGTAATCAAGTAAACGCCTTTTTCTTCTTCTTACGAGTACTAAAGAAAGCTCAAGAGCATCTTTCTCTTGATCAGACGAGGTCAAGTCAACAATAGCATATAAATCTTGCATATGGTATAATTTCGTTTTCTGTTATGTTACACTCATGATTGTATTATGTACTTTGACTGCTATATATGGATTGAGATTTGAGAATAGAAAGACTTATATTTGCTCCGTGTTTGTTTTTCTTCTTTTCATAATTTTAAAGATGTGGCAAATGCTAAAAGCTTCAAGATCCCTCTAGGCTTTATATGAAGAATCTTGAGATTAGTCATTGTTCATTGGTATTGTCAAATTATAAGATTTTTCTGAACTACTCATGAAGATTATTCTTTCTACTAACTTGTATAATTACAAAACTGTGAATAAGCAAACATAATCTAAACAAAAGTTCCACATAAAAAAAACAAATACTATAAGACATTGAAGAAAATAAATCTTTAAACTTAATCAAAAGCCACAAAAAACGATCAAAAAATATAAACAAATTATCCCTTAACCTGCTGTAATCCCCCTATCTTATGAGGCAAAAAGAAGAAAAAGAGAGTTTGACAAAGGCGTAACTACATCATCCAAACGGACCAAACCTTTCCAATATACCAAATTATTTCATACAAACCTTTCCAGTATTGGTTTAAAGATTAATGACACACACCAAAAAAAATTTGCTATAGTTATTTTTATTGCTATAGTTATTAATAAAGAAAAGAACTAGCATGATTTTCACGAATTTGATGTTAATAGTTTTTTTTTTGTTTTTGTCATCTTTTGTAGGCCACAACGGGCCGGCCCACGGACCCATAATCCTCCCAATGAGGAAATTAACCCCACATAGGAGAATGTGGAATCGAACTCCAGACAAGATGGATACAGAGGTGACTACTATTGAGCCACTTGCTCCTCTTATTTGATGTTAATAGTTAGTAAATGTTATTTTGATCATCAATATAGTTTTAGGATGTTTTCTTCGCTAACTCTTATGCTACATTTTTTCAAACATATATCTTAATTTGTTAGAAAACACATTCTAAAAGTAATGTAAGCCAAATATTGTATTTGAAATATTAAATTCAGATTCACAGATTTATCCAACAAATATATTTATAAAAATAGTCCCACGCATAGCACGGGATAACCCCTAGTTCATTGAAATGGGAGTTTGATATCATTCATTGAAATGTTGAAATGCTAAACAATGTTGTAGAGACGGGATTGGACCGCTTAAACCGTGACCGGTTCCGGTCCCGGTCTGGGTTTTTATAGGCTCGCCGTTCATGGGCTTTACATGATGGTAAAGTAACTGTGTAGCTAAACGGCGTCGTTAGGAAGTAGCATCCAACAAAATCCATTCAGCTGAACATGTTGTTTGACCGGGGCCTATAAATAGAAAGCGTGTATACATTACTCCTAAATCAAAACGTACTCGTGCAAGTAATATCAAAAATCAAAATCCTTTAAGGGGATAATAATATATTAACAACCCTAAAGCGTAGTTAGTGTAGTTTCAAGGAGAAAAGATGTTGGCACGACTTTTGGTAATTGCCAGTGTGACCCGATTCCGGTTCCGGTCTGGTTTTTATAGCCCTAATGTAATTTTGTAGGCCGTTCAAGGGCTTTACATGATAGTAAAGCAACTGTGTAGCTAAACGGCGTCGTTTGGAAGTAGCATCCAACAAAAACCCTTCAGTGTGATGTGTGAACATGTTGTTTGACTGTGGCCTATATATATAAAGCGTGTATACATTAAATCCTAAATCAAAACGTACTCGTGCAAGTATATATCATAAATCAAAACCCTTTATCATATAAACAGCCCTAAAGCGTAGTTGGTGTAGTAGTTTCAAGGAGAAAAGATGTTGGCACGACTTTTGGTAATTGCCAGCACAGTTCATGTTGCGTCCGTGATATTGAAACGACTGTTGAAACAAAGAGCATCCCGACGATTTGTGAAGAAAAGATCAGTCAAAAGTTATTGGACAACGGGAGGTGAAGATAGGATCAGTATGTTGCCGGACGATTTGCTCGTGCGGATATTGACGTTTGTCCCACTAAAACGTGCTGTGACTACCATGGTTTTGTCCCAACGGTGGCGGTTTATATGGACGTTGCTGCCGCAACTCAGCTACAAAGATATCAAAGATGTTCCTCTTCCTCATAGAAGTTTCCTCCGCGGTTTACTTGATCGTTTATTTGGCAAAAGTGTTCAGCAACGTCGACGGTCTATTTGGCGGTTTCTTGACGAATCCTTACAAGTCCACAAGGCACATGTATTAGAAAAATTATTTATAGAACTTGGTCCACGATGTCCAATAGATGCTGACGTGGGAAAGTGGATTGAGAATGCGGTTGAGCGTAAGGTGCGCGTGCTAGTGTTCATGCTCACGTGGTCCGGAGATCCTACCAGCTTGCCCAAGAGCCTATACACATGTGATACGCTTTACTACCTAACTCTTTCCGACAAGATTCTAGTTGATGTTCCTTCTCCGGTGTGCCTCCCATCCCTTCAAAATCTTAGACTTTACTCTGTGGTGTATAAAGATGAAGATTCTCATGTTAGGTTTTTATCGAGTTGTCCTGTTCTAAGAATTTTGGTCGTGGAACGACATCACCAAGACAATGTGACACATTTTAGGATAAAAGTGCCATCATTGGAATGCTTATATTATGATTACTCCGAAATAGAAGTAAGCAATGGCTCTTTGGTTATAGATTCCCCAACATTAAAGAGAGTCTTAATCAGAGTCTATTCAGGAGACTCTTGCTTGATTGAAAACAAGCATTGCTTTGATAAAGCGATAATCCATGTTTTATGTTACCCAGATGTCAAGTTTATCAAATCTCTTTCCTCGGTCATGTCTCTCGAATTGATTTTGGGCGTTCCAACGGTACGTATTGCTTTTTTTTTCTTCTTTTTTTTTTCCTCACTTTTGCTATGTATTGTTATTATCACATTTGTACTTATGTTTCGTTGTGCACATTGCAGGCTGCATTTTGTAACGCCGCGAACTTCTCTCGACTTATAGATTGTAGGATAATTATTCTATATGAGTTAGACTGGTTGGAACCACTAGTGCTGTTGCTTCAAAATTCTCCTAATCTCAAAGTTCTCTTCATTCACCAGGTTTGTACTTTAATTTCGATCATATGACAGTTTTGATGACTAATCAAATCAAAAGTTAATATATTAACCATTCATTATATATCCTTTCAGTTAATGTATGATTATTTGGAGGATTTGCCGCTTTCATGGAACCAACCGAGTTCTGTTCCCGGATGTTTGTCAACACATCTGGAGATATTTGAGTGGAAAGATTATGGAGGAAGAAGCGAAGAGCAACAAGTCGCAAGATACATCTTTGCCAACTCAAAGTGTTTAAAGAGAGCTGGAATCACCATGAAATCAACCTGCAATATGAAAGATAAAAAGAAGATGATGAAAGAGATAGAATCTATGTCTAGGGTTTCGACATCATCCCAACTACTCTTCTCTACTCAATTGAAATCTCTAAACTTGAAATAATCTATATCACAGTATGTGTTATTAGTTAATACTTTAACAAAATTGGTTGAAGTCGTTAAAAATGGGATTTAGACCAAATTATACTGCTCCCACAGTCCCACTAAACAATACTGTTTCTGAGTAATACTTTCCTTAGCTTTCTTTTGTGGTTTTGTTGTTTTTTTTAAGATAATTATTTTAGAATTTTGATGCATTTATCGACAACTAGATTATTATACAATTTTTGAAATAAATCATAGAAAAATATTAAATAAATTTGACACTTTAAAAGTAAGTAGATTAATATTAAAACCCCGATAAAATACCTCTAAATAATATTAGATTGGTAATCTTTTTACATTTTTATTATAATTGACATATTTTCTGAATTCATGATACGAAAAATGAATTAATTTGTTATCTTTTTACTTTTATCTAAAATTGAAAGACTTACACATGTGTAAGTTTGATTGATTGATTAATTCGTGAAAATTTTATTATTCCATTGAAGAGATTTTGGTTGATGAAATCTTTTTTTTTTAATATTTTTTTACCTAACAAAAAAATTAAACTATTAAAATTAGAATATCAGTTCATTATAAATTTTCCTTTTAATATTAGTTAGTTGCTCGATAATTATTTTATTAGTTTTCTATTTATTTTGTTTTTTCAGTTTTGTTTTTGACTCAGGCCATTATAAAATTTCCTTTCCATTATTAGTTAGTTTTTTCTAATTATTTTGTTAGTTTTTTTATTTATTTTATACATTTTTCCAATTTTCTTGTGTTAACACTTGTTTTCAAAATATTAGACACAAGTAGCAACAATAATTTTGATTTGGATCCAACTGATCTAGAGTTAAATATTCTTCATTGATATCATGAACTTTCAAATACATTATATTTATTTCTTAATGAGAGAGAAGTTTAATCAAAAGATAGAATCACACAATTAAATCATGAAGGCTATAGCTTACTATATATTATTATTTTTTCCTTTTCGTATTTGAAATATGTTTTACTTTTCCTTTTCGTAATGGATGTAACAATTTTTATTTTTCGTTTTTTTTTTTTTGTTATTTTTCTCCTTTTCTTAATAAGTATATATCAATATAATATGTTACAATCCTTTTCATCAAGTAATAGAAGTTTTTTTATGAGCAGACTGCAGATTAAAATTACAAATTTTTGATAATGTTTCCTTCGGCCATCTGATCTCCAAAATTTTGAAGTAGTGAATGATGCACAAAAACTTGAATTGTGTTTCCTGTTTCAAACAAAAGTAAAACTTTAATGTTAATCAATGTTATAATAAGATTATCTATATCAATATAATAAGATGTTACTAACCTTTTCATCAAGTAATAATAGAAGCTCAACTCCCATAAGAATATTATTTTCTTTAGGATTTCTAGCTTCCCACTTTCGAATAACACGTACTAGTAAAGCGATAATTTCGATTTCGATCCAATTGACCTAGAATCAAATAATCTCCACTGTTCTCTTGAACTTTCAAAGACGATTTTAAAATTAGAGAAAGAGAATCAAAGAGATTTGCTGAATTTGCTTTGATGAGTTTGTGAATGAGAAAAAGAGAATACAATAGCTCTCTTTTTATAGGGGGTTCATGTAACCAATTTCATACAGTTTTATGATATTTAGTTTACATACCTATTTCATGTACTAATAGGAATTTTTAAAATAGGGGTTTATGTAACCTATTCCATACAAGTTTTAGGATATTTAGTTTACATACCTATTCCATGTACTAATAGGTATTTTTATTACATTATTTTCAATTTATTATATAAATTTTCGTTTTTATTATAAAAGATTAAAATTTTCCCTTTAATTTTTTTTTCCTTTTTCCCAAGACATACATTATTTTCAATTTATTATATAAATTTTCGTTTTTATTATAAAAGATTAAAATTTTCCTTTATTTTTTTTTCCTTTTTCCAAGACATGTGTCACGATCTTAACGGACGTAACATTAAAAGTGACACATGTCGCAATCCTATATTTTATAAAAATCCTACATGTCGCAACCACATTGTTGCATCCAACTTTCTATAATAAGATAATTATACATATTGATTGTCAAAAAAATTATTATATATATATATATATATATCTTGGATTAGGTCTGGGCATTTTCACTTGGACCCAAAGACCCGAACCAAACCCGACCGAAATAGATGAAACTGAACCAAATCAGAACCGACATAAATGTCCGATGGGTCCAAATTTTTTATACCCGAAAAAACCAAATCTGAACTCAAACCGAACCAAGAACCAAATAGATATCCGAAATATCCAAAATAAAGTTACATACCCAGATTAATAGTTATACATATTTATACTTAAAATTATTAAACATAACTAAAATTACAATTATAACTCTAATATATAGTTAAATTTAGAAAATATAACCAAAATATTCAAGAAATTCAAATATTTTAAGAGAATATTGAGTAAAAGCAAGGTTGTCAAAAAAAGAAGAGTAAAAGCAAAATTGCGGTTAAAAAAACCAATAAAGACCGACTCCAAATGAGATTTGAACAAGAACCAAAATTTGCCCAACCCAAACGGGTCTATAAAATTTAGCCTCGAACCGATTCAAACTCGACATGAACCGAACTGAAACCGAACCAAAATTTCCTTAAATCCGAACGGATCTAAAATTTAGCAACCCGAAAAGACCCGAACTTGAATAGAACCGACCCGATACCCGAACGCCTAGGCTTATCCTGTTCATAAAAATTGTTTAATTTAAGTAAGTTAACATTTTTTAATAACAGAGAAAGTAAGTGTATCTTTTAGAACTTTTATACATGCAGTTTTAATGATTAATCATCAGTATGTTATTTATATTAAATAATTTTCATAATCCTTGTTTAACCAATCGTAACATAATTGTTTTTTAGAAATTTAAAAATAAAAAAATACTTTTATAAACGGCCCTTTATAAACAGAGGACTAACACATGTCACGTAGTGTTGGGAGCAATCGCGACGATGATAGATCACATTCTTTCGACTGCGTTATCGAAGAAGAAGACCAAATCCTCTCCACCGTCAACTCTCAAGCTGGTGAAGAATATCCCGGCCGTTCCTATACTTCGGGCCACCGCTCAACAACAATCTACCTCGCCGGTGCAGGCTCGTCGTCGTTTACCGGAAGCTGATCTGCTCGCCGAAGTGGAAGAAGAAGTAGCCGCGGAGGAAGAAGTAGCGGCTGAAGAAGCAATAGCGGCGGAAGAAGAAGCAGAAGAAAACGCTCCGCCTCCGATGTACTTAGTCGCGGCGGCGGCAGCGGCGGTCGTGATCGGTGCATTCGTGCTCCGTTCTCTCTCTCGTTGAGAGACTCATTCCTTTTCTCTTCCTCTTCCTCTTCTTCCTTTGCTTTTATTGTTTTCTCTCTTCGCCTTTTCCTGTTAAAGATTCTCAATCTCATTCCTTTTCTCTTCCTCTTCCTCTTCTTCTTTTGCTTTTCTTCTTTCTTCTCTTCGTTTGTCTCCTCTTCACATACGTTCCCTCTCCGGCGCATTTGCTTCTCCTCGAAGCGGCGTCGCTCAAGAAACAGAGCCATCGATAAACATTCTCTTTTCTTTTCCGCCACGAACACCGCTCTTCTACAGTTGCGTCGCCGTTGTTTCGCCGGCACATTCCAAGGCTTTCCTTGCCTCTTATCGCTCCTATGCAATTCTTGAAGCTGATCTTGTGAATCCAGCAAGCTCCGATGTCAAATGCGGTTAGTTTCTGGAGCGTTTGTTAGGCCTTCTAAGATTAGGGCTTTTGGTAGACTTGGGTTTCTTGTTGATGAAGAAAGAGAAAGGCTAATCAATCGAGTTATAGTTAGAACTGCTTAGATGTTCAAGAAGCTAATCCAACATGTTAATCATTGCAGTCTCTTATCATTGATGGAGTCCGTGAACTGGATCAATGGTGGAACAAGCTCCTAAAGTACGGTGAAGTAGTACTCTCTTCCGTGAAACAAGACGACAGTTCTAAGGTTTGAATCTAAACTCACAATCTAATATAATTGATGAAATCCATTTGGTGAATTACCGAATCAAAGGTTAGATATGCTCTGTATAAGAAGAATCTAAGTTTAGATGGTGTTATATGGCAGTATGGAGTCTCTGACTTGGATCAATGGTGTGACGAGCTCCCAAACTACAGTGTCAAACAATATTACAGTCCTAAGGTTCGATTCTAATCAAATCATCTTCTGTACATTTTCAATGGTATCTATCTGATGGAAATCGATTTTGGGACGTTCTTGCTTGGTGGTTCGCAAACTTTCTTGTCTTGTGATCTCTGAATCGAAGTCTTGTTTATGGGCACAATGCAGGCAGAAAATGAGTCACAGGAAGAGTGTAAAGAAGGCGTGAAGGTGGACAGAGTCGGCGAGGCATTTAAGGTTGTGGAAGAAACTACCGAACTCTCTTCTCAGGCCGTGACTGCTACTACAAGCTCTTGTAGATATCTGTTTGGCATGCAAATTTCATAATATACACTGTCTCGTGCTTGTAGATACTAGCTGCCTACACACATTGTTCCATTTTCGTATTCTTTTGAACATTCGCTTACTTGAAACACTCTTGTACATGCTTCATTCATAGAAATGGGAGTTTGATTTCTTTTGTGTTTGATAAGATTCTTAAGAATTGCAAGTTTTGCGCTGAAAATTATGGCGCGGTTTATTTCTCAGTCTAGAGTCTTTGGGAAATGAAATGGTTGAATTTGGTTTAAATTTAACTAGTCAGCAATTTTCGGTAAGGTTTCGGTTAGCACAAACCGCGGGTCCCGCCCCGATTGACAGGCCTAGCCCACATTGTAATTTTTGTTGCCGTTCTTGGGCTTCATATGATAGTAATAAAAAGCTGTCTAAACGACGTCGTTGGTAAGATGCATCCAAAATCCAATATCCATGGCAGACACTTATATCTCAATCTGCTAACCTTGGGGGTTAATCCATGGTGGATCCTGAAGAAGAGGCTGGCTCGACCAAAGTCGTCTTCTTTCTCTTTTCCCATTTTCCAACCATCAAGACAGTTTCTCTCTGGCGCGAAGTAAGCTTTTTCTCTCCAAGTTCTTTTGACTTGTCTCCAACATGTTCGACGATATTACTCAATGAACAGTTCCATTGTTTCTCCATAGTTCCACTCCACTGTAGACTAATATAACTCACATTCGTACATAACCATTTCTAAAAGCTCTGTTCTTGAACTATGTTTCGGATAGATTGCAATGAGCCGTACATAGTCTTTATCTTCGATTTCTAATTGGCATTGAAGCTTTTTATCAAGATATTAGATATTTATTGAAACATTTTGTAAGCTTTCTTACTCAGCTTTAATATATTTCCTCCGTCGCTTGCAGATGAATTGGATAGAAAACTGAATTTACAAAAGCTTCAGAGTCATGCTGCGTGCAACTTGTTTTACTCCTTCCCTTTCTCGGGCGTGTTGCCCTTTACTTGTACTGATTCTCAGAGTCCCATCTGCTCATCGCCCGCATCGTCGTTGCTTCTCTCCATTTCGTGAGTACCATTCTTCACTATCTGTCAAAGGCAGTCGAGAGAGACGACTTATTCTCACTGAGAACAACAGATACCTATGCACCATGCCACTCGCTGCCAAACAATCACCACCTTCTCCTTCTGAACACATGTCGAAGAAAGCAAAGAAGAAAGCTATCCAACAGTCTCCTGAAGCAGTGCTGAAACAGAAGCTAGACATGTGCTCTAGAGACGGTAACGTCTTGGAAGCTCTTCGCTTGTACGACGAGGCCAAACGCAACGGCGTGCAGCTTAGCCAGTACCATTACAACGTGCTGCTCTACGTGTGCTCCTTGTCTGAGGGAGCAGCAGCAGAGTCTTCTCCTAATCCAGGACTTGGTAGGGGTTTTGATATATTCAAGGAGATGATTGTTGACAAAGTAGTTCCTAACGAAGCTACATTCACAAACGGTGCTAGGCTCGCCGTTGCCAAAGATGACCCGGAGATGGCTTTTGATATGGTGAAACAGATGAGAGCCTTTGGTATTCAACCGAAGCTGAGATCTTATGGACCGGCTCTTTTCGGTTTCTGTAAGAAAGGTGATGCAGAGAAAGCCTATGAAGTCGATGCGCATATGGTTGAATCAGAGGTGGTTCCTGAAGAGCCTGAGCTTACTGCTCTTTTGAGAGTTAGTATGGATGCAAAGAACGTAGAGAAGGTTTATGAGATAATGCAGCGGTTGAGAGATTTGGTGAGACAGGTTTCTAAGTCGAGTTTTGATATGATTGAGGAGTGGTTTAGTTCTGAAGCAGCTGCGAAAGCTGGAGTGAAGAAATGGGATGTGAAGAAGATAAAGGATGGTGTTGTGAGTGGTGGTGGTGGGTGGCATGGACAGGGTTGGCTTGGGACTGGAAAATGGAATGTGACGAGGACAGAGATGGATGAGAACGGTGTGTGTAAATGTTGCAAAGAGAAGCTTGTTTGTATTGATATCAATCCTGTTGAGACTGAGAACTTCGCTGCATCGTTGACTCGATTGGCCTCTGAAAGAGAAGTCAAAGCTAGTTTTAATCAGTTTCAGGAATGGTTGGCAAGACATGGACCGTTTGATGCAGTCATAGACGGAGCCAACATGGGATTAGTCAACCAGCGAAACTTCAACTTCTTCCAGGTGATCTTGAAATCTTTCTCAATCTAATTCCAATGTCAAGATCCTTAGTCTTTTAACTTATGTGTCTCTTTTATCTCTTGGTCTTAGCTTAACAATATAGTCAATCGATGTCAACAAATTAGTCCGTCGAAAAGGTTACCACTTGTGATCCTGCACAAGAGCCGTGTACACGGAGGACCAGCTACAAACCCTAAAAACAGAGCCTTGCTAGAGAAATGGAAAAACGCTGGTGCTCTCTATGCTACTCCTCCTGGCTCAAACGATGATTGGTATTTTCCTTTTCTCTTAGATTGTGCATTGATCCAAATTAAAAAAACCATCCGTCCATTGATTGTGTGAGAACTCTGTTTCCAGGTATTGGCTTTACGCTGCTGTGAGTTGCAAGTGTTTATTGTTGACAAACGATGAGATGAGAGACCATCTCTTTCAGCTACTCGGAAACAGTTTCTTCCCAAGGTGGAAAGAGAAGCATCAGGTATATACATTATATATACAACACTGTATAATATGTGTGAATTTGTATGTGTATGCATGTTCATATCTGTGTTGGTTTCAATCTTATAGGTTCGAATATCTGTGTCGAGAGAGAATGGACTCAAACTGCATATGCCACCTCCATACTCCATTGTTATACAGGTCGATTTCTGTCAAATGTGTTGTTATTATTATTAAACACAAAGATTTCTCTGCATTTTTGTATAATGAGGATGATGGATTTTAATGCAGGAGTCTGAGGATGGAACATGGCATGTCCCAATGAGTGTAGAAGATGATCTTCAGACATCAAGGCAATGGTTATGCGCAAGACGATCCAAAACACATTGAGAATTTTTTTGATTTGGTAAAGACCATATTTTGTATCACCTTACATTGATTTTTCAATCCAAAGTAATAAATTGTTGTTTCATTAACCAAATCATAATAAATGACAAAAACCGTATAGAATAATAAATTTTGATGAAAGATTGAAACATTACTAAAATCAAATAAACTAATTTTTGGGATCAAAACCTAAGCTTGGTGAAGAACCATCTGTTCTTGCCAGTCTTAAACCTCTCTTCGAACCTCGTCTTGGCTTCCTTGAGAGCAGTCACTTTCTTGTCCTTCGACGAGATCGCGTCACCGGTGACGACATCTTTGAGATCCAAGTCCAAAGTGTAACGCGTGGGCATCACATGCTGGTAATTGACGACCTTGACGAAGCACTTGACACGCGATTTCTTGGCAGTCTTCTTGGCCGAGTCCTTGCGGATGACTTTGCTTGGGTACTTTTTCAATCCGGCGACGAGGCAGTGACCGTAAGGCTTCTCGCGGTTACCGTCGTCGAATGCTTTCACGATCACGGCCTTCTTCCCGGCGTATCGCCCTTGTAAGAGGATCACAGCTTTCCCTGGCCTCAACACATTTACCATTTTCGCTCTCTATCTCTCTCTTTCTTAGTCGCAAAGTTTGAGTTTCTAGGGTTTCTCGGAAGGTTTAAATATTTGTTTCTAGGGTTTCTCGCAAAGGTTTCTCATCGAATTTAAATATTTCAAATGTTACCCCAACAGTTCTCATTGTTTAAACATTTGTCCTTAAGGTTATTAAATTGGTTCCGAGTCCCATTTGACCAACCGGAAATTAAAAGTCAACCTTGTCAATCTAGCATGATTTAGATGTGTAAATGAAGAAAAGTGATATATTAAGATGATAATAAATTCCAAAGAACAAACCAAAGAGTGCTAAAGAAATGAATTAACAAATAGGATGTCCAAATATCTCATAAGCTAAGCGAATCTCAAACATATAAAATCCAATATAACGAAAACAGAATAAAATAAATAATTTGCATGAACATCAAGCTCCTCCGATATCAGAAGCAAGCATCGAGGACGCAACAGCAACACATAGCCGCGAGACTGCATTCAAGAATCAAAATTAAACAAGTCAGAACCAATTTTCAACCCACAATAAACCAAACCGATCCGGTTCTATATTTAACCGAACGAAGAAAAAAGAACTAACCAGCCTTTCAAGAATCCATCACCCTTAGACTTTGTCTCGACCGGAGCAGCCGTGGCATGACTCGTGTCGTTCGTTGGGTAACCGAGCGGTGGGGGTGCTACGTACGGACCAGTAGATACTGGCGGCACAGATTGAGATTGGTTGTATTGATTCATCTTCGGAATTTCTCTTTGAAAAGCTAGGGGAAGATTGTATGTGTTATGTGTTTGATGATATGGATTTAATATGTGTTGATAAATATATGAAGACAGGTCTCATGCATATATATAGAGATGAGGATTGAGGAAAGATAGAAGAAATAGAAGAAGGTCGGTTTAGTAGAACCGCGTGAAGAGCAGATACATTAATTGCCAAGTCTCCAAAAATTTATTCCTACGACGCATGCACGGAAACAACCAAGAAGCATCCTTTATTTCCACCTTTTACATCAGATAGATAATACTATAGTTTCTAATTTATTTATTTTTCCTTTCTTTCTTGAAGAATAATGTTTTGTTGTCAGTGATGAAGACAGCATGATGATGCTTAATATATATGTATTGTATTATTTTAATTCTTTTCAGCGCTAACGTGTCAATTTATGTATTCCCTATGTCCCAAATTGCAAGTAGTTTTAGACAAAGTGAAAAATTAAGAAAAATATCTTTTTTTTAACAAAGTATGACTTAAAATATAAATCTAAATATAGTCTAACCAATTATGGAAAACTGTATAATATAATTGGTCATATAATAATCTATAAAGTAAAATGTACATCAATTGTAGAAAATATTTTATATTTTGGAATTTTCTTTTTTCCAAAACTGCTTACATTTTTGGATAGAGAAATGTGTTTTTCTTGTTTACACGCAAAGTCGGACCTACATGTAATGATACTGGTCCACTTGACACACCTAAAATAAGGTAATAATTTTATTTGTAAGAAAAAAACACATAAATACAACAGTTCAATTGGTAACATCCTTCTTGTTAACACCCCAAACGCAAGTTTGAATCTCGCCAGTGACACCTAAGTTTAATTTTGACCCAGTTAAGATATGTTTTTAGGTCCGCCACTATTTACACGTGAGATTATGGCAAATTTGATTGTCAGATTTTCGCCAGAATTTGAACAAACACAAACTTTTTTTTATATGTTTTTTGAGGTTATGAGCAAATAATATTATTTGGACAGATGATCAAAACATTTTAACTAGTCTTTTCTTTATCGTCGTGATTCGAATTTCATCAGTAAAGCTAATTTTAATCGGTCATCAGCCCATTTCAATTAGTAAGACTCAAATATTTTTTCAACCAAGTGTTAGAAAAAAGTTTTTGTTAAAAAAAAAAAAAAAAAAAACTAAGTGTTGGAAAAGTCATGAATGTTAGACCATTCCATCGGACGAGTTAACGAGTAGTCTGATCGATCCCCATAGCTCGATTGTTGATTAGAAATAATTTTAGATGATTCTTCGATGAAAACATGTAGATGTTGGCTTAAAACTCCTCCATTAACCAAAACAAAAACTCAAATCTTTTGAGTAATTTGGTTTACATTTCTTACCCGTAAATGACTACTTTACGCGCCAAAAAAAAAAAAAGACAATACAAGGTTGCTCTTTCGTGGTGATTTGGGTTGCTCTACTTCTTTGTTATTCAGAATTTAACTATTATTATCGATTAGTCTGTTTACTGATTAAACAGTTTAGAACAAACAAAACTCCTTCATGGATTTCAAATATGCAACTCAAAATTGTAATTACCAGTGTATATATATACTAATTGAGAGGTTTCATTGGTTGCAATACTCAAGAAACCAAAAAACTTGTATATATTGATATCATTATTACATTTATTTTACCTATTGCATGCACGGAAGGTTTTATATAACATTAGAATATGCAACATGCATGATATAGTCGACATGGTTTTATTCCTTTCTTGGTTAATAAAGACTAAAGAGTTTGTTTTCTTTCTGAAAGCAAAAGTTTAGTCGATGCTTTCTCTATGGGAATATTTACATGTTAAGAGAAAGAGAGAATATATACAACTAATAACAACATATAACAAGTAAATTAGAATGAATTTTATGCTGAGTAGTATTATTATTTTTAGATTCATAACATGTACGTAGTTTCAAGAGGCCACATGGAAATTTTCATGTAAACGAAATGAATCATTGCCTATTTTTTTTTGAGAAAGGGTTAAATTAATCATTGGTTTCAACGTTCAACGTTCAACTTTCAACTCCCGTTAGAATGTTAACGCAATTTGTGATTTGATATGATCGGTGCATCTACTTTTAGACAATTAGAGGAGCAACGTCAGAGAAGTTTGGTTGTTTGGTGAACCGACCAATATGTAGTTTACAATTTATATTTTTTTACAATATACTAAACGCAATTGATTTTCGTCACGTATTTGCGTTGCAAATTTTTATCCGAACAAAACAATATAAAGACTATAATTGGCTAAACAATCCACGTCAAGTGGAGGAGCAAAGGCTTGTATTAAGAATTCCAAGTCATTCGCACAAAAGAAAAGAAAAAAGCCAAGTCAACAACTATATTATCCCATTTGACCAATGGATCACGTCAAAGTTCGAAAACACTTTTTTCTTTGTTAATGGATATACAAATTTGAAAAGTAATCTGTATACTCATGAAGGGAGTATAAATTATCCATTCCCTATGATCAAGTCATAAACTCGTATTGGTGCAAAGTTTACAAACATTTATTGCCTTCATGCTCTTAAGTATTGTTATTTCTGTACATCTTTGTTAACATTATAAAAAGCCTCCAACAGTTTTTTCAAATCTTCAAAATCACCATCATCCGGTCCCTTCGGGACCTCTTTCTTTCTCAAATTCATTTTAGACTGGAAGCTCCCGCGCAAGCCCTTCTGGCAATCTGTCTTTACAAGAAAAAAAAATATTAGCTCTGTTATTTAGAAAAAAAGAAAAAAAGAAAAAAAAAACTAACAGAACTTGGAAAACTAATGAAGGATCATTGCTTTACTTCACTTTCACATACCACGATATTTTATTGGCTTGCGAAATTCTGCGGATGTAAATTCACTCTTCACGAAATACTGCGTAACTAGAGACTGAGTCGGTGAGTGAGTGATAAAAAGGAAATATTGAAAAGTTTGTTGGATACTATATGAATCTAAAATTTCCTTTTTTTTTCTTGGTCAACGCCAATCACTAGCCTTAAGAATATAATTTCCCTTTCATTACTCTCTTTCCATAATTTCCATAATTCTTTCCAAATTATCCTAGCCACCTGAACATTGAATACCCTAGCCACCTGAACATTCTTCCCAAATTATCTGAAAATCAACAAACGACAAAAGCAAAGATGAGAGTGAGGATTGCCAAGGAGAGATCCGACTTAACCGAGTTGGTTTCTGCTGCAATCAAGACGACTTACGATACACGGAGTCCAGGCGGAGTCGAGCGATGCATCGACGCGTTGAATCAGTTGAAGTCTCTGTCTCTCTCCGTCGAAGACCTTCAATGGTCTGAGTCCATAGTTAGCTTGGAGACTCTGAGAAGGCATAGGAGCCCTAAGATCCGTAAGGAAGCTCAATCCTTGTTTGATTCCTGGTCTAATACGCTTTACGCACGAGGAAGAGACAACACCTCCATAGCTGGTCTGATGAAGTCTTGTCTGAAGCATAAGAAGTCTGTTCTAAAAAGATGTTCAGAGTTGTTGAAGAAGAAAGAGGAAGAAATATCTAATCTGACTCATGAAGCGAAAGAGATTAAGAAAGAGACCGGCTTTTTGGAGTCGAAGAAGAAAACAGATAAGAGGAGTGGTCTCACGGAACAGAGAAGATTGATAAAGAAACAAAGACCAACTCTTTGGAATTGAAGAAGAAGAAAGATAAGAGGAGTGTGTCTCACGGAACAGAGAAGATTAATAAAGAAACAAAGACCAACTTTTTGGAGTCGAAGAAAAAAGAAGATCAGAAATCTCTGCCTTGTGAAGCGATAGAGATTGAGAAAGAGACAAAGACCAATCTAAGGAAAAAGAGTGATGATCGCAAGGCTATTGGATCACTTGAAGTTGCTGGAAATCAGAAGATGTGCCCTGTTACTGCCACGTCGCTTACTCAGCACTCAAGAGAGAACATCAAAGACAAAGATGGTCAAGTTACTACTAAAACCTTGATTCCTCCTCCTAGAAGGACAAAGAAACAGCAGACCGGACCAGCTAAAAATTCTGAAAACCCTAAATCTCCAGCCTTGAAGACTAAAACAGAGGAGGCGCTGAAAAAGAAGAAAACGGACGTCGCTTTGGAGAAGAAGAAAACGGAGATCGTGGAGCTGTTCGAAGCAGCCATGAAAGCGGCTGACGTGGCCTACTCTAGAAGTGTTCTCTCCGGTACACCAGAGGTGTCACGCTGCGTTGAGGCTCTCTCGTTACTCATGGATTCCAATATCAGTCCAAACCCTAAAGAGCCAAGGAGGATGATGGAGAGGCTCGAGGGACTCACAAAGCACAAATACCACAAGATCTGCAATGCTGCTTCATCCCTTCTCCACCTTTGGAGGCAGAGGATCAGGAAACAAGAGCGTAAAGACTCTGCAGCCAAGAAGACGACGTTTCGTAACAACTCCTGTAAAGCTCATTAGATTTAGAAAATCTCTGGTGGATTCATAAGGTTTTGAATCATTCTGTAAAGAGTATGAGTGTAAGGAAGTAATGGAATCTGTTTGTAAGCGTGGTTGAGTGTTGAGCAAGTGCTTTAGTGGATTAAGTAGGGTTTCAAGTTGGAACCTGAACTTGTAAATTTCTCTGGTTTTTCAGTATGTGGATTTGTTTTCTAAAAAATTCACAAGCATTAAGCCTCACTCCCTTGATTCAGTTTCGTTCAACAAGTCCTTGCCATTGCCGGACTTGAATCTCGGGGTTTCGAGGTGGTCGGTTTGGAAGACGGAGAAGTATATGCAATCCTTAGCCGGAGATCTTGTTCGGTATCCGAAATGGTTAGAGACTGATCTGTTCTTCAACGGCCCTTACCGTGAACGGTATTGCTTCAAGGCCTATGGTGATGATTGAGAGTTTTAGAGCCAAGTATGTGTTTTGTTGTAGCCTGGTGGATATTTTTTGTGGTAATAATATAAGAAAATCAAATTCAGGATATGTAATGCTTAAAACAAACGTGACGGTGTTTGAAAAAGAAAAAAAAAGGAAATTGAGAAGTTTCTTGGAACCTAAGCTACTGTTAGAATTTCCTTTTTCCACTGGCCACTATATATTTCACTCTTATTCAGATTATCACTTTATCTGCATTAATTCGATTATCAAATCAAAAGCACGGTGTAACCCTAGCCACCTGAGTAGATTCACTGTACGTTTTTTCTATAATCAACCACTGAATATCTGAAGATCAACAACAATTTAAGAAAGAAGAAGATGAGGGTGAGGATTGCGAAGGAGAGATCTGATTTAACCGAGTTGGTTTCTGCTGTAATCAAGACGACTTACGATACACGGAGTCCAGGCGGGGTCGAGCGATGCATCGACGCGTTGAATCAGTTGAGGTCTTTGTCTCTCTCCATTGAAGACTCTTCAATGGTCTGAGTCGATGGTTAACTTGGAGACTCTGCGAAGGCATAGGAACCCTAAGATCCGCAAGGAAGCTCAGTCCTTGTTTGGTTACTGGTATAATACGCTTTACGCACGAGGAAGAGACGACACTTCCAAAGCTGGTCTTACCAAGTCTTGTCAGAAGCCGAAGAAGTCTGTTCTAAGAAGATGTTCAGAGTTGAAGAAGAAAGAAGAACGGAAATCTGTCAAAGATGAGAGATCTCAGACTCATGAAGCGGTTGAGATTAAGAAAGAGGACAAGACAGGCTTTTTGGATTTTAAGAAGGAACAAGATCGGAAGTTTTTGACTCATGAAACTGAAGAGATCAAGAAAGAGACATATACTAATCTTGTGAAGTCGGAGAAGAAAGAAGATCAGAAGATGCTATCTGTTACTCCCAAGGCTCTTCCTCAGCACTGGAGACAAAACATCAAAGACAAAGATGGTAAAATCACAACCAAATCATTGAGACCTCCTTCGAGGAGAGATGCTGCTTGCAAAAACGTTGCACGAAAGCAGACCGGACCTTTTGAAGATTCTGGAAACCCTAAATCTCCAGCCTTGAAGATTAAAACAGAGGAGGAGCTCACGAAGAGGAAAACGGAGCTTGTGGAGCTGTTCGAAGCAGCCATGAAAGCTTCTAAGATGGCCAACTCTTACGGTAAACCAGAGGTGTCACGCTGCGTTGAGGCTCTCTCGTTACTCATGAATCTCAATATCAGTCCAAGCCCTAAAGAACCAAGGAGGATGATGGAGAGGCTCGAGGGACTTACAAAGCACAAATACCACAATATTTGCAATGCTGCTTCATCCCTTCTCCACCATTGGAGGCAGATTATCAGGAAACAAGAACGTAAAGACTCTGCCGCCAAGAAGACGTTTCCTAACCACTCCTGTAAAGCTCGTTAGATTTAGAAAGTCTCTGGTGGATTTTAAGGTTTTGAATCATTATGTAAAGAGTATGAGTGTGGGGAAGTAATGGTATATGTTTGTAAGCGTGGTTTTGAGTGTTGAGCAAGTGTTTTAGTGGATTATGTAGACATTGGAACCTGAACTTGTAAATTTGTCTGTTTTTTCAGTATGTGGATTTGATTTCTTAAACATTCACACACAAGTGGGTTAGTCCCTTCATTCATTTTTGTTCAACAAGTCCTTGCCATTGCCGGACTTGAATCTCCCAATCATGTTTAGAGGTGATAACGTACGAAAGAAGTTGAGTGCAAAGGTTTCTTGTTTATCAACCGAGAACATGGTTTATTAATTCATAATAACAACAGAACAAATAGTGAGTGTTTTAGATTGGACCATGAATTCATCAGAACTTGAAAAGAAACAAAGATGTCAAGATGCAAGAAAAAAAGACTAGATTGAATATAGTTTAAGGGATATTTGGTTAAGTTGTTATTTTGCACATTTCTTCCTCATTGTCCAGAAGGCAGCATAGTATCGGTTCTGCAACACACACAACACCACATATAAACCTACCTTTCGACCATTCAAATACACAAACATATAATGAAACTGACCTGCATCATAGACCGGGGATTTGTAGTGTACGTTGTTTCAATTGTTCTTTCTTTCTGCAAAATGTTAGGACAAGCACGGAGTGTGGACTTGACATGAGATGTTTTACTTTCTACAGGAAAATGTCATTGTTATATTGTGTACACTACCTCAATCTCGAACCCATACTGTGAAGCAACTCTCTTTACATCCTCTAAACTTAGCTCGATTGACATTTCCTGAGGAGAAACAAGATACACATCGTGAGTATCAAAGTTAAAGCGAGATTGTGAGGACAAGTCAAATGCTTACATTTTCGTGGCCATATGTGTCAGCAAAGTGATACAACAGAGGTCCTAAATTTATCCAAACCTGATGGAAAATTAATTTACACAGTCAGGAATCAAGATCAAGAAAAGATTAAAGGCGTTGGAAGAAAGAGTGTAACAGGGAAATTAAATTACTCCTCCATCTTTTAAGATCTTGGATATGGTTTCGATGTACTCAATGATGTTATGAGCCGTGTCGATGAAAAAGCAAGTCACAACTGCATCCCACGTTCCTGAAATTCACAGTGTTACCAAGTTACATTTAAACAAATTCAGTATTTGGTATGAAACCTATAGCATAACAAAAGCAAGTGGTCACAGTTGCTTACCTGCGTGACTTGATTCATTGTACACTTCAATAAAATCACCGCCACACATAGAGAAACCTTCTGTTATTCCTGCACTGCTCACAGCAAATGTTTACATAAAAACGTTTTAGTAAAGTGACATGAAATCACCAATAGAAGCTGCTTGGTGACATGAAGCTGCTTAGTAAACGTTTTATTGGTGATTTCATGTCACTTTACTAAAACGTTTTTGAGATGACTGTAAATTGGTGAAACATTTTATTGGCTTATAAAATAACAGTTGATATATAGTAAAGTGACATGAAATCACCAGTTGAGTTAACTAACAAGACATTCGAAAACCATATAAGCCAGAACACTCTGCGGTTCGATAAGGCATACCTTGCAGGATGAATATCGGGAATCGAAACAGGGCGTAATTGATCATTGTCTGAGAGGGAGTTGCAGTTGCTGTGTATCCAGGGGTATATTGTCCACTCACCAGGCACTTGTGCGCTGAAGAGAAAATCAAGCTGATCAAAACTCAAAAATGGACAAAAAGTAGGAAATTACAGTAACTAAATTTAGAAGAAACCACATTGTGGACTCTCCAAAACCAATTGAGTAAAACAGTAAGTAAGAAATGAAAGCTTAGAGGATGGCAGATGTGAAAAATGTTTTGAGTGAAAAGATATGAATACTTATTGGGGATATTTAAAGACTCTTTATAAGGAAAATGTATACAGGAAAGTAAGAAACTCTTACTAATTCAGAATAAAACTTGAGCAAATCATCATGTAGTATGAAAACTCATTTCCTTGGCTTATGAAACCTGCTCCAATGCACAAGATTTGTGATATTCCTTATTATCTTTGTAGCAAGACAAGAAAAGTTTACTTCTCCACGGCATACCTAGACAAGAAATTTCAAGGGCTAGTCGTCCAAGTCCAGCACCAGGGACTAAACATGCTGGAGGGGTGCTGCAAATCATTTACTTAACTTTGTCAGCAGAGTAAATGTAGGAGGAACTAAACATTTGCCAATTTGTCTGTCTCTCTAGAGTCAAGTCTCTATGACCTTATGCCGCGAATTTGTGTGCCAGAATGCATTAAGGAGAGGTCACTAGGTCAGAGACTCAAAAGTAAGGAAATAATAGCAGTAGCATTGTTTACCTCTCTTTCTGACGATCAGGAAACAAGGAATCAAGCTCTTCAAGAATAGGCTTGTAGCATTGATCTCGTTCTCTCTGACCCTATAAGTTGAAAAGAATATACAACTAAAAACTCAAGTTGTGAAACGCTATCGATGAACGAATCTGAGTACATTATTGTAAGAAGAAAATGACAAAAATATATGTGGTTACCTCTGCTGCCCAGTCTCGAACTATATTCCTTATTATACAACGAACCTGTGTTAGAATACAGCAAAACCATGCACAATTCAAAATAATAGATTGGTGAGCAAAACACACAACAACAAACATATGCAAATGTACGGGTGTGTGCTTGTCATCTTTATCATGTGCATATGCGTAGGTGTAAGAAGGTGTACTTAAGCTCAACAGGATTCACCTCAAATAGAAAGCTAATAAAGCTTGATAATGGATTCTAACAGGTCGCCTTAATATTTGTCTCTGACCACTATGAGAGGTCTAATACAATTATGATCAAAAGCCATACTAAAGTCAAAAGCATACCTTATCTACATCAACCAGAGGAACATGTGTCTGTAAAGATGGGTCCAACCAATCATGAGATGACAACGACGCCTATGAAAGAAACGAAAACACTAGAATTAGAAAAATGACATGAGTTGGTATGACAAGATTATAGTCACTGATTGAGTATCAGGCAGAGATATTATACACAACAAAACCCACATATGCTTGACAGTTGAATGCTTTTTGAAATTAGAGTACCAGGTAATATTCAGATGATTCACAAAAGATGCTTAACAGTCTAAAAATCTTATATAACTGATCAAATAACCAAAGAATCTGCGCGTTGAGAATGATATTCAACATGACTTTTGGAACGAACTGATGTTTTAAAGTATGTGAGTAGACATTACACTGCCATGGTCGTGATTTAAATGGTCTCCATCACAACCACATGTCTTATCATTGATTCTTATGTCTGCAGATTCATTCTTGGGGGAATGATCATTAGCATCCTTCCTCTGAACGTCCTGCATTTATACAAATATATTAGAGATTCTAAATGGAAAGGATATATAATTTCCATGTCTTGATCTGACCTCTATAGACAGAGTTTCCTCTTACCGAGTCACGCATGCTTTTACTTTCTTCCTGATATGTACAATTATTCGTCAAGGCAGGCTGACAAGAAGAGTCGTGCCTTCCATCTAATATGTACTTCTCATTTGGAGCACAGTCAAGATTTGAGTCTTCACAACCATCAAGATCTTGACTCAAGTCTATAGGCGGCTCAAAAGCCTGCCAAATAGTTATAGTTTACATCATTACATGACATGGACTGCTTAGGATTTCTAGCATATAAAGCATACCAATGTTGAATTTACGAATCACATAATCAAATAAGTAGCATGAAGCCATTTAAAACGACAAGGCTATCAATCATTAGAAGAAATGTCTGCAACTGACCTGAAGCATATTAAATATGAAATATGAATTCGCCGATATACACCTGCAACAACAAAATCAGTTAACTCACTAATACTTTAAATAAGTAATCCTACTTTATACATGCAGATCATTTTTGTATCGCTGATGAAAACGTTCAGAAGCATCATGACTCTTCCAAATGATGATAACAAGTGTAGTGAATTGGTGAAACATTTACTGAATATAGACTTCACCTTCTTAATCTCTGAAACTTCAAAGGGTAATGAGGCACCAATGCCTGGACAAGGAAGGAAAGCAAAAAAAATGGATCGCTGAAGATAGTTACTTTTAATCATATCACGTTTCTCAAGGCAACAAAAATTACCTTGTGAGCAGGAGACAGCTTCCTAAACGATCTTTCCCATTTTTTCAGGTCCTCGTCTGAAGCCTCCGGATAACTATAAAAAAAAAATCCAAGCATAAGGAAAGGTCAGTGAAGCAAAAACTTTTAACATAAATTAACAAACGAAATTAGCTAATTATCGGACCGCCCTAATAAAAAAAACACACAATTCAAACCAAAATCTTGTTCCGGTAACAAGAATTGTGATTCGAAATTATACTCAGTCAAATTTCAGATAATTCTCATTTGATCCCGCCAATATAGTGTCGTCTCAGATACGAAAGTGATGAGTAAACAAAAAAAAAATGAAAGAGAAAATAAGGTACTTGAGGTAAGCACTGATAATGCGGCGAAGAGATTTGGCTTCGAGAGCTTCTTCAAGCTTCTTTTGGCGGAGAATTTTCTCCTCTTCGTCATCCACTTCCCTCGCCCGCTCGGTTTCCGTTGCCATGGCTGTAACTATTTCCGGCGCCGGTGGCAGCTCAGTTTCCGCTGCCGTCACCGTCATCTCTGACGATGAAATCATTGGTGGCTCTTCTTCTCTTTGGAGTTTGATTTCGTCGTGGAGGTTATACGAGAGGAATCGAATATTTCAAAGTGGGCTCATGTTACTAATGGGCCTCGTTTAGAAGCTTTTGCGGCCCAAGAAACTCTATGCTTTAGCAGCTTTAAACCTTTTCTTATGTTCATATACATGCTGCCTAAACCTCTCTATGCAGCTCAGCTCTGGTTTACTACACGGAATTTGTTGGTTCATGATATAGTAAAGGTGATTTACGGAGTGGCTAATCGGACAGCTGTGGTTTAATGTGAGAATCAACGATCGAGATTGAAGGAAGTCGTGATTTCAGCATTAAAGGCGACGTCTAACAATTGAAATTTGTTTGTTGCAGTTTGTTCCTTTTCTCTCTCGTTCTTAGCTTCACCTCGAAGAATTCTTATTCTGGAATTATGTATCAGTTCATTTGAAGACTTTGATGCAACTGAAATTGCTATTATATTTCAGCTCTTAAACATCTTTATCACGACAAGAATTTGTTCTTTTTGAGACGTTATTGAAAGATTACTTTGTGAATAAAGTATTTGAGAATGTATATCGTAGTTGGTTTATACTTTGTTGAGTATCATTGGTTATAGTTGTGGTTTAGTTATTCATCAATACATATTTTGAAAAAAAAAAAATCTTTAGAAGAAAAAAATTATTGTACAATTTTGGATCAGTTCTTCTTCCTAACCCAACCGTTTAAACATCACTAGTTCCTATAAATTTAAGTCACTATTGACGTAAATATTAATAAGAACATGAGATTAAGAATTTAGAGTTTAATTGATAAAAAAATATTAAAAACTATCAAATTAAAACCTATAATCTAGATGTGAAGAAAGATTATCATATATGTGGATATGAATTTAAATCGTATAAAAAGATCGTCTTACTCTCAAATTGTAGGGTATTTGAAGAGTCTTGTGAAAAGTCGTCAATTCTTTTAATTAGTGCGTTTGATTCAGTTTCTCATTGAGGATCAGTTAGTCCATTCATTGAGGATCAGTTAGTCCATTGTGTAGATTGAAGATATAATCTCACGTGTATTTTGAATTTAAATTGTTTTTTAAAACGTTTATGAATTGATAATAATTTAATAATATGCTTTTAAAAGTTTTTATCATTGAATTTGAATCTAACCAAATTCGATATTATCTTCCAAATTGTATACTACGTTATTTACAAAAAGTTTGAAAATTTATAAATCTTAAAAGTTCACAGTTTTCTGAAGCATACGTTTGAAAAGAAAAGAAAAAAAATGTGCACATATCATATTGAAAGCATCGTCATCATACATTATAAACTTCATTGCGTATTAACATTTGGTGTCCACATGGGATGAATATTATTATATCTCCACCACCCCTTTTATTTTATTCACATGCATTATCGACATTTAACGCCACCTGTACAATCCCAACCACTAAACGTTAAAAACATCCAACGGTCTTAATTTCCCGACACGATTCGTCAGGCACCGACGGCTGTGATTGAAGCCATTCCCTCCAGCTCACTCTTGCTCCGTCTGATCCTCGCACCCCCGACATCAAACCCGGTCATCGCCGTGGCCCAAATCTCCGGCACCGTCGTAGCTATCTCAGCTACATTCTCCACCGCGTAATCCGCGTCTTTTGTCTTTTCCGATCTCCCCACCTGTTTAACAAAAAATTAGAACAAATGAATTTCAGATATAAATGTTGGCAAAACAAAATGATTAGAGATTGTCGATGGAATAAAAAATTACCAAGATTGTCCGAAGCCCGACATTTTTTCCCGCGGTAATATTGTGGATATTATCATCCAAAAATACCTGTTATATATGTATTGTAAACGGAGTTAATTAATTTTTGATTATACGTCGGATTAATCAAAAATATTATACGAAAAAATAGATAAAGAAGAATATTACGGTTCGGTGAGGTTCAACGTTGGCTACACGAATGCAAATATCCATAGCGGTCAACGAAGGCTTGAGAACGACGGGATGCTCATCGGGTCGGGGTGTTGCTCCGAATAAATTCGGGTTCATTGTCTCGAAACAAATAATATCTTCAAAGCAATCTTCTAAACCCAATTTCTCCAGAACCTTCATCGCATGGACCCTGTCCGAGTTCGTAAATATCTGGACCCAAGAACAAATAAATAAGATCAATAATTATTCAAATTTAGTAAGTAAAATTACAAAAACAATTATGATGCTACATAAAAAAATGAAAACTAAACTTACAATTTTTCTCTGTTTGATTTTGTTCAGAAGGTTTCGTAGTTTTCTGTTTGGTTGGATCGAACCGTAGGGCAACCTTCCGTGCACGACACTGCAACACAAATTTCCAAGAAAAAAGAAAGCTTCATGAATAAATGGAAAAAAAAAAACATTTTCCTGGGAGAAGAAGTATGTATTTGATGATTGTTTTTTTTTTTGTCTACCTGTGATATTCATCAGGATGAACATCATAACCCAACGCCTACAAAATTTACAAGAAAACCAAGAGAATAAATGAGAAATCAATTAAATAAATGGACTAATATTTACAAAAAGTACAAGAAATTGGAGAAGTGGAATCACCCTGAGACCAGCGAGAGTACTTCCATAAGTCTTGAAGAGTTCAACTCTTAGACTGGATGCTTTACTTTCAGAAAATCCAAATTTCTCCACTAGAAAATCTGCCAAGAAAATATAATTAACTCAATGTTTTTTCAAAAAGTTATTACAAAAGTATTGTAATTGTTTAGATACCATCAATATTTTTCTTGACAGCTGGCGCTATTCCGGTTTTCAGAGGGTATAATGTGTCATCCAAATCTGATTACAATTAGAAACAACACCGTTTATCAGAAAGAGCGAAAGAAAAACAATTTAAGCATCTTAGTTGATGCATTTATTAAATAAGTTACCGAAAATGAGGCAGTTGATCGGAGAGAAATCCATTGCAAGAAAATTAGTAACAAAAACAATGTTTTGGATATTTGATAAATGTTGGAGGAAATAGCAAACACGGAAGAGGCATGAAGAAAGGGAGAGGTTTGGAAGATATTTATAGGAGGCTGAGTCGTTTTTTCTCTACATATTTTTTTGTTTTATCTTTTTTTTTTTTCTAAAACAATTATGGATACTGACTGCTGACTCATGGTTCAAATCCTTTTCGTCTATTTTATCTGAATACACACTTTCTTTGAAAATTCAGTTACATTATAATATGTTTCGATGTTAACCGAATCATATTCTATCTTGACGTGCTTGTCACATTCCTATCTTTGATTAAACAATGTAAATCCATTTTCTTTATTAATTTCTAAGAGTTTTAGAACCTTGCGTGTTAAGTCTTTATTAATGGTTTAACCTCTACTCTCGACATAAACAATCGAACTATAAATACTTGTTTGCAAACTTATAGCCATTAAAATTTATCAGTTTTTGACTGTCTAACCAAATATATCAGGTAAATAATGGAGTATCCCTTTATCTAGAGATTTCTTGTTAACCTCGGGAATGAATGATAAAAAATAAAATAAACCACTTGTAAAAGTTTCAAACTACTCAGTATTGTTAGAAATAGGCAAAAGAAAGAAAGAAAAAAATAGTTAAAAATTTTAAATGAATTTTTAATCAGATTCATATGCTTTAGTTTTTTAGTTGTTTCCTCAACAACAGCGCCTTTTAATGAAATTCAAATCAGATGTCACTAGCATAAATTTCTACACGCAAAACACATGTATTTAGATGTGATATGTGACATATGTCCCTACCTCCTACTACGCGTTGTTGATAGTATAAACGTGTATTGCACATTCTTTACCAGATGATATCATGATAATATGATTGGGTATAAATTTATTATCAATTACCTTTACAAAGACCTAATGGCCACAAACTTTTTGGTTATTAGCCAGGCCACTGAATAGTGTGAATACTGATCGACCTAAAATGCATAAATTATGATCACAACAAAATGAGAACATATCTTCATCATCATTTCCCAATAACCTGTTGATCACCTTCCCAAAACCACCAAAAGGAAAAACGCTGGTACAGTTAATTTAATTAAATATTAATTATTTTTCTTGTTTTTTGGGTGATAGAAATTGTGGTTTCTTGTTAATTGGTACTAATTGTTTAATGTGGACCTGCCCCAACTCCAAAACATCATTTCACATCAAGAGATGTCACCTATGTGTTGTGTTACTGGTTGGACATTTTGCACAACCTCATATTTTTTTTTTTTTTTGGTAGGACGCACAACCTCATCTTCTATCGTGAAAGATTCATTATTGCTGCTATGTATTATTTTTCAATTATCATAAATACGATAAATGATCATTTAATTATACAAACCAACTATTATATTGGAGCCAGAGAAGAATGACAATCACAATTCGTGTGCGTCCAAATCAAGATATTTGATCGGTTGGTCCCTTCATTTGGCATCTTGCAAGAACAAAATAATATATTGATTTCTCTTATATAAAATACTGTTATTGATTTACTAATTCCAGGGACAGATAATGTAAAGAAGAATCCAGAATTTTTAAAAGAGAGAATCATACAATTAGTACGATTTTATATCAAAACTTGGAAAATAATTTAAGCCTAATAAAAAAAAACTATGTTATAAAATATAAAGAAAATGGTAGATTTTTATTTTTGTTTTGGGTGCAAATGTGAGAAAATGGTAGATTTCATTCATCGTAAACGATTTAGCCTAATAATTTAAGTTTAGATTTGTAAATTCCAGTTATCTTTCTAGGATGTCTCACACTTGCACTTTTATATCTTTCAAAAAATTGATGGCGCGAGTTCTTTCCCTTCTGCGAATTTAGCTCATCTTTTATAGCTTTGGGCCAAGAAGCTGCTATAGACCCATATACTAAATCGACCCATACGGTTACTTCAAATGAGCCCAATATATTAGATTTGTTTTTGTTTGTCGGCAAATTAAAATTAATTCATTTTCGCGAGAAAACAGGTATCTCCCTCTTCTTTTCTAAAAACCGCCGAAATTTCTAGGGAATTCTAGAAGATGAGGAAGCACGATAACATCTTTCCTTCTTCAAATCCTTCTCTCTCGCACCTTCTAAACTCAGTCTACTTCGCTTTTCTATATCTTTCGCGACCCACGAACCCTATACTCTTCTAATCCAGCTAATCCAGCTACAGCTACAAACCCCTTTGTGAGAAATCTCCCCTTTAATCAGGTTTGTCGTTTCCAAGTCCTCTTCGATTATGCTTAAATCTTAGTTTGAATTTTTTTCTTCAATACGTTTTTATTACACCTTTGTTTTCCCCATTTGGTTTTAGCTTACTCTCCATTATTAGTGCCTACTTAGTTCGAATTCTCTTTCTCAATTTCGGAGTCGTATTGCGATGGGATCTTAATAAAATCCCGAGAATCCAACAGAATACTTGAAATCACTTTTAGTTTGTGTTAAAATTGGATTTTAGTGTGTTTTTGAATGCTGAGTGATGAAAATGAAAGCAAAAATAGCAGTAATTGCCACTAATCACTCATTCAAAATGTGAATTGTGAAATAATAGACTGTGTTTATATTACTCTGTGTTTTTTTCCCATTTGGTTTTAGCTTAGTTCCCATTTATTAATGCCTATTTAGTTAAAAGTTTCTTTGTCAATTTCCGAATCCAATAAAACCAAATCCATCAGACACTTGAAATTTAGCTTCAGTTTGTGTTAAAATTGGTTCTCTTAGTATGTGATTGAATACTGAGTGATGAAAATGAAAGCAAAATTAGAGTAATTGCCACTAATCAGTGAACTGTGAAGTGATTAATTGTGCTGATGAATCTTGCAGTTAAATTCTCTATTTAATCAAATCTTGAAAAACTTGTCACCGCAGGAAAATGGCAGAGCAAGAATACACAGTAGCATCAGACAGCGAGAACACCGGAGAAGAGAAATCATCATCGTCTCCTCCACCTTCACTACCCGAAATCGCCGTCGGAATCGACATCGGCACATCCCAATGCAGCATAGCTGTATGGAACGGCTCTCAAGTCAACATCTTAAGAAACACAAGAAACCAAAAGCTCATCAAATCATTCGTCACTTTCAAAGACGAAGTCCCCTCAGGTGGCGTAACCAACCAGCTCTCCCACGACCAAGAAATGCTCACCGGCGCCTCCATCTTCAACATGAAACGCCTCATCGGCCGCGTAGACACCGACCCCGTCGTCCACGCCGCCAAAAACCTCCCCTTCATGGTCCAAACCCTCGACATCGGAGTCAGACCGTTCATCGCCGCGCTGGTCAACAACGCCTGGAGATCAACAACTCCCGAGGAAGTCTTGGCGATCTTCCTCGTGGAGCTGCGTCTCATGGCCGAGACTTCGCTGAAACGCGCCGTGAGGAACGTCGTCCTCACGGTTCCGGTCTCCTTCTCTAGGTTCCAGCTCACGAGGATCGAGCGAGCCTGCGCTATGGCTGGACTCCACGTCCTCCGTCTGATGCCGGAGCCAACCGCAATCGCGTTGCTCTACGCGCAGCAGCAGCAGATGACTTCCCATGATAACATGGGAAGCGGGAGCGAGAGGCTTGCCGTTATATTCAACATGGGCGCTGGTTACTGCGACGTTGCAGTAACCGCAACCGCTGGTGGCGTTTCCCAGATCAAATCCTTGGCGGGAAACGCCATCGGAGGCGAAGACATTCTTCAGAACATGATGCGTCACATCGCGCCGCAACCGCAAGAAGCTTCTTCTTCTTCGACGGCGGCGCTTCGTGTAGCGACGCAGGACGCGATTCACAAGCTGTCGAGTGAGGACAATGCGCAGATCGAAGTTGGTGATAAGATCTCCAAGGTTCTTGATAGATCGGAGTTCGAGGAAGTGAACGAGGAGGTTTTCAAGGAATGCGAGAGGCTTGTCACGCAGTGTCTGAGGGATGCGAGAGTGGAGGGTTGTGATATCGACGATGTGATCATGGTGGGAGGTTGTTCTTGTATACCGAGAGTGAGAGAGGTTGTGAAGAAGGTGTGCAAGAAAGATGAGGTTTACGGAGGAGTGAATGCGTTGGAAGGTGCGGTTAGAGGAGCGGCGTTGGAAGGTGCGGTGACGTCAGGGATTCACGATCCGTTTGGGAGCTTAGATTTGTTGACTATACAAGCGACGGCTCTCGCCGTTGGGGTGAGAGGTAACGGGAACAGGTTTGTGACGGTGATACCGAGGAACACGATGGTTCCGGCGAGGAAAGATTTGTTTTTCACGACGGTGAACGATGGTCAGAAGGAAGCTTTGGTGGTTGTGTATGAGGGAGAAGGAGGAGAGAGTGTTGAAGAGAATCATCTTCTTGGGTATTTCAAGATCGTTGGGATCCCGGAGGCGGGGAGAGGGGTTCCGGAGATTAATGTTTGTATGGATATCGATGCGTCGAATGCGTTGAGGGTTTTCGCGGCTGTGTTGATGCCGGGGTGTTCGAGTCCGGTGGTTCCGGTGGTGGAAGTGAGGATGCCGACGGTTGATGATGGACATGGTTGGTGTGCGCAAGCTTTGAATGCGAAGTTCGGGTCTGCTCTTGATTTGGTTACTCTTCAGAGGAAAATGTAAAGTTTGAAATGGAAATCGGTTGGTGATAGATAGATTTAAGAATCATGAGATGTTTTATATGTGAGAGTTTAGAGAAGAGTTTGTAAGTTTTGGGTTTGTTTGTGTTGAAGTGGTGAACAATGTTTATAATGTGTGACAAAGTAATAACGTTATGCAGATTGTATAATAAAGAGAGAGTTCTTTGTTGTGTTGGAAGTCTTAAACAGATTCTTAAGACAATCCGTAATGAACCAAACAAAGCTTGGGGTTCAAACTCATTGTCATTGCCCTTCAAAGACTAATAAGTATGAAAAAATCGCTAGAAGGAGGGGTCGAACCTCCGACCTTGTGGTTAACAGCCACACGCTCTAACCAACTGAGCTATTCCAGCTTTCATGAAGTATTTAGCTTCATAAAGTTTGTAATTGTTTGTTTGATTGAATTAATTAACGATTACACTTTTGTTTTCTTTGATAGGTATATTATATACATACTTACCATGAATCATGGGGCCGTGATGGCCGTTTTATTCGACTGTATCAAATTATATTTGATTCTATTAAATGACTTTCGTTTTAATAAGTCAGAGAAGTCCAAATGTATGTGTCTATCAAACTTTTTTGTTCCGTCTCAACTTTGATCTCATATCTAGATATTGACCCATATTTAGGTAGGTGTGGAACTTTAAGGTATTGGAGCCAAATTAGTTGTATAAATTTTGCCAAAAAATCCAATGTCCTAAACGTATTGTATCACGTGCTATGTATTGACTACAAATACATTGCTCATTTGTATCACAAGTATCTGTTGCAACTGAACACCAAATTAAGAAATCGTTCGGGTAAAAATTGTTAGGATAAATGCTTGACTGAACAAAATATGACCCCTGGACTGCAAATTTGAACACTATAAATCTTTTAAGCAAATTCTTTCCTGGATTCTTTTTATAAATCGCTTGGAACAGTGAGGGGATTGGCATAATTTGGGGGAGCATGACGACTAACGAGTGATCAAATAATAGTAACTTTGACAGATATTTTCCTACTTACCTTAGATTCGCACGCAGCACAATAAATACATGAAAGCTCTACTGTACATTTGACCGATATTTGCTCTCTCTCTAACACATACTCATAGAGACACGAACACTAAATCAAACAAAAAACGTAAAAGTTGTATTGACCAATCAAACCAAGTTGTTGGGCAAAGTTGGAGACAAGCGGCAGAAAACCAGGCACCATTTACCAACTCGAAAAGTATACTTAAATTGTCTATTAGTTATTATTATGAATGTTTTGACTCATTAACTTACTAGTTATATACATGCATCTGGCGATTTAACAAAACCCATTTTTGACATGTTCATATACAAAATAATCGTCAAACTTAGTTGCATATAATATAATGAAACTCATAAGCACATTTCTAAAAGTAAAAGTATACTATTACACATGCACATCTCATCCGGTAAAAGGCATGATTATCTCATTGCAAAAACATTTGCTTTCTTCCCATTGCAGTAAATTATGAGCCAAAACTCAAACTAATAATGTGAAATTGTATAAAATATGAATTTTTGAAATCTATAGCGAAAAAAAACTAAGACCTTACTCTTATAATTTTCAGAGTAAAACTTTCAACCATTAAACTACCATGCATCGATTGATTTTTTTTTATCGTTTGTTCAAAGATTTAACACATAAGAACTATTTAGACCTATATATATTTAAGTTTATCATTTTCTAGTAAAGAAATTATACCGTGTTTGGTTCCAAAAATTATTCTCAATTGCGAGGGTCTAGGCTAGTTTAATTTCTTTGGTGAATAAGACAAAAGGTATGGTCTTATTTTTACCAAAACCAACTAACTTTTTGATTCTTTGTCATTTTTTTCCCCCCTATAAATTGCACAATTATTATAAACTATTAACAACAATTATTGTAGGTTATTTGGTCGAGTGGACCTTCCAACATCCGTCCCTAAGGATTCTCAATTATCTTGTCTTTGTCTCACATTGTGTTATGTGTTAAATCTAATGGAAAGAAGCGAAAACAAATAGGTATGATTATTAAACTGAAGTACAAACAATATTGCTTTATCAATTTGTACCGAAACAATACAAGCAAGATATGTAGCATTCCTTTTGATACAAGCAAGATATGTATAGCATTTCTTTTGAATATTTAACATAAAAATTGAATTTCTGATACGTGGATACAGCTTGAATGCAATGTTAATTCGATACATACAGAATCAAATTAAATATCATATGATGTAGTAAACATTAAAAAGTAGATTAAGTAACTGTGAATGCATTTTGGTTGATGTTTGCCCTTGTACTAAAGTATGTTTTATAGTAATATTTGAAAACGAGATCCATGCCTTGATAGAATATAAGCAAACTAGAGAGTTTATCGATACCTCAAGCTTTGTACTTCGGTGATACTTCACTGTCTACTCAAAAAAATGCCTTCACTGATTAGACCAGGTTCAAAAAATTCTTTAATTTAATTATTTGATTTAAAGCTTCCGGCGAACTAGCTACCTCCGAACAAGTTTTGTCCGTATCGTAAAATAAGATTTAATTTAAAACAACAACCCAAAAGTAATATGCATACGCCTCGATCCTCAATAATGCTTAAAACATTCGCATATCATTAGACAATAATTACATTTGAGCATTCGGTTATAATGCTTGCAAAATTATTACTAAAAATATAAAACTGTCAGTAGTTTCAATTCTGTGTCGCCTAACTACTTTTCAATGAAGACGTTAACGGAAGAAGAAGAAAAAAGAAAGTTAGATTCACTTAATACAGTGGACTGGGCGTCTGTTTTTGTAACCCCTGCCGCCGCCACGTCAGCATATCCGATGTTCGTCAGACAAGAGTGTGACCAGTATGTCTGAGAACGCTCTGATGACGAACTTGTGTGTGTCGGTTGGATTCAACGAGAGATAACTAAGTAGCAGCTCGTTCAAGAAGTCGTAACCGTCGTCGGGACCGCTAAGATCTCCGGCGACCATTGCGGCGTCAATCATCTCCTGCATTGATCGCCGGAAGTCAGTTAACGGATCAGGTGAGTACACGTGTTGCTTAACCGCGGTCCCTCCGCTAAGAAGCCTCGTAGTATTCATGGTAGCTTCGTACTTTTTCTTCTTTGGATTAGTAGTGGCACTATCGTAATTATCAGAGAGCTCTCTTGACCGGGATTCTGGTGAGTCGGTGATTGCATTGGACCGGCCAGGGGAAGAGAAGAAGAAGCGACGGGAAGCGAAAGCGGCAGATAAATCAGGAGAAATGTCGTGGTTATCAAACTCATATGATGACGTGGCGGAGGAGGAGGTGGTTGTGGCGGTGGAAGAGGAAGGTAAGTCAACGACACGTTGGTCGTGGTTGTTGTCGTCGTGGTAGAGGAGGTTGAAGTTGTTGATGAGAACGATAGAGGGACGGCTAGGATCGTCGGCGGCGGCGGCGGAGGGATGAAGGCACGGCGACGAAGAGTAGCATTTTGCGAGATTTGACGGGAAACAAAGATGGAGGCTTTTCCACATGATTTTTGGCATTTTTCTAGAGAGAAAGAGAGAGGAGAGGAATTAAGAGAGAATAAACGTATCGAGCAAATGGATTTGTTGGCTTATTTTGTAGCATATATATATCCACAGACCACGATGTCACGTTACGTTTATAACAAAGGGTACTTATGTAATCTACGAGTTACGATAATTAATTAGTCAATTACTATCAATTCTCTCATTTTCAAGAATCGTAATGCAGCTACCAAGACTCTGAATGTTGACTATGTTCACCAATCGCACCACATGCACTTATGCTGTGAGTTGCAGAGCATACCGAGTGTAATTAGTAAAGTATTTAGAGCAGTTATTAGGATCCGTATTTTACGTGTGTATTTATGAAACATTTTACAAAGTAGATACGAAAAAGCAATATGAGAACATATGTATAGCCTAAATGGTGTTGCACGTTCTAGTGAATGTGAAGATTCAGATATTTACCTTTTTTAGTTTTTTTTCTTTCTTTTGGTTTTTATAGGTTCTGGTTTTGTATTTATTTACTTTATTTCTTAACACTGACACACAAAGCTGCATTCAACGTGGGGATGTATAATGTATTTCTTTATTCGTGAAATTTATTTAATTATTTTGATTTGTTCATACAGCCATATAGTATAGTCACAGTTACAAAAATTGCAAAACATGAAGAATGATTGTCCTTGCAAATTACAGAAAGAGCTCACGAGGATGAAAAAATTCATTCACCACCTAGATTGGTCCACTCATCATGGCGTAAACTCCAAAATATGTGAAGTTCAAGTACGCCTACTCCTCCTGTGTGGTCCTGGTTTCGGCCCCCACCGGTCCGATCGACAAGGTCAAGTCGAGTTATCACTGGTCCGACCAACCAGATCACTTTGGGTCGAATTTTTCACAAGAATTCCTATAAATGTTTAGATATCAATGCCTATTATCACAAATATTAAATCTGCCCATTTCTTTATTACTCCCTCCGTTTCAAATTAGTTGTCGTTTTGGCAAAATGTATCTGCAAATATTTGGACGTATCTGCAATGCAAAACATGTCTAGATACGTCCAAATATTTGCATATACATTTTGCCAAAACGACAACTAATTTGAAACGGAGGGAATACATAATTAGGGAGTATATGAATATATGATTGGGTAAACAATGGCAAAAGATGGAGATTAATTCATACACATAAAATCACTATCCAAACTCTCACAACTTCATATAGTTTAAAGAGAAAATAATCTATGATGCTTTTAAATGGTTAGTTCCCCAAAACAGATAGATAATTTGGATATGCGAATCTATATCCGATGTATGCACATAGACGTTGAAATTTTAGATACACGATAGAATGATCCGACCCGAGACGCATATAACCTGGCTATAATATTGGCGAGACAACAGTGGACCGGTGGTACCACATTGCGTAGTTATCCAGCACCAGAAAAGATTCGAACTCATCTTTCATACGGATAAATTTTTGTTTATGTGGGCCAAAACAACAAAATATAGCTATCACATATTTGTTGTTACCTAAGCTAGTCTTGATTCGTTCAATTTTCCATCACCCAATAACATCCACAGAAACGGCAAGAGTGATGGATTGAACGTGTCTTGAATCTATAGCAAAGATTGGTAATCTTATGGTAAGTTGTAATGCCTTAAGACCATTATGCCCATAATTATGTTGTTGTATGGACCAACAAACTTAGCCCCACAAATTGATAGTAGTACCCTGTTAATTTCTTAGATTGGAGTTTTGAGATTGAGAGTAGCTTTCTCCATTTTGCTACTAATGTTTTTTTTTTTGGTAACCGGGTTTTCCTGTGGATGTTGCAAAGGATAATTTGGGTCCGGTTCGGTTCAGCATTGGTTATTACTGGTTTTATCGAACTCTATGGTAATTCGGATCGACCCGCATTTGAGATATTTTATCCAGGTCGAACCGGGAGTGTAGCACCTATACGACCGGACTGTCTAAGTCATAAATTCATAACTGTCTAGGATTCAGCACCAAAAATATCTCCAGTTATGAATGAATGGTTGTGCTTAGTTAAGTCTCTCTCTATCTTAACTAATTCTATCTCTTGGGTGTTGTTACAGGGACATGGGAACTAGTAGACAAGAAAAAGTCATTAATGCGATATACATCCAAGATTCAAAGCACATGAGCTTCGAAGCGTAAGTTGTCAGAAAGTGAACATCAAACCTAGACATAGACTCTCAAGATTGTTCCAAAACTCTCCAGCTATGAAACGGAACAGGAACATGTTCTTTACACATGCAGTCTTAATTAATTATCGTGTTCCAACAAGCTTATTTATTTTCACTTTTATTTTACTCTATTAAGTACTCATATCACAAACTTCACGTTTACTCAGATCGACTTGCTACCTCTAATCCGTTTCCTGCAAAAATTGAAAGCAAATCTACAAGTTGTTGGGGATGCTCCTTCTGAATAACAAGAGTAATTAACAGACTAATTAACTTATAAGAGCAAAAGAGATAAATTACCATCTGGATCAAAGAAGAAGACTTGCTTGACTTTTCCATCAGGAAGAGACTTCTGGAAAGTTTCTATCCCTTTCTCCTAAACATCATTTAACGACACAAGAGAAGATCAATGAAACGATAATTAACTTTAAGTCTATAACTAATCAATACTGAAACGATCTGCAAACACTAGATGATCGCTACAAGACTTAACAGAGTAAGGTGTTTGCGCTTCTGAGGAAGCAAAATTTGTTTTAACCAGTCAAAATTCAATACCGACCATATCCATTCCTCCTGATTCTCACTAATCAAAGCTTATGTGTAAACAAGAAAAAGCAATGCAATGCAAAGAAACAAGACCTTGAGAGAACGAAGGAAAGAGTCGAAGTTGGAGACGGTGAGGCAGATATGGTGACCCATTGGGAGATGGCTAGGATCACGAACCGCTGAGGTGGCACTGTAAGGACCTTCAGGGAGGTTCGTTGAAGTGTTTCTCTGGATGATGTGCATTGCAAAAGCACCTGCTAAGTTTAGCCATATCACTTTTAGGTCTCCAAAATCAGGGCTCTCGATCTCCTCAAACCCAAATACCTGAAAAATTATGACACACATATCAAGCCATTTTGGAACAAGAGGAAACAGAGTTAAATCAAAGAAAGATGAGGAAGAAGAAACAGTCACTTAATCAAAAAGATTAAAATTACAAAAGAGTGAAAGACACTAACTATATAACTAAATCTCAATTCTTATTCTCTTCCAAACATGGACAGACGAAGAAACAGCCACAAAAGCACCACAAATCTCTATCGGAAACGCCAATTTGCAAATCCAAGATTCTAGTGCAGATTGGTAATCAGTCAATACAACGATTTCTGAAAGAAAATAGAGAAGAATTAAGAAATCAGAACCTCTTTGTAAAACTGGGCGAGGCGTGTGACGTCGGATGATTCTCTGGCTATATGGCCAAGACTCGCCATGGCAAAGCTATTCAAAGAAACTCAGAAACCAAAGTTACAATCTGCTAAAAAAATCAAACTGGTTTGAGTAGTGAAACAAAAATGGATTAGTAAGTAACGCCAGTCATCATGATTACGTAATTCTGGGTTACGTGGCATAGCCTCGTCACAACACATCTTCAATCAGACAATACCGCTAAAATAACCGACCAATCAGAAAAACCTGAACCCCGAACCAGCAATGTAACCGGTTCAACAACCGGTCCGATGTTAAACCCAACTTCTCGTAATCTTCCTCAATCTATCATTTTTCAATCGCACTCTCTCTTTACCTCTCAGATCAGACGTCAATTCAACTCATCACTGAAGCGATTTCACCGAAAATTTTCTCGGATTTTCCGCCTTGCCGATCGATCGCTTCAGGAGTTAACATGGAAGGGAATTCCGGCGGAGGAGCAGCAGGCGGAGGACCGGCAGCTGGAGGAGGAGGAGGAGGGAGCGATGTGGAATTGGTGAGCAAGACGTTGCAGGTGGAGCATAAGCTTTTCTATTTCGATCTCAAGGAGAATCCTCGCGGTAGGTACCTGAAGATATCGGAGAAGACGTCGGCGACGAGGTCAACCATCATCGTCCCTTCCTCCGGCATCTCCTGGTTCCTCGATCTCTTCAATTACTACGTCAATTCCGAGGAACACGAGCTCTTTAGCAAAGAATTGCAGCTTGATTCCAAGGTCCAACAACTTCCTTTTTAAGAAACTTCATCACTCTCCTCTTGTTCGATCGTTGACTTTGTAACTCTTCAATTCTGTTTAGGTGTTTTACTTCGACATCGGTGATAACAGGAGAGGACGCTTCTTAAAGGTATCAAATTTCTTGTTTTCCTATACGAAGCTGAAGCCTTTAGATTGGATTGTTTAGGAATGTTCTTATCATATTGGTTATGAGATTTGATGGCATTTCTCAGTTGGAATTTCTGATGGGTTTTGATCTGGTTTAGGTGTCAGAAGCATCGGTTAGTAGAAACCGAAGCACCATCATCGTTCCGGCTGGAAACTCACCTGATGAAGGATGGGCAGCTTTCAGGAACATATTGGCTGAGATCCATGAAGCGTCAGGGCTTTTCGCCATGCCTAATCAGGTGGTATCTCGTCCCTTAGTTTTACTAAGCTCTCTCTGTTTCTCTAAGTCTCATTCTGTCATTCTCTGGAAAACAGAAATCTTCTGATGGCGAACATCTGGTTGGACTTTCAGATGATGTTGGAGCTGGATTCATACCTGGCCATGGTAGCCAGCCACCTTCTTCTTCAGAACTTTCCGTGGATCGAGCAGCTGACTCGCCGGGCCAGGATGAAACCGGTTTGACTGGTGTTTCTAAGGTTATCAGAGCCGACCAGAAACGTTTCTTCTTTGATCTTGGTAACAACAACAGAGGCCATTTCTTGAGGATCTCTGAGGTAACCTTAAGAAGAATTATCTTTGCTGTTGTTGTAACTCTTGGTTTTTGGTGGTTCTTAATCCATGAAACTATAGGTGGCAGGTTCTGATAGGTCTTCGATCATCTTACCGTTATCGGGTCTAAGGCAGTTTCATGAAGTGATTGGTCACTTTGTGGAGATCACCAAAGATAAGATTGAAGGGATGACAGGTGCAAATGTGAGGACAGTTGATCCTCCTCAGAGATGAGTGTGTGTTTGATTCTTTTTTAGGGGATGGAATTTTGAAATGGATAAGTCCATTTCGAAATTTTCCAATCCTCTAAACAATTCGAATCTGGCGACTTGAAAGTAGCTTTGTCTGATTGATCCCGGTGTGCAAATAGCTTCACGTAATTTATCACCACCATTCACATCTTCTAAAATAATTCAGCAGGATGATCATCAATTTGGGTTAAATAGCAGATAACAAAAAGTATGGAGTCTGCAACTGGGAATAAGCTGAAATCACCATCCACCATTTGTCTCCATCTCTCCCTCTCTCCCTCGTTCCTCCTTCCTCTTAGTAGACAGTTTGAAAATGGTGAGTCCTCATTTGGTTATGTTCTGTTTTAACTTCTTTTTTTCCTTTCTAAGTTTGGGTCATTGGGTGTATATTTGTTGACTGCTTTATGCATTTCAATTGTAAAAGAATATTGGGTTTATATGTTTGGGCTAATGCCAGTGGTAATAAAAGTTGAAGTGAAGTCTACCATTATTGATCTAGAGAGTGCCGTGTTTGAAAATAACTAACTTTTGTGTTTTTAACTAGCCAAGCACATAGATGTTTTGCTAAACAGATCAAATTCCATTAACGAAGTGCTAGTTTCAATCCAAAGAAACCCAGAAAACTACTTTGTTCTCCAACCACTGGAGGAGTTGAAAGTTGTAAACACTAGCATGCTTTGGTCATATAAAACTGATTATGCGATCTCGGGTAGACCAAATTGTGACTACAAAATCATTTCAAGAAAATCATAACCCAAAGTGGGTATAAAACAGAGAAACAAACAGCTTGTGCTGAAAAAAGGGAAAATATCAGTTTCAGACACAGTGAGAGAACAAAAGGTCAAAAGCGAAGATAAGTAAAGTCGGTGATCTATAATACACTCTTCAATAAACCCTAGTCTGTACTATCGCCGCCTTCTCCAGAACCACTTTCTCTCTCTCATCTTCTTCATTTCAAGGTTCAAATCCTCACACGTTTATCATCTATTCATTTACATGTCTTTCGATTCAATTATGTGTGAGATTTATGTGATCAAAAGGTTTAAGATCTTCGCCGATTGATTTATTTTTGTTTGTTAAATCGATTGCAGATATGATGAAACAAGAACGGATCTTGCTCTAGTTTTTTTTTTCCGACTTCTAATCATCATCATCATCATGTCGCTGTTTCTCAAGGACGATTCGATTCAAATCCGCGAGGTATGGAACGACAATCTGGAATCGGAAATGAATCTGATCCGAGAAGTCGTCGACGATTTCCCTTTCGTCGCCATGGACACAGAGTTCCCCGGAATCGTCTGCAGACCCGTCGGAAGCTTCAAGACCAACACCGAGTACCACTACGAAACCCTAAGAACAAACGTCAACCTCCTCAAGATGATCCAGCTCGGACTCACCTTCTCCGACGAGAAAGGAAACCTCCCGACTTGCGGATCCGATAAGAAATACTGCATCTGGCAATTCAATTTCCGCGAGTTCGATCTCAACTCCGACATCTACGCCCACGACTCCATCGAGCTTCTCCGCCAATCGGGAATCGATTTCGCCAGAAACCGCCAATTCGGAATCGATTCGAACCGGTTCGCGGAGATGCTGATGTCATCGGGGATCGTGCTGAACGAGAGCGTCCACTGGGTTACGTTCCACAGCGGATACGATTTCGGTTACTTGCTGAAGCTGCTGACGTGTCAGAATCTGCCGGAGACGCAAACGGGATTCTTCGAGATGATCGGCGTTTATTTCCCGATGGTTTACGATATTAAGCACCTGATGAAGTTCTGTAACAGCCTCCATGGAGGTCTGAACAAGTTGGCGGAGCTGCTTGACGTGGAGCGAGTCGGGATCTGTCACCAGGCAGGATCGGATAGCTTGTTAACGTCGTGTACATTCAGGAAGCTGCAGGAGAGTTTCTTCATCGGCTCAATGGAGAAGTATTCTGGGGTTTTGTATGGTTTAGGTGTTGAAAATGGTCAGATTGTTCACTGAGAAAATAAGTGTTTCTAAATTATGAAGAAAGAAAATGTTGAAAGTTTATAACAGTTTCTTTATTTAGATTCGTTGAGTTTGTTTAGAACTGTTACATCACATATTAGATTGTTTGAATTATGGCCACAAGCCCACAATTATACTCGAAAATATGGTTACGTATTGATTATTCCAACAGATATATTACGGTTACAGAGTTTTACAGTATAGTTTGCAAAGCCTAATATCACAATGAGGAAAAGAATCAGCTTATTTTGTGGATTCTGTGAAGTGTTTTAAGTTTTAAGTTTTTAACCATCTAGAGAGGATATTGGGAAAGATATGTTAGCCCTAAACGACACCGTTTTAGAGAGGCCCCAATTTATATAAATGGGCCAGAGAAGCCCATTAAAGTTGCCCAGGTTTACGATTCGTTCTCAGTGGAGTATTCAGGGTTCGTAAACCCTAATATATAAATTGTTGCTCGATTTTTTCCTCTCCTCCAATTCTTCGTTGTAGCCTCCTCTCTCTCTTTAAGGTTAGTCTCTCACTCTTTTCCACAGTTCATCGATTACTGCAGTTGTACGAATTTGGTCTGTGTGTTATGTATGTGGTTATCGAAATTTCTTCTTATCCCTGCCGATTTTGCTGCAATCGAGTTAAGGTTTTTGCTTTGGTTTATTTGGCAGATTTAAGAGCACTTTTGCTTTTCTTCGTTCTTAAAGGCAATTCAAAAAGTCAACATGTCTGGGTAAGCTTCTCTTTTGATGTAGCTATGTTGAATATGACTACATTTCTCTAATCTACTGAATCTGTGGTGAATAGTGAGGTTTAGGGATTGTAGTTTCAGTTTTAGGTTGATAGATCATCATACTTGAATTGGATTTCTCCATTTTATAAGTCTCTAGACAATTGAGCTGGGTATTGATTATTGGTTACATCAAATGTAGATTTCTTCATATGCTTCATAAGTATTTATATGGCTGAGTCTTAATCTTTCGGTTTTTTTTCCTTTTTTTTTCTAGAGATGAAGCTGCACCTGCTGTTGTGCCTCCAGTTGCTGAGGCAGCTGCTGCTGCAATCCCAGAGGACATGGATCTGTTGACCGCATTGGAGTTGACACTAAGGAAAGCTCGTGCTCACGGTGGTGTGGTTCGTGGTCTCCATGAAAGCGCTAAGCTTATTGAGAAGCGTGTTGCTCAGCTCTGTGTCTTAGCTGAAGACTGCAACCAGCCTGATTACGTCAAGTTGGTCAAAGCTCTTTGTGCTGACCACAACATCAATTTGCTTACAGTTCCAAGTGCCAAAACCCTCGGCGAATGGGCTGGTGTAAGTAGTCCTTCTTTCGTTCTTTTTTGGTTAATGTTCGGTTGTTTTGGTTCTTACTCTATGGATCAATGTAAATGTAATAATCTTGAATGTGGTTGCAGCTCTGCAAGATTGATTCAGAGGGAAATGCAAGGAAGGTTGTTGGGTGCTCATGCCTTGTAGTCAAGGTAATGAGTCTTTCACATTCTTTCTTAATACAAGAATCTTAGGAACCACTAGTTACTTATTGACTTGGTGTTGTTTATGTGTTTACTGTTACAGGATTACGGTGAGGAGACAACTGCTCTCAACATCGTCAAGAAGCATATTGAATCTAACTAAATCAAGCCAAGTCAAGTTTCAGATGCTTTTCATCCCTAAAGAACTGCATTTTTTTTTTCATCTTCATGTGGCCACTCTCGTTTTCTTTGCTTTTGATATTTATTACTTAGTAGACATATCTTGAGATTTGTTTTGGAACATGAAGTTTTGATGTTTGTAGGGATTTTATCAATTTCCATGACCCAATTCGCTCCTTGAGATTTCATGTTTAGCTCTCTATATTCTTCTTGAAATCAAACTTCAAAAAAAAAAGAAAAGTAAAAGAACAAGTCAATATACTAGATTCAAAACATTCGATTTCATTAAAATAATAACAGTCCAAATTTACCTACTATGAATAAAAGAAAGCATTATTATCTTCATCATTCATCCCTCTTGATCTTGTATCTCGCTCGATACTGACGGTGGTGCCTTGTAGTGACATTAATGGCTGTTTCAGTTTCATCTTCTTCCATGGCGTTGATCTCTTCTATTGTCTTCCATGGCATTGGTTCAGTGATTCTTAACATGTAGAGATACTCCATGTACTCTCTTCGGCTAGATTCTTCATCTACTTCCTCACATTCATCAAATGTATATCTTGTGTATTTTGTTGGACTCCTCATACAATCTGCAATCCCAGATAGATCCTCTGTCTCGCTGGAGGAACCATATCCTTTGTCGTCATTCACATCATCGGTGCGACTGTAAAGTTCTTGGCCTGACGCCACTAAGTCGTTTTCATCTTCTTCTTCCTCTGAATCGAGAGTAGAGTCCATCCCGATTGAGGTTTTGATCTCCCGCCAGTCCTCGCCGTTGATATCTTTAAGCTTATGAGATACACTAGACGGTGTTTCTTCGTCTCCGTCGACGCTCAAATCGTCCGGGAAGCTTCTGCTCAAGTCAAACTGATAAGGGCTTGGTCCCCAAGCCTTGTTCTCTCTGCTCTGTTCGTTTCTATTACAGACCTTGTCGTCCGCTAGATACCAGAGAGAGGTCGGAGGTAATGAAGTAGACGCGGTTGATGAGGATGAGAGAGCTCCAAATATCTTGTCCATCTTCGCTCTGAAATTATCTTCCATTGCTTTCTTCTCTCGTCTACTCGTCTTTATATAATGCCTTTGGTAATTTGTTTTCCTTATTTGGTTTGGTTTACAAATTCCTTTTTCTGATGTGATTTTTAGAGAGAAAAAAGGAGAAAGTAGACAAAGAGAATGCAATGGTATTTTTTTTTTTCATATAATAAGATTATTTATTTACACATAGAAGAGAAATCACATTTGAAAAAGGAAAAATGCTTGGAAATTGGAAGGAAAATACAAATTTGATTATTTTCATCCATTCGTTCCGTAAATATCACGGAATCTCTTTTAATAACCCTATTAAGCTTTCTTCTTTCACAATAGGTCACCATGAAAGCGCTAAGCTTATTGAGAAGCGTGTTGCTAAGCTCTGTGTCTTGGCAGAGGACTGCAACCAGCCTGATTACGTCAAGTTGGTCAAAGCTCTTTGTGCTGATCACAACATCAATTTGCTTACCGTTCCAAGTGCCAAAACCCTTGGCGAATGGGCTGGTGTAAGTAATTTTTTCCTTCTTTCTCCTTTTCATTTAACTTTTGATGATTTTCATTGTAATCTTGAATGTTGTTGCAGCTTTGCAAGATTGATTCAGAGGGAAATGCAAGGAAGGTTGTTGGATGCTCATGCCTTGTAGTCAAGGTAACGAGTCTTTCACATTCTCTCTTAATAACTTAGGAACCTCTAGTTACTTGTGTCCTGGTGAGCAATTTTTTTTGTTTTCCTTCATGTGGGCCACTCTTGTTTTCTTTGCTTTTGATATTTACTACTTAGTAGACAAATGTTGAGATTTGTTTTGGAACATTAAGTTTTTGATGTTTGTAGGGCTCTTATCAAATCTCAAATTCGCTCTTTGAGATTTCATGTTTTGCTCTTTATATTCCTCTTAGAAATCAAAACTTCAAACAAAGAAAAATAACAAGTCAATATAATAGATTTAAAACACTCAATTTCAATAAAAGAAAAACAATTCAATTGTACCTACTATGAATATAATTTGTAGGATTGTCTCCTTCATTCATTCCTCTTGATCTTCCTTGTCTCTGGCTCGATATTGACGACGGCCGTGTCTTGTAATGACACTGAGAGCTGTTTCAGTTTCATCTTCTTCCATGGCAGACACGTAGCCGTCTTCTTCTATTGTCTCCCATGGCGTTGGTTTGCTCTTTGGTGCAAAAGCCACTGATCTTGGAAACTCAACGAGAGTCTCATCATCAACAACCATAGCCTCGTCTTTGCTCCTTAACATGTTGAGAAACTCCATGTACGCTCTCCGGTTATATTCTTCATCTACTTCCTCACATTCTTCGAATGTATATCTTGTGTATTTCGTTGGATTCCTCATATAATCTGGAATCCCAGATAGATACTCTGTCTCGCTTGAGGAACCAGAACCTTTGTCGTCTCCGAAATCATAACTAAACCGAACACGCTTATACAACTTAGAAGAATCATCATCCTCGTTGTTTCCTTTCCTCTTCAATGTCGGTTCCAGCTCCTCACACTCGTCTGAGTCGTCGTCATTCACATCATCGGTGTAACCGTAAAGTTCTTGGCCTGACGCCACTAAGTCGTTTTCATCTTCTTCTTCCTCTGAATCAAGAGTAGAGTCCATCCCGATTGAGGTTTTAATCTCCTGCCAATCCTCTCCGTTTAAATCTTTATGCGATCGCGATACACTAGACGATGGTGCTTCGTCTTCATCGAAGCTCGAATTATCCGGGAGGCTTCTGCTCAAGTCATATTGAGAAGGGCTTGGTCCCCAACCATTCTTTTCTCTGCTCTGTTCGTTTCTATTACAGACCTTGTCGTCCGCTAGATACCAGAGAGAGGTCGGAGGTAATGAAGTAGACGCGGTTGATGAAGATGAGAGAGCTCCAAATATCTTGTCGATCTTCACTCTGAAACCATCTTCCATTGCTTTTCGAATTCGGGACGACGATAGAGAGTTTCTTTCAAAAAGTTTCTTCTCTCGTTGTCTCTACTTGTCTTTATATAATGCCTTTGTTTTTTTTTCCTATTTTGGTTTGGTTTACAATTTCCTTTTTCTAATGTGATTATTAGAGAGAAAAAAGGAGAAAGTAATTAAAAAAGAGAACCAAACAAAAAAAAAATGCTTGAAAATTGAAAAAGGAAAAATGCTTGGAAATTGTAACTAAACCAAAAAAAGAAGGAATTTGTTTTTGTTATATGAAGACGAGAAAGGCAAAAATACAAATTTGATGATTTTCATCTACTCGTTCCGTGGAACTCACGAAATCTCTTTAAAGCCCCTATTAAAGCACTCTTCTTCAACATCAAGTGCACGAGCTGTTGCGCCGAGCTGATATTGAAGACCGATCCACAGAATGAAAGTTATGTAGAAGAAGAAACCGATGATAAGAGAAGAAGAATGGTGGAGGCAGGAGATGAGAAGGAACCAAAGAGTAAAAGACATTTTTTTGGGTGCAAATGTGAAGTAAAAGACTTGCTTGTGGTAAATCCCAATCCAAATCTCCTCTGCTCGCATAATAACCAAGAAGCGTGTTGAGAAGCGTGTTGCTCAGCTCTGCGTCTTGGCTGAGGACTGCAACCAGCCAGATTACGTCAAGTTTGTCAAAGCTCTTTGCGCTGACCACAAGATCAATTTGCTCACTGTTCCAACTGCAAAAACCCTCGGTGAATGGGCTGGTGTAAGTAGTCTTTCCTTTTTGGGTTTATGTTTGGTTGTTTTGGTCTTACAGTGAAGATAAATGTAATATCATATGACTTTCATTATAAATTTAATAATCTTGAATGGGGTTGCAGCTATATATGCAAGATTGATTCAGAGGGAAATGCAAGGAAGGTCGTTGGATGCTCATGCCTTGTAGTCAAGGTAATGAGTCTTTTACATTCTCTCTTAATACAAGAATAGGAACCTCTAGTTACTTGTGATGTATATGACTTGTGTGTGGTGATTGATTGGTGTTGTTTATGTGTTTACTGTTACAGGATTACGGTGAGGAGACAACTGCTCTCAACATCGTCAAGAAGCATATTGAATCTAACTAAATCAAGCCAAGTCAAGTTTCATATGCTTTTCATCCCTAAAGAACTGCATTTTTTTTTTCATCTTCATGTGGCCAGTGGCCACTGTCTTGCTTTCTTTGCTTTTGATATTTATTACTTAGTAGACGACGGATGTTGAGATTTGTTTTGGAACATGAAGTTTTGATGTTTGTAGGGCTCTTATCAAAATCATAATTCTTCTTGATATCAAACTTCAGAAAAAAAAGAACAAGTCAAAATAATAGATTTCAAAACACTCGATTTCAATAAAATAAAAACAAATCAAATTTACCTAGGAAGCACTTTCTTCATCATTCACTCCTCTTGATCTTTCCTTCGCTCTGGCTCGATATTGACGTCGGCCGTGTCTTGTAATGACATTAAGAGCTGTTTCAATTTAATCTTCTTCCATGGCAGACGCGTAGCACTCTTCTATAGTCTCTCATGGCGTTGGTTTTCTCTTTGGTGCAAAAGCCACTGATCTTGGAAACTCAACGAGAGTCTCATCATCAACAGCCATAGCCTCATCTTTGCACCTTAGCAAGTTGAGAAACTCCATGTAAGCTCTCCGGTTAGATTCTTCATCAAATGTATATCTTGTGTATTTTGATGGATTCCTCATATAATCTGGAATCGCAGATAGATAAACCGAACCTTTGTCGTCTCTGACATCATAACTAAACCGAACACGCTTATGCAAGTTAGAAGAATCATCATCAAGGTTGTTTCCTTTCCTCTTCAGTGTCGGTTCCAGCTCCTCCTCCCACTCGTATGATTCCGTCTCAGAGTCGTCGTCGTCGTCGTCACTCACATCATCGGTGTAACTGTAAAGTTGGCCTAACGCTATCATGTCGTTTTCATCTTCCTCTTCCACTATATCGACAGTATAGTCCATCCCGATTGAGGTTTTGATCTCCAGACAATTCTCGCGGATGAAATCTTTAAGCTTACGCAAATATTTAAGCTTAAGCTTACGCAAATCTTTAAGCTTAAGCTTACGCGATACACTAGACGATGGTGCTTCGTCTTCATCGTCGCTCGAATCGTCCGGGAGTCTTCTGCGCCTCCAGTCAAATTGAGAAGGGCTTGGTCCCCAACCCTTCTTCTCTCTGCTGTGTTCGTTTCTGTTAGAGACCTCGTCGTCCGATAGATACATGAGTGAGCTCGGAGTCGGAGGTAATGAAGTGGACGCGGTTGATGAGGATGAGAGAGCTCCAAATATCTTGTCCATCTTCACTCTGAAAATTAGTTTCTTCTCTCGTCTACTCGTCTTTATATCATAATGCCTTTGTTTGTTTTCGTATTTTTGTTTGCTTTACAATTTCCTTTTTCTTAATGTGATTAGTGTTTTTTTTTTTTATATATATAATACGTTTATTTACACACAGGATAGAAGGGAAATCACATTTGAAAAGGAAAAATGCTTGGAAATTGTAACTAAACAAAAAATAGGCAGGACATTTTTTACTATATGAAGACGAGAAAGGAAAATACAAAAATTTGATTATTTTCATATATTTCTGCCGTGGAATTCAAGAATCTCTTGTCTCTTAAAAGTCGTCTTTCCTTGCAGCAATGGGTGAGCGAAAAGTAGTGAACAAATATTATCCACCAGACTTTGATCCCAAGAAGATTCCGCGGATCCGAAAACCGAAGAATCAGCAGCAGAAGAAGATTCGAAGTTCGAACGATGGTTCCTTTTCGCATACGATGTAACACATGTGGGAATTACATATCGGAAGGCACCAAATTCAACAGCCGTGAAGAAGAAGTTATCGGCGAGACCTACTTAGGGATCAAGTTACATAGGTTTTACATCAAGTGCACCAACTGTTGCGCCGAGCTGACACTGAAGACCGATCCACAGAATTCAAGTTACGTAGTCGAATCAGGTGCGACTCGATGTTATCATCATCACGAGGAAGAAGCGGAGAAGCAAGTTGAGGAGAGTGGGGATGTGATGAGTTCTTTAGAGAAGAGAGCATTGGTTTCTAAAAGAGAGATTGATGTTATGGCTGCGATTAGTGAGTTGAAATCTAGACGCATGTCGGTGAGTGTAGACTCTATGCTTGAGGCTTTGAGTAGAAGAGAAGAAGTTGCAAAAGATGAGGAAGCAGTGTTGGTCAAGTCTATCAGATTTGGTAAACAGAGGAGGATTGCAGAAGAAGAAACCGATGAGAAGAAAATGGATGACAAGAAACCAAAGAGTAAAAGACTTGCTTGTGGTAAATCTCTAATCCAAATCTCCTCTGCTCGCATAATAACCAAGAAGAAGATGAAGAAGACAAGTCTAGGGCTTGCATCACTATGCCACAGCTATGGTGCTTCAGATGAGGAAGACTGAATCAGGTTTGTTGAATCAATCTACAATCATGTTAGAGATTACTATCATTATTACTATTAAAGTAGGTTTCTGCAATTTTGATTACATTGATGTGGTAATGACATTTTGTTTCAATATTTTCAAGTATTAACCGAATACACTGAATCCCAAAAGATATGACATTTTACTTGTGACATAATCATCCTTAATTGGATTTCATCTCAATGTCTGCATCATCTTTAGCAACAGTGTCCGGAGAATCTCGAGGCAAAAGACCAAGAAGAGGAAGAGGAAGCAAAGAGCTAAGATTGCAGAGGATGATAAGAGTCGATAGGTTACCAAAACTGTCTTTTGTGATGCCGAATACTTGAGTCAGCCCTGCTCCCATAAGTCCACCAAGAACACTGCCTCCATTGGATATTGACATGAGTGTAGCAAATAGAGTTGCTTCCATTCCTTCTGGACATAATCTTGCAGCTAACACAAGAACCGGCATGAAGGAAGCCTGTTACAGTTTTGAGTTTAGATGTCAGTGCATTGATACTGACACATTCCAATAACGCTGCATGCATAACTATGGAATCATAACGCAAAAGCCTTGGAGAAACTTAAGCATAGACCTGAGCAAGAACTGTTAGGATTAGAGAGTCTCCGATAGCAAACCACTCGTCACTGATACCCAACTGTCTGTTAAAACCTGTCACAAGGAGAACCTGCAATACATAGGAACAGTCCCAAGAGTTACTGGTTGTGCAACAGTGATAGAAGATGGCGATGTTCTTCTTCTTATTACGTGCAGGAGGGACTAACCTGAGTCATCCCAAGACCCGAGCCAAATATGGTCGTCACGAGAAAGATTTTTCTCAATGGAACAGTCTTGAGGAATCCATTGTACAGTCCTACCCCAAGCAATGAGGCAATTGAAGTCACAAGTTTAACTCTTCCCAGAAACTCTGGAGTAAACCCGAGCTTGTTCGTTCTGATGACAAGTTATAACCAAATAGCATTAGTTAGCAACTTTAGGTACTTCCATCTTGAAAGGAAACCGTAAACCAAGTGAAAGAGGACATACGTGAAGTAAAACATTGCGGAATCAGAGTGCGGTGTGGCTTGCCACAAGAAAATAAACAAGGTCGGAAGAAACACATTCGGTTGCTTAATGGCACCCCATAGCTGAACCATGTTCTGCTTTGAGGTCTGAAGAAATCCAGGACTGACCAAGGCCATGTTCACTTTCTGCCCTGGTGCAGGTCTGACCACACGTTGTTCGTTCACGAGAACAGCAACCGCTGAAGTTAGCAAAGGTAGTAAAGCTGTCACCCCAAACACAAACCTGAGGTGTAACAGCTTTTAGAACGCCACCAAGTTAGTTATCTAAGCCACATGACACCACAAAAAGAGAAAGAAGGCTAATCGTGTACTGTACCTCACACCGTATGACTCCACCAGAGAGCCGCTAAAGTAGGAACTCACGATTCCACCAAAAGCTGAAGATCCCCAGCATAAGGACTGCAGAGATCCCGACACGCTTTGTGACTCACCACGAGCCCGTTCCACTACCATTGAGTCTACTACCTATTACAACTTAACCACTCAACAAGCTGGAATATCCATCTCTATCTTGCAGTTAAACCATTTAATGAGTTAGAAAACTTACAACGTCTGAAAAGGCGACAGAGAGTGAACCGAGAAGTATACAAGAAGCAGCGCTATATTTACTGTCAACAAAACCAGCCATCAAACTCCAAGAAAATGCACCAAGAAGTCCCGAGAGAACTAGATATGACCTCCTCCGGTAGCCAAACAGAGGCACTGAATCACTGTGAAACAGACCACATTCCTTAGATTATGCTCTTGGTCACAAATTGTAAACAAGTACAGAGGTGATGAAGGAGTCGTCATTGTACCTGATAAAACCGTAAAGAGGCTTAACAAGCCATGGCAATGAAGAAAGACCCGTAATCACAGCTGTCTAGTCAAGAATCATATTTTGTCAGCCTATAAAGAGAGAACTTTAAAAGCATTTCCAATCTATCAAGGAGATACCTCTGCAGGATCAAGATGCAAGTCGTCTTTTAAGTAAAAACTAACAGCGAGCCTCGCGAGTCCTAAAACACCTTGAACAAAATACACCATTGCTACAGCTACATTATCCGGAGATAACTCGACCCCGAAAACTTTTTTTCTGTTACTCAAGTTTCTTCCTTTACGAGGCTGTGTTCTAATTGAAGTATCTCTGTCTCCTTCAACATCCGTTTTCGATGCATCTCCTTCAGCTACACCTATAAAGCTCACACATTTCTCACATTAGCAAAGAGAAAATAGTTCATGACTTCATGTTTAGAAATCAGAAGGTAATTAAGAATGTTGTAATTAAATCAAGCATTAAATTCAACAAAAAAAAACTCACTTTTTTATTACTAACAAACAAAAATGCCAATTAATCAGTTGCTCTTAATTCAAAGCTTTCATTTTTGCTCGTAGCCGTTTTTGCCAAATACCCAAAACTTGAAAGCATAAGAAATTGATGAAAGATGAGGACTTACTAATTCTAGAATCTCGAAGCAGGTTTTCCTCTGACTCCCGCCGGCGAGGAAGCTCCGGGATTGAAACTACAGCGGACATATCTCTATCCGGAGGTCTCCGGCGAATCTTCCGGCGTGATACACGGTGGGATCGGGCGGCGATTGAAATGCGTCTTGTCCCGTTGTTGGTGGAGGATGAGAGAGAAGTGAATGGCAAAACTGTAATTTGGGAAGGTGAGATTGGGATAGAGAAAAGATTGTGAGTCGCCATTAAAATAGTTAAACCTTTCTTTTCTTTTTAGAAAACTCCGTGTTTTGTGGTTTGGAGTCTGGTTGTGGATGATCTTTCTTTTTTTTTGTAGATAAAATTCACTCTCTCTTTCTATTTTCATCACTAATACCATTTTTTCTGATTTATTTTCTTTATCTGCAAACTACAAGAAAAACATTCCAATTTGAAAAACATCACATAACAAATTATGCAATCTTCTGGTTAAACTCTCAAAGTTATCTACTCAAGATGTAAAAATGTGCATATGCATAAACAAATTACCCCACACAAACACTATATAATTATATATATGTCCTTTTAACATTACATATTCAAAATGTTCAAAAAAGTAAGAAAACACTACATATTTGATATTTTCGTATCGGCTTATACAATTAATTAATTAAAATATATACAATTTTCAATATCAGGTACATTCATACTATTCAATTGCCAAAGAGAATAAAATTAAGAAGCAGAAAAAGAAAAAGAAAAAACAAATAGAAAAAAATAAATTTAAATGGAAAAAACGACCACCCATGCTTTGCCATGTGGCACAATAAATAAGAATGACCAAATAAAATGTTTAAATGCGTCGGAGACTTATTTGACCGCGCGAAGAAGAAAGGAAAGTTCTACTCTTTTTTTTCAAGCTAATAAAAAAATCTGATCATTTAAATCGCGAAGTGTATATAAGTTGCCGTAGGAATCTGTGGAAAAATTCATAATCAAGAAAACCGAGAGAAACTTTCTTGGACCTCAAAAGTAAAGTAATCAAGAAAACTCATAATCAGAGATGGAGATCAAATCGGAGACTTCCTCGCCGCCAGAGAAAATACATCTCCGACCGATGACTCTCTCCGACATCGACGATTTCATGGTGTGGGCAACTGACTCCAACGTCACACGCTTTTGCACGTGGGAGCCTTACACGAGCCGAGAAGCCGGAATAGCTTTCATAAACGACGTTGTTTTGCCACACCCTTGGCTCCGAGCCATCTGCTTAGACGACGACCGTCCGATCGGCTCGATCTCCGTCACGCCCGTCGACAAGATCAGAGGAGAGATTGGTTATGTCATCGGAAGCAAGTATTGGGGTAAAGGGATCGCCACGGATGCGGTGAGGCTTGTGGCGACGGAGATATTCAAGGAGATGCCGGAGATGGAGAGGCTTGAGGCACTTGTCGACGTAGACAACGTCGGATCTCAAAAGGTTCTTGAAAAAGTTGGGTTTACTAGAGAAGGAGTGATGAGGAAGTTTATGAATCTTAAAGGAAATGTTAGAGATATGGTCATGTTTAGTTTCTTGCCTTCTGATTCTTTGCACTGATCTGATTTGGATCAACAAAGATCAAATTCAACCACGTTAAATTTCCAGAGAAAATTTCTTTTAATATACATGGACCATCGAAATTTGCATTTTGCTTAGTTTGTCAGTCACATATATAATTAGATCATTTGATGTCATGATGCTTTTTTTTTTTATGTTGTTGTACTTGTAAATTGTAACCTTAAAGATTTATACCCAAAAAAACTGTTCTATTTTTAGAGTACATGCCGTATTTTGTATATATCACTTCACCAACCATAAGAAAGGTCCAATATGCCATAAAAAGTTTATGTTTAGGTTGAAAAATTTAGAAGCACAAAATTATATGAAATGGAAAAAAAAGGCAAGATATAATGTGAAGAAATCTGTTAAGTTAAGTTAGGTAATGAATGAAAATCTGCAAAGTTGGGTAAATTTTTCAACTATCATGTTGAGTTTTGCGTTGACTATTACATTATACCACAATTATTAACAGTAGCAAAGAGTTTACTGTAATCACTTGGAAAAGAAAAAGTTGAATCCTCTTTGTAAAAGCAACCACATATATTTTGCCATGTGACATTAATGGGGAATCCCATTTGGAATTCTGATCTAGTATACTTTGTTTTGCAACCAAGTAAGTGTGGAAAGTCAATGGTCAAAATAGACAACAATCCATTCGAAAGGTGAAACGTCATCTTCTGCGTAGCTTCTATCAATAAATTAGTCGAATAATAACAATACAATATTACCAACTAACTTTAAACTATAATAAAAATCGAGTTTTTGCCTTTTTGCTAATCGCGATTCGGATGTATATAAAGATATCGCATTGACGTATAATGATGTGATATCTCAAACACTCGTTATCTTAAATGGAGACTCCACCAACCGTAGTTTCTTCGCCGTCGGCAAAAATATCACTCCGGCCGATGACTCTTTCCGACGTTGACGACTACATGGTTTGGGCCACAGACGCTGAAGTCGCACGCTTTTGCTCTTGGGAGCCTTGCACGAGCCGAGAAGAAGCCGTCAAGTACATAACCGATTCGGTCTTGACACACCCTTGGCTCCGAGCCATCTGCTTAGAAGACGACCGTCCCATCGGCTACATCTTGATCATGGCGGTCGATAATATCAGAAAAGAGATCGGTTATGTCCTAGCAAGAAAGTATTGGGGAAAAGGGTTCGCGACGGAGGCGGTGAGGCTAGTGACGGCGGAGATATTCAATGAATTTCCGGAGATTGAGAGGCTTGAGGCACTTGTCGACGTGAACAACTTTGGGTCTCAAAGGGTTCTTGAAAAAGTTGGTTTCACTAGAGAAGGTGTGATGAGGAAATTTCTATGTATTAAGGGAAGTGTTAGAGACACAGTCATGTTTAGTTTCTTGCCTTCTGATACTTTGAAGTGATTTGATCCAACAAAAATATTAATTCACATTCTATGTGTACGTTTGATATTGTGTATGATTCATATATAAAATATGATGCAAAACACTCAGTTTATTTATCTTTTTTTCTTCTGTATTTGTGAGCTTATTGATTGATTAATGCCTAAAATATTGTTAGAAATCTTACTTTGTAAATAGTAGAATAAATCTAAGTTTTAGCGTTGTAAATCTTTACAGAATCATATAACGTAAGAAGTAATGGAAACACAAGTACACAAAGTGGATGATGAGAAGAGTTTACAAAGCCAAAACTTATCTTTAGCACAACCGCGTTGCTCTCGAGTGAAAGAAACAAGATGAGACCACCGTCACATAAAATAAGAAAATAGCCATCCTAGCATAAGGATATATATAGTACGTAAGAAAACCATGTTGTTCTGTTACAAAAATCTCAAATTTAAGTTCTAATTTAAACAATTGCAAACACATTTTCGACATGGTCTATAAATGTGCAAACTCTACTACCATTAGATGCGTCTATTCCTTGGATTCTGACTCTGACAACCCTTTCAGTCTCGATATCATAGTAGTAAATGTAGAAAGGCACGTTGTGTTTCCGCGTGCGGTAGATTTGGGGTTGTGACAAGACAATTTCATTTCTCCGAGTCACTCCAACACACGTTAAACGACTGTCTCCAATGATATCTCGGCACGAAGGTGACAAGGAGTATGTATGCTCTGACCATTCCTCTTTTGCAGCATCTTGTAAAATCCACAACTTAAAACTACTAGTTCTCTTACAAACACAAGAAGTAAGACAGTTATGGTCTTCATCAGTGAATACTAGCGCTCCTAATTTACCATTATAGTTTATTAGAGTTCCAAAACACACGACTGCAGCGAGAGTTTCATTGAGATTAATACATCCGAACGTTTCAGACCTAACATCGAAGCAAACTAACATGGAAACCCTTGAAAACCTATGTGTCGCAGCTGGATAATAAAAAACACCACTGATGCATATACCATTGGCATTGATGTTCTGGTGACGGTAAGGATAATGAGGTATGCCACATTTGATCATTCTCCATGACGGCTCTCTAGTTATTCTCAGAACTTGATGCTCCTCAGACACCACGTTGTCTCTTCCACAACCAATAACAGAATAGGTCATGCACAAAACCTTGTACTGTTTTTGAATCGGATCATACACGAAATAGTTGCTTACACAAACCCCAATCCCCGTTACTTTGGGTAAGGGTAAGGTTAAGAATTGTCCAGTGGTAGGGTTACATATCACAGATACCGTAAGCCTCCTTCCCTCTAGATTTTGATCAGCTCTAAGAAAGAGCAAGCCTCTGATAGGAGGAAATCTTTCTTCTGATAAATAGAATTTAAAGGGTATTTTCATATGATAAGTGACGGCAACAGGAGACGAGTTCTTATTAGGGTTTTGAGGCTGAGGTGAGGAGAAGAAGAATAACTCACTGTTTTTTTGGGAAACGAATAAGAGCTGCGGACGAGAGGAAGTCCTTGTCAAGAACAGCTCCGTGAAATATGAACGGCGAGGTAAGGACGCCCATAACTTGGATACACAACAACATCTCCCTACAGATTTCGCCGGCAATCTCAAGAGTATCTCGACGATGACATCGACTGGGATCTGCTCTGAGTTTTCTCTTCGATTCTCTGCATCTTCCGAGACGTTAAGTCGGCGTGTTTTCATGGCTGAGACACTGGCAGTAACCCTAGATTCGGATTATTCAGGAAATATTTTAAAGCTATATGATAATGTGCATGCTGGGTAAGAGAAAGCCAATGTAGCCCAAAACTAGGGCCCATGTATGATTTTCGGTGGTGAGGACTGAGAGGACTTTGGATTATATGAATTGATTATGTGGTTGGTTAAAATTGTTACAAGTAAATATTTCCTATGCGTATTCTCCATCTCTGTGAAATCGTATGATTTTGTAATGGTTTAGTATAAGGTATTTGGTTTTTCTAATTTTGTTATGATTCAGTTGCCTCTCGGATAAAGTAGCATCGTGATCACTTTTAAAACGTTGCAAATGCAGGCAGGTTATCTACATTGATTAGTTGTGATATTAGGACCAGAATGCTCAAAGTTTATCAACCAGATTGCAGAATGGTATTCAATTGAATTCCTATTCTTTGATTTATTTATTTATTTCATTATGTAAAAGATGATGTAACACACTGTTTGGTTTTTCTCTTTATCTTCTGGATTTGTGAGCTTGTTGATTAACTAATGCCTACAGAAATCTTACAAAGATAAGTCTTAGCTTTCTAAACCTATAGATGACTAACGTAGAAAGCTATAGCTAAAACTTGTCTTTAGCACAACCATTGCTCTCGAGTGAAAGAAAAAAAAAGGCGAACACCGTCACATAAAAACAGAAAATAGCAATCCCATGGCATAATGACTGAAATAAAAAAAGGCTCATAGATATTCTGTTACAAAAAATCTATAATTATGAAGTTCTAAGTAGAAAACATTTCCATACGCTTCACATTCTCGACATGGTCTACGAATGTGTAAACTTTACGACCCTTAAATGCTTCCATTCCTTGGATTCCATATATTTGGATTTTTTAAACCTTTCCCCAACAACACTCTAGGATATATATATAGTACGTAAAAAACCCCATGTTTCTGTTACAAAAATCTCAAATTTGAGTTCTAATTTAAACAATTTCAAACACATTTTCGACATGGTCTATAAATGTGCAAACTTTATTACCAATAGATGCTTCCATTCCTTGGATTCTGACTCTGACAACCCTTTTTGTCTCGGTATCGTAGTAGTAAATGTAAAAAGGCGCGTTTTGGTTCCACGTGTGGTAGAGTTGTGACAAGACAATTTCATTTCTCCGAGTCACTCCAACAAACCTTAAATGACTGTCTCCGATTATATCTCGGCACGAAGGTGACAAGAAGTATGTATGCTCTGACCATTCCTCTTTTACAGCATCTTGTAAAATCCACAGCTTAAAACTACTAGTTGTCTTACAAACACTAGCCTTAATCGAGTTAGGGCCTTCAGTCAAAACAAGTGCTCCTAATTTACCATTATAGTTTATTAGAGTTCCAGAACACACGACTCCAACGAGAGTTTCATTGAGATGAATAAAGCCGAACGTTTCAGACCTAACATCGAAGCAAACTAACATGGAAACCACTGAAGACCTATATGTCGCAGCTGTATAATACAAAACACCACTGATGCATATACCATTGATGTTTATCTGGTGACGGTAAGGATGATGAGGTATGCCACATTTGATCATTCTCCATGACGGCTCTCTAGTTAATGTCAGAACTTGATGCTCCTCAGACACCACGCTGTGTCTTCCACCACCAGTAACAGTAGAGGTCATGCACAAAACCTTGTATTGTTTCTGAATCGGATCATACCCGAAATAGTTTCTTACACAAACCCCAATCCTCGTTACTTTGGGTAAGGGTAAGGTTAAGAATTGTCCAGTGGTAGGGTTACATATCAAAGATACCGTAATTCTCCTTCCCTCTACACTCTGATCACCTCTAAGAAAGAGCAAGCCTCTGATAGGAGGAAATCTTTCCTTTGAAAAATTAAAATTAAAGGGTATTTTCATATGAGAAGTGACGGCTACAGGAGACGAGTTCTTATCAGGGTTTTGAGGCTGAGGTGATGAGAAGAAGAATAACCCATTGTGTTTTTGGCAAGCGAATAAGAGCTGCGGACGAGAGGAAGACCTGGTCAAGAACAGCTCCGTGAAATATGAACGGCGAGGTAAGGACGCCCATAGCTTGGATACGCAACAAAACTTGGCTACTGATTTCCCAGGCAATCTCAAGAGTATCTCGATGATGACATCGACTGGGATCTGCTCTGAGCTTTCTCTTCTACTCTCTGAACCCTCTGAGGCGTTTGGTCGCCGTGTTTTTCGTCGCTTTGTTTTCATTGCGGAGACACTGCCGTAAAACCTAGATTCCCAAGAGTATTGTTGGGGAAAGGTTTAAAAAATCCAAATATATGTATGATGGAGTGTAGTGCATGCTTGCATGGTTAGGAGAAAGCCCATCAAGCCCAAAATTATGGCCCGTAAGCCCATTTGTCGAATTTGTACATGTGATGTTGTGATGCTTAATGCTTTCCTCAAATTTATTTGTGTCTCAGTTAAGTGAGGCTAGAAAAATAAACGGGAAAGTGAAGAAACAAATGTGTGCTTGACTGCTTGTGAGGCTGCTTTCGCTTCCCACGCACGAAATCCTATTTATCTATCATACTCCTATTTATCTAGCTAGTAGAACAAATCTAAGTTTTAGCTTTGTAAATCTTTACAGATATAACGTAATAACTAAGAAGTAATGAAAACACAACTACACAAAGTGTTGATGACGAAAAGAGTTTACAAAGCCAAAACTTATCTTTAGCACAACCGCGTTGCTCTCGAGTGAAAGAAACAAGATGAGACCACCGTCACATAAAAATAGAAAATAGCCATCCCGACCCGTAGCATAAGGATATATATATATATATTTTTAAATTTCCCCAACAACACTCTAGGATATATATATAGTACGTAAAAAACCCCATGTTTCTGTTACAAAAATCTCAAATTTGAGTTCTAATTTAAACAATTTCAAACACATTTTCGACATGGTCTATAAATGTGCAAACTTTATTACCAATAGATGCTTCCATTCCTTGGATTCTGACTCTGACAACCCTTTTTGTCTCGGTATCGTAGTAGTAAATGTAGAAAGGCACGTCTTGGTTTGACGTGTGGTAGAGTTGTGACAAGACAATTTCATTTCTCCGAGTCACTCCAACAAAACGTAAACGACTGTCTCCAATGAGTTCTCGGCACGAAGGTGACAAGAAGTATGTATGCTCTGAGCATTCCTCTTTTTCAGCATCTTCCAAAACCCACAGCTTAAAACTACTAGTTGTCTTACAAACAGAAGCATTAATCCTGTTAGGGTTTTCAGTCAAAACAAGTGCCCCTAATTTACCATTATAGTTTATTAGAGTTCCAAAACACACGACTCCGACGAGAGTTTCATTGAGTTCAATAAATCCGAACGTTTCAGACCTAACATCGAAGCAAACTAACATGGAAACACGTGAAGACCTATGTGTCGCAGCTGGATAATACAAAACACCACTGACGCATATACCATTGTGGTTTGTACGGTAAGGGTGATGAGGTATGCCACATTTGATCATTCTCCATGACGGTTCTCTAGTTAATGTCAGAACTTGATGATCCTCAGACACCACCTCGTGTCTTCCTCCATCACCATGATGAGTAGAGATGGTCATGCACAATACCTTGTATTGTTTCTCAATAGGATCATACCCGAAATAGCTGCCTACATAAACCCCAATCGTCGCTACTTTGGGTAAGGGTAAGGTTAAGAATTGTCCAGTGGTAGGGTTACATATCAAAGATACCGTAATTCTTCTTCCCTCTAGATTCTGATCAGCTCTAAGAAAGAGCAGGCCTCTGATAGGAGGAAATCTTTCTTTTGAAAAATAAAAATTATAGGGTATTTTCATATGATAAGTGACGGCAACAGGAGACGAGTTCTCATTAGGGTTTTGAGGCTGAGGTGAATAGAAGAAGATTAACTCACTGTTTTTTTGGGAAACGAATAAGAGCTTCGGACCAGAGGAAGACCTGGTCAAGAACAGCTCCGTGAAATATGAACGGCGAGGTAAGGACGCCCATAACTTGGATACACAACAACATCTCCCTACAGATTTCGCCGGCAATCTCAAGAGTATCTCGATGATGACATCGACTGGGATCTGCTCTGAGCTTTCTCTTCCACTCTCTGAATCCTCCGAGACGTTAAGTCGGCGTGTTTTCATGGCGGAGACACTGGCAGTAAACCTAGATTTGTATTGTTCAGGAAATATTTTAAAGTATAAAAAAGCGGTATATACATGATGATGATGTGCATGCTGGGTAAGAGAAAGCCAATGTAACCCAAAAGTAGGGGCCCATATATATATATATATATATATATATATATATATGATTTTCGGTAGTGATTATGAATTTATTATATGGTTGGTAAAAGTTGTTACAAGTAAATATTTCCTATGCTTATTCTCCATCTTTGTGAAATCGCATAATCTTGTAATGGTTTGATATAAGGTCTTTGGTTTTTCTAGTTTTGTTATGATTCAGTTGCTTGTCCGGTGAACTGCATCTAGCTTGATTACTTTTAAACGTTGCAAAGTTTATCAACCAGAATGCAATATGGTATTCATATGAAGTTGGATTTGGAGGAAATTGGTGAAACTCCGAACCTTAGCGAGACCTTACATTGTTTGTAACATCGTCTCTGGTAATTCGGCGTTATTTTGGCATCATAATTGGACGTCTCTTGGTCCTCTTATTGACATCACAGGTGCTAATGGTCCTCGGGTCTCAGGCATCTCTCGTACGTCTACCGTTGCTCAGGCCAAATCTAGTGGTGTTTGGACTCTCCCTCGAGGCAGACACCCAATTTTAATCCTCTTGAGAAACTGCCTTCCCTCTCCACCTCCTTCTCTCTCAAATTCTGCTGAAGAGGAGGATTTATTCTTGTGGAAGTCTGATCCTATTTCCCCACCGGGACGTTTCTCCACAGGAAAAACCTGGAATTCATTACATCCCTCTCCTCCACCGGTTGTTTGGCACAAGTCTGTTTGGTTTGTAAATCACATTCCCAAACATGCGTTTCATCTATGGGTGACTGTTCAAGATCGCTTACCAACAAGGGACAGACTCTCTCGTTGGGGTTTGGATGTTCCAGAGGTTTGTCTTCTCTGTGGAACGGATTTAGAATCAAGGGATCATCTTCTCTTCCTTTGTAGTTACTCTGCTCAAGTGTGGAGCTCGTTCTTCTCTCACCGTTCCCTTTCCCCTCCCTCATCTTTTGTCGACATTGTCTCTTGGATAAGGTCAAACAACCTTCCTCCAAAACTTAAGCTTATTTGTAAGCTAATTTTCCAGGCAGCGGTTTATTACATTTGGAAAGAGCGTAATGCTAGACTACATTCTCCTATAGTCAAGGTCTCCCAATCCTTGGTAAAGGAGATTCAGTTGCTTCTGCGTGCAAAGCTTGCTGGGCTAGACAGATCCCTGACCTCTAATGTGTTATCTTCGAGCTCTTCTCAGCAATCCTATCTTTGCACTTGGTTCGAATTCATCCAGTTATAACTTCTCTTTTGGCTTTCTTCTCACGAGTTGTAATCTTTTATCTTTTTGTTTTTTCTCTTTTGTTTACCTTTCTTTCTTTACCTCATCTTGTACTTCAAATGGTATCCTGTTTGGGGAAGATGAATAAAAGGAAATTTAAAGGTAAAAAAAAAAAATATGGTATTCATATGCAATATGGTATTCATATGATGACCAATATTGACCTACAATTTTACATTTACATGGTCACACGTTTATTTTCTTTTGTCGTAGCTTCAACAGTTTAGACGAATAATAATAGGACATTTTTCTCCTAAATTATTACTAGTACAGTATTACATTACATGTATTTTATTTTCTGTATAATTCAACTGTAAAATATGATGTAAAACACACTGTTTAGTTTTTCTCTTTATCTTCTGCATTTGTGATGAGCTTGTTGATTGACTAATTAATGTGATGCAGCGCATCCTATGGATTTGGGCTTTTGACGACAAATACGTCTATTGGCCTCTACGTGTTTGTCAAGTATATATTTGCTTAGATTTGTTGTTAGGATTCTTTTATTTAAAGATAACTATACAGTAGAACCTCTATAAAACAATAAACACTATAAGACAATAATTTTCTCCGGTCCCAACTCGGGCCAATGTAAAAAATAGCATAATGCGATAAGATGATAAGACAATAATATTTTTGAAACTCCTATGTAAAAATATAGTCCCAACAATAACCTAAGATAATAATTATAAAACTAAGGCATATATATCTAAGACAATTTAGTAAAATATGACTCCAATGTAGTTTGTCTTTTCTGAAAGTTGGATTCCCGTTGGAGCTCATCTCGAATTTTTCTTATTGGATCTACAATTTCTGTTGATGTATTCTCAACTTGCAGCCAAAAGTTGTGAAGAGTTCTCGAAGCCACAATTGCTTAACTACTTGCACATGTCTTTCCTCATCATCTTCAACTTCATCTTCACCATTAAGAACATTAGACATAATTTCTTCTAGATTTTGAACTTCTGAGCATGAAATATGTAAATAACAAAGTATAAGGAAAATTTGAATAAAAAAGTGAAAAAATATATGTCTATAAAGTTTCTTGTTTTTGATAGAATATTTCTATAAAATAATAATTATTGTTTTATCGATAAAATAATAATTATTTTATCGATAAAATAATAACTCTATAAGATAATAAAATTTCAAAGTCCCAACATTATTGTTTTATAGAGGTTTTACTGTAGATTATTATAGATTAGGATGTAGAGATACTATTAGGATCTTCTTGCGTTCATATAAATAGGACGTTCTTTAGCTTTGTAAAAGATAACTTTTGATATTGAATAAACCTTAAGCTTTTGTAGCTAAACGAGCTTTTCATAGCACGGGGAAGAGTATTCCCAACCTCTATCGAGCTTTTATAGCACGGGGAAGAGTATTCCCAACCTATCGATCTAAACGTAGATCTTCTACGTTTATTTCAAACCCGATTATACACAAATCTCGTGTATCTTCGTTATCTAGCTTCCGCCTCTCCATCATAATGCCTACATAAATCTTACGAAGATAAGTCTTAGCTTTCTAAACCTATAGATGACTAACGTAGAAGTCATGAAGACACAAATACACAAAGTTGATGAAGAAGAAGAGTTTACAAAGCTATAGCTAAAACTTGTCTTTAGCATAACCATTGCTCTCGAGTGAAAGAAAAAAAGGCGAACACCGTCACATAAAAACAGAATATAGCAATCCCATGGCATAATGACTGAAATTAAAAAAATTAAAGGCTCATAGATATTCTGTTACAAAAAAAAAATCTATAATTATGAAGTTCTAAGTAGAAAACATTTCCATACGCTTCACATTCTCGACATGGTCTACGAATGTGTAAACTTTTCTCTCGACATTGTAGTAGTAAATGTAGTAGGGCACGTTCTGGCTGGACATTTTGTAGAGTAGTGACAAGACAATTTCATTTCCACAAGTCACCCCAACAAAACTTAAATAGTTGTTTCCAATCATATATTGGCATGAAGGTGGCAATACGAATGTATGCTCTGACCATTCCTCTTTCTCAATATCTTCTAAAACCCACATGTTAAAGCGAGGCCCTTTAGTCAAAACCGCTCCTAATTTACCATTGTAGTTTATTAGAGTTCCATCTTTCACTGCTTTAATGAGAGTGTTCTTGACTTTAATATAGCTGAAACTCTCAGACCTAACATCAAAGCAAACTAACATGTCAACATATGATGTCAACTTCTTGTATTTCCCATAAGCTGGATAGTACAAAACACCATTGATGCATATACCACTGATGCATATCCTTTTACCTATAGGATAATGAGGTTTTGAACATTTGATCCTTCTCCATGACAGTTCTTCTCCGGCTAATGTAAGAACTTGATATTGCTCCTCGGACATCCGCCACTCTCCACGAACAGGATACGTCATACACAATACCTTGTATTGTTTCTCAATAGGATCATACCCGAAATAGCTGCTTACCCCTGTCCCAGTCTCAAATCTCTTCGTATTCGTCACTTTGGGAAAAGGTAAGTGTAAGGGTAAGGTTAAGACTTTGCTTGTCCAGTGCTAATATTGCTGATAATGTATTTTTATCTCCCTTTAAAAACCGATAAGCTTGTAGAAAGATCAAACCTCCGACAAGACGAAATTTTCTTTCAAGCATATATTTATCGGGAAGTTTCATGTGATAACCGGCGGAGGCTACAAGAGATGAGTTCTCATCGGGATTTTGAGGCTGAGGTGAAGAGAAGAAGAACAAGCCACCGTCTTTTTGGCAAGCGAATAAGAGCTGCGGACGAGAGGAAGACCTTGTCAAGAACAGCTCCATGAAATCTGAACGGCGAGGTAAGGACGCCCATAACTTGGATACACAACAACATCTCCCTACAGATTTCGCCGGCAATCCCAAGAGTATCTCGATTATGATATTGACTGGAATCTGCTCTGAGTTTTCTCTTCTACTCTTTGAACCCTCTGAGGCGTTTGGTCGCCGTGTTTTTCGTCGCTTCGTTGTCATTGCGGAGACACTTGCAGTAAAACCTAGATTCCCCAAGAGTCTTGTTCGGGAAAGATTTGAAAAATTTAAGTATATATATTGATGTGTAGCTCCATTCTCTAAAAAACCCTATATTGTGCATGCTTGCATGGTTAGGAGAAAGCCCATGAAGCCCAAAATTATGGCCCGTAAATCAGTGGTAAAGTCGTATATGTGTTGCTTTCCTCAAATTTATTTTTGTGTTTCTATGCAGTGAAGTGTGGCTAGAAAAATTAACTGGAAAGTGAAGAAACAAATGTGCTTGTGAGGCTGCTTTCGCTTCCCACTCACGAAAGCCTATATATCATACTCCTGTTTTTTAGGCAGCATTGTTCAAATTTTGCTTTTATAAATTTGCTTTGACTTCTGAGATTTTTGTATTTTTTCTAATGTAAAGTGAATTTTAAGTTCCTTTTAGCTTGCTTGAATAAAGATCCCATCCAATATGGCTGACCAACACATGTAAACTGTAGCTATACAATAATACAAATAATATTGGTTTAACTAATCGTATGAGACAATCAAAACTTTTTTTGTTAATCTGAATGTCCACTCCTACACACATAGATCACAACTCTATAAATTTCAACTCTTAAAAGGAGTAACTTTTGATAGTGGATCATTTTGATGTACACTTCTGGACCACACTTTTCATTCCTTCTTTATTTAAATGTTTAATGTTTTGTAAAATAAGAATTTCCATGAAAAACAAATAGAACTCATTCTCTGACTTCACATTTTACAAGAATGTTTTTGATTTTTGGTTTTTATATATTTGTAAAAAAAAAGAATTTACAAGTGTTGTTGTAATCACGAAAGCTGAAACAAGAGAAAAAGCATGAGCAAATAGAAAAAGTGAGAAGCATGAGATCACACAACACACTCGTTCGCTACACACAGTTCCATACTCTTTTTTCAATCATTTCTTTCTACATTTACCTCTTCATACTATTCTCTCTCAAATACTAGTAGAAAAATAGCATATACTTAATTTAAAAAAAAAAAAATTACTGTAAATAAAACAAGCTAATGATTGGAAATTATTTAACTTTTTGCACGCAGTGTTATAGTTTATAAACATAATGCCAAGGTTTTTTTGGGTTCAAAACGAGGGTCATTTTTTTGTTCAAACAAATGAATGTCTTAATAATTACAATTTTCAAGTAGCTGTTATATATGTTGATATTTTGACTAATTTTAATTAGTGATCATATAGCCGACTTTCATTTCTTTCATAGTAATTTTAAAACTATACTAACATGCGAATTTATAAATTGCAGAAAAACTCTATTTATCCATGAATTCACTTGGTCACTCTATTTAAACTCTTCTTAAACAGCCTCAAATGTTGCTGGTCACTTAATTCACTTGGTCGCTGATGTTTCTTGGGACAAAAGATTGGTAAACTGAGATTGCTCCAGAATTATGGTCATATGGGTTTGCGTAAATTGTTCCTATAATAAAATGTCGAAATCGACAATTACCTCTGAGTCTGTGATGATTGAGTTTGTGTGAATTCCGTGACTCATGCAATAGTATAATACTTCATGATAGTAAAATCAATCATTGAATTTTGTACTCACCTATAGAATCAGAGAATGAGTGAACTTTGAGGTTATCATCAAGAAACCCTAACTTTTTCAGTACAATGATCATTACAAGACGTTATCTTTTGATTCTTTTTCACTTTTTCTTTGTAAGGAAACAATCATAATGAATAAAAAAAATAAAACAATTGCTTTTCGTTTCTTTAGTATCATCTTTTTGTTACACTTGAACGGCTAAACCTTATATAACAAGCATTGCACTATCATTGTCTCGGGAACACACTTCAACTTATAATAACTTAACAGTATGAAAAAAACTATTCCCTAATTAACTAAACTAAAAAGACTGATGAATTAGAAAAACAACTTCCATCTGTCAGTTTCATAATCCTGCACAAAACATA